GGCCGGGGATCGAACCCCGGACCTTCCGCTCTCCGGGCAGACGCTCTACCACAAGACCACGGAGGCGGTCGTGTGTATGGATGTTGTATGGAGGTGCTGCGAGTTGTGTTGAATGACTGGCCTGTAAGATTGTGCTGTATGCTTGTTTCGTATTGTCGGGTTTAATTGTATGTGTATGTGTGTGTGTGTGTGCGTGCGTGCGTGCGTGCGTGCGTGCGTGCGTGCGTGCGTGTGTGTGTTGTTTAGTCGATAGTGTGTATAGGTGACAGTGGAATGTTACTTTGTTTGTGTCTTTGTACGTGGTTGATTCTTCTTTTTGTGGAAGCGAGAAAGGATGTGGTTGCGAGTGAGGGCGTGTTAGATAATGTAGATAAGAGAGTTGGTATGGATGCGGGAATGGTTACAGGTGAGGGTATGTTTGAGGAATAAGGTGTGGGTGAGGGTACTGAGTGGCGGTGTGGCTGGGGGGTCGGATGTGATTGAGCAGTTGTCAACCAGGGTTTGGATGTGTTTGAATGGGCGGGTGTGTTTGAGTGGTTTGAGTAAGCTGCTGTGAGTGAAGGACTGGATGTGGGAATGGATGTGGTTGTGTGTGTATAGGATGCTTGTACGGGGGACAATATGAATGCTATTTTCATAATTATTATTAAATGTGATGTGCATATGTATAAAATATCATATTTTGTATATTTTAGCCGGCCGCTGAGATTTTACTTTCTTGCCTTGTCATTTTACATGTACAGCGGGTGACACTATAATACAATATTAATATAATTATTCTTTATAAACCCCAAATTTAAAAGAAACCAAAAACCTAATCCTAACTCAGTGACTGACTCCAAGCTATTGAAAACAAAAACACAAAAAATATCGACCTAAATTAATTCAGCAGAAACTCATAAACGCCAACAAACTCCGCAATCTAGGTAAAGAAATAGAGTTCATATGGACCCCTGCCCACGTCAGAGTGTTTGGTAACGAACACGCCGACAAAGCAGCCAAAGCATCACTAAAATTAGAAGAAATAAGCATCAACCGACCAATTACTAAAAACAAGATAACCAGTATCACTAAGAGTAAAATCTTCCAAAAGTGGCAAAACCAATGTCAGAAATCAATCTGTAGACTAAAACATGTGCGCCAAAAGCCATTTAAAAAATACCTTCACAAATCCAAAAACACTGACAGGGCAATATTCAAAATACGGAGAGGACACACTTAACTTAACTCTCACCTACACACAATCAGAAAACACCAAACAGGTAAATTCCCTCGCTGTAACCTAATATAAGCACCTGAACATGCACTATTACACTGCACACACAACCAACAACAAGTCCACAATAAATTTGCAACAACCAAATGTCTCTTCTAAACCCAATAAACGACCTAAAAACTTCAAAACACTAGGCATTTTTCCTAATTAAAACAGACCTACGAGGTCGCATCTATTAAACTACAAAATCATGCTATCACCAATCTAAAGCCCTAAAAACACAAACCCTTAAAAACCAATAACCAAAATAACCCATGCCATACAACACTCCCTTAGTTCCCCTACCTATAGCACGGCATTCTTCAAATTCCAAATTACCCCAAATTAAATAAGCAACCCTAAAGTCCCCCAGGTTGCCCTTCCTTTTCGGAATACCCTCCTTGGCAAATCCACTAAATGGCATGGCCTGTGCGAAATATGCATAAAGTCGGTGAAACGCACGTAAAATCCCCAACACTCCCAGGAAGGTGTAGCAGGAGAGGGAAATTGACAAATAATATATGGGGTAAGTCTCATCTAAAATAAAGATACATTACTGCCAAGAAGTTCATTCCCCTTACACGCGTTGAGAACGCGTGGAACACGCATGTGCCAAGGATGCTTAACGGATTGCACATGGGTTGAGCATCCGTTGAACTCGCGTGTGCAGCGCGTGTGCAACGAGTGACCCACGCGTGAACAATGCATGAAACACGGGACCGGATTTCTGTTGAATTTGACATATAGATCAAATAATTAGTGAGATAAACATGCTCCCATATGGGTCCTTTTTATCAATTATGATAAAAGACAAAAAAAGAAACCCCCGACTTTGATCAGGTCCTGGTCTTTTACAGAGGTTTTGCGCAAACCAGCCCTGGACCCAGTCCTAGTCCTGAAAATGCTCCGATGCAGGTTGTAAGGTTGTTCCCGGTACTGGACAGCTTCGCCCGAACGCAACGGTCCCCAACAGTAGTGTGTGGCTGCACGTGGAATCATGGACTATGACGCGTGATCCGATTTCGATTGTAACCGTCTTGTGTTCTTACCTCTGTGTTGTATGTTATGTGGGCCCGAAGACCTTACAAGGTCTTTTGTTTTTATGAATTAAAGTCATAATTGAGACAATAAAATACATTTTTTTCTGTGAAATTGGATTTTAGATTACCTCACCAGGAACCACACCCAGCTTCTGAAAATGTTCCCATGTAGGTGGTATGTCTTGTCAGTTATGCCCAATAAAATATTTGTGATCTATGACACATAAAGGTATTTTGAAAGAGGAGATTAAAGAGGAAGCTAAACAACATACTTTCAAAGAAAGCTTTCGTTTGTTTAACTTGCTTTCAAGCATGCCAAGTCGCTTTTCCTTTGAACAGTTTTTGCATTTACTGAAAGCATGACCAACCGTTACGAGGCACAGACTATTAAGCTTATTTTCTTCTGTGATGCTACTGCGTGTGTTAGTGAAAAGATGAGTGTTTTCCGCTCCTTGAGTGAGTGGGTGAGTTGGGTTTAACGCACCTTTTAACAGTATTCCAGTTATCATGGTTATATCGCGGCGTGTCAGCTTAATGTGGGAGGAAAGCCCGAAGTGATGCAGGTCTTAGACTTTTACCACTTCGGTGAAACCCACGTGCATGGGTATGGTGCTGACAAACCTAGAAACATAATCGGGGCGAACCGGGATTCGAACCCACATATCATAGGTTTCTGGCGTGCCAAGGGACGCAACTCTGCACAGCGAATCGCGGCGCCTTGACGACTGTGCCACCAGTGCCCCCTTCCGCTCCTTGAGTTGCATCGGACTCAATACACAATGTCATGTCATTCATTTTTGTACTCGCGTATCAAGAACACAGGCAAATGTACATTTACACTATGTCTACACTAGCCTCGGCTCGAGTCAGTATACTGTGTCTGAATAGAGATGTTCATGATAAACTGCGGCATGGTACCTCAGTTGGTTGGAGAGCACCATAAAATCGGCATTTCAAGCAGCCACACACACGTGCATGCACGTCGCTATATAAGCGCAATAATCTTGAACGCGATGTTAAACTCCATTTTGCATTCCTTTCACTATGGCAAAGGTGCAACGGTCAATTTCAAGATAAAAGTAAAGCTATCGCAAAAAACATATGTTGATCCCAACTACTAGGTCCACATTAACCATATGTCATTGGATTGAAAAAATCAGACTAACGGCCATAAAAAGATTTTTGCCAAGGCTTTAACTGAAGCTTAAGGTATATGAATGATGAGCAATCGTCCAACAGTTCCAGCCTTTGGAGTGTACTTTGCACAACTCGTGAGGTACAATCGAAGAATTCAAAGAGCGCCATACGACTCTTGCTCAATGGTTATTTGATCAAAGGTTACAACATTCAAGACCTTGGTAAAGCTTTCAAAACGTTTTCTCGTAGCCTTGTAGAGGACATTTCCAAATTTTGGCACATCAGTGACCAAAATGGAGAGCTTAGAGCCATAAGGGCCAATGTCATGTGGAGTCTGTTTTGAGAAAAGTGATGACAACGCATAATATTATGCATGTTAATTAACTTTTTTTTCACCGATAAATTCCCAGACATTAACCCATTCTGACAGCAGAGATATAAATGTTGTTATAAAAAACATTCAAAAAAGGAAATAAATTTATGTTTTTAATTTCTGTGAGGGTGGAAAGGGCCAGTGTCTGTATTTTTACCCTTTTTTACCCTCAGGCATTTGCATGAGATTTACCATGTGAGGTTGATAAACTACCACAAAAAGTACAAACACATGCTATTGAAGTACTTTTAAATGATTTGAACTAATGCCAACTTTGTTGAAATAGTTGAAATATGATAATATGGTTCCAAACTTTCAAAATCTCTCTCAGACAACCAGTCTCAACCACACACGGAAATGAGAGCTAAAAGGGCCAAAATCTAACAAAGTGACTTTGGCCCTTTTGAAACTTGACTTTGACCCTTTTATAGACTTTTAAGTAGCTATATTTCAAAAACGCATCAATGAAAACATACAATATTTTTTTCTACAGGAAGATGTTATCTATGCAGTAATATGCAAAAAGGTCCAAAGTGCATTTTGGCCCCTTTTAGCTCTAAGCTCTTCAAATGATATCTGATGCAATTCAATACTTGTACCATATGCTCCGTATGTTTGCAGGCGAATAGTTGATGTGCCTATCGCACTCGGCACTATGCCTCACGCACATTTTCACTGATAGTGAGTTTCATAAAAGCGGTTTCCATCTACGTCATACTTAATCGCAGAGGCTTGTAACGTCAAAATAGCCGCTACAAGATGTGTGGTCACACCCAGTGTCAGTACACAGTATGAAAGGAAAGGGATGCAACAAGGCCAACACACTAAGTTCGTTCGAGGTCGAATTCAACAATATCCACTGTAAATACCCCTGTAAAACTAACACTCATTTCAAGCCAATACATTTAGCTACACAATGAGACATAGATGAATAAATCAGAAGCCGTACTTTTAGACCTAGCGTCTTCAGAAGCTCAAATTATCGTGATTTTTCGATTCCGAGCCAAAATCCCTGCTCAGAATTTGTATCGCTTACCAGAGATCATATACGGATTTCTTTTGTTTATTGAATCGTGTACACAAATACCACGCGCCAAAACACGCTTGGTACTTAACTTAACTATCTTCTTTCACCAATTCAGGGTTTGGGCTACCGGCTATATGACTTCTGTGAATGACAAAACACCCGTCGTGATAAGATTAAAATCAAGTGAAGTTTTATTGCTGCATATGCGATGTACAAAAGACCTCTCTCTATCTGATTAAACACTGTACATAAATACACGTATGACATTATGTTCACATTTTAAGAAGCGCACATCGATCGAGCATAAGTCGGGTTGAAGGTATGATTAACTTTCGCTGAACCTGGACGGGGGCACATAACATTACAAACAAATGAAGGAAAACAGGAGTCATGTTGTTAAGGTCTGAGTCTACCATGTCGCAGGTTTCCTGTAAAACCTTAGGGCGATGTACCACAGGACCCTCATAATAAGCATAACAGATAAAAGCACTGACACGTAGGCCCAGGCGGGCCAGTCGATGTTGTTCATCCTCAGTACTACTTCCGCCGGAAACTGTGTTGAAGTTGTGTTGGAAGCCAGATCCACGACCCCACACAGCGCTATCATGCTTCCGTTCTCTGAACACCTAACAACAAAAGGACATGGCGTTTCTCAGTGGCTTTGGATAACGTATTGAAAAATATAACACCACTCTGCTCCACTCTGTTTTTTTAACGCCGCACTCAGCAATATAACAGCTATATGACGGCGGTCTGTAAATAATCGAGCCTAGACCAGACAATCCAGTGGTTAATATCATGAGCATCCATATACGCAAGTGGGATTCGATGACATGCATCAACCAAGTCAGCGAGCCTGACCACCCGATCCCGTTATTCGCCTCTTACAACAAGCATGGTCGCCTTTCACGGCAAGCATGGGTTGCTGAAGTCCTATTCTACCACAGATCTTCACCGGTCTTTGCTTGATGTAACACCACAAGACATTATTTTACATTACTCTCAGATGCGTGATGTCTTCACCAAATTTTAGATGTACAATAAACCCCTCACAACTCAAACCATACCAGGACTTCCAGAAGCGGAATATATTACATCCCGTGGAGGTAACCACAGGCTAGTTGTTCCGATCTCAGCAGATATATAATAAAAAAATTATATATTTGTGCTAAGAAAGTTGGCTTTTGTTATATACGGTTATAATTTGTTCTTAAAATGATATACTTGGGCTGATATACGTCTTACAAGCAAGGGATGAATAATTCAGTTAATCATAAAAAGAATTATGGCAAATGGGAGTTTATAACCAATGGAATATATACCGTAAATCGTGAAATTAATGCGTCTCCAAAAGAATGCGACCGCTGGCCCCTAGCAAAAAATGCGACTCAACATGAATGCGACACCCGCATTCTCTCAAGCATCAATGGATTTATATCTAAAGAAAATGTCCTCTGTCAGATTTATAGGAGAATCCTCACTTTAATCCAACCTTACATTAATCCAATCACACACCAAATATCACCGCTTATCAGCGCAGAGAAGAGTACTTCCGCTAAAACAATACATGCGCACTGGCTCGTGTCGGTCTTTGACGCAGTCGCAAACAACAAAGACAACGTGATGCATGGCTGGCGTCTGTCTGTCTGGACTTGCAGGTGTGATCAGTGATGACATAAGTGTGTAGAACTCTTGTCTTGACCCCAGCAGTGACAAATGACAGAATGTAATTAGTGTTTGAATGACATTGTTTATATACTTGTTACAAGTGCTGCTCTATAAACAGTGGTGTGGAATACATAGTTGTTTGTTTTCAGCGTATGTCTAAGTTGATATTTCTGATATCCAAAATGTCTTATTGTTGATATAAATGTGATGTTTAATAATGCGAGCAAAGACCACTCGCATTTTTCGCGTTTAATTCACGCTCGCGTTAATTTCAAGATACTTGCATATGGATTAAATAAATTATTTAAAAACCTGTATGGATCCTAGCAGCAATATTAACAAAACAGAGTTGGGTCTCTTTTAACTTATCTTACAATTGTTTAATACAATAAGAAGTAGTGCGTAGCTGATGTTATACTTAATTTTGCAAGCATTGACTATTAATATATAAAGGTTAAGTAAATGTTTGGGTGTAAAATCAGACATCATAATTGTTGAGGAAGTTGGGAAAATATTAAACAGAGCCTTCAAGTTAGGATTCTTTTGGTTTTTAAATTTTGACGTATAATTGAATCTCACCACCGGCCTTCCACTCTCCGGGCAGACACGAGTGAGAATTGTTTTACGCCGCCTTTTTTGTTGTTGCACAATTCCAGCAATATCACGGCGGGTGACAACAGAAAAGGGCTCCACACATTGTTCCCATTTTGGGAATCGAACCCGGGCCTTCGGCGTGACGAGCGAACGCTTTAACCACTGGGCTACCCAACCGCCCCGGGCAGACACCAGACCACGGAGGCGGGGGCTGACTCCAGAGGCAACGCTGGTTACAACGCTTGACTTTCCTGAGTATATTTCAATCGTACATCGAAGTATGGGTCGTTCTACATGCTTTGGACAACTGGTTGGCCTGGCCAAGACGAAAATGCTTCTAAACCGCCTGGTTGAAATATTACTAGGTGAGGTGAGGTGAATTGGGGTTTAACGTCGCGTCCAAGATTATTGCACTTATATAGCGACGTGCATGTACGAGTGTGTGTTTGTGTGGCTGCTTGTACTAGTCCGGACTGATGCCGATTTATAGTGCTAGCTCACCGAGATACCATGCCGCAGTTTAACATGAATACCCCACTCAGACACAGTATACTGACTCCGAGCCGACCAGTCCTTGTTTTAGCCCCTTAATGCCGAGCGCCAGACAGGGTTACAACAAGTACCATCTTCTAACGTCTTTTGGTATGACGCGGCCGGGGATGAAGTATTACTAATAATGTGGCGAAAAACAACATCCACTCACATTCTCTTTCCTCCTCTCAACTGGTCCCTGCCGTGATATTGATGGAATATTGTTAAAAGCGTCGAAAAACATTCTTACTCACTCTCTCCTCGAACTATGTAGTTCTCCCTCCGTTTTGTGGGGGGATATTTTTTTATGAAATTATGTGCTGCGTATTCACAACAAAACATACCACAAAAAATATCTCCAACTTCTTTATGCAGTACATACAGAATCTGCTCACCTTTTATTCGGTAAAAAAATGTTATACTTGTAACCTTCATACGTCATTTTGAAATATGGAATATTTCAACACCTTACCTTATAGGCTGGGCATCCGAGAATTCGAGAGAGATGAAGGACTGGAGACCATAGTGGAAGAAAGAGGCATATTTCCCCCATTGCAGCCACGGAGGGGGAGTGTTGAACGCACCACCTAGCACAGAAACACAACACATCACCTCACCCAATTCTGTATCCTGGGGTTGGGAACGTTTCAATCACTTCCGCTCATAATATAGTGATTTCAAGCCCTTTAAACAGTATCTCAGTTATATCACGGCCTAAGTAATGCAGATCAAAGCCGTTTACCGCGTGAAACCGACGAGCAAAGGTTTGGCACGGACGAACCAAGAATCATAATCTTGACGAATCTGGGATTCGAACCCACGATCAAATGGGTGAGTGAGTATGGTTCTTACGCCGCTTTTAGCAATATTGCAGCAATACCACGATGGGGGACACCAGCAATAGGGTTCACATATTGTTCTAATGTGGGGAATCGAACCCGGGCCTTCCATGTGACGAGAAAACTCTTTAACCACTCGGCTACCCCACCGCCGCCATGATCACAGGACTGGGGCACATCCATGGGGCGACTGTCCCTTTATAAATATACTTTTTGCTCTATTTAATTATGACAAATTATTAATTACTTAATTATTATTTATATATAACTATGTTAGTATTAAAGGGCGCTGGTGTAGTCTAGTGGGTAAAGTGCTCGCTCGTCACATCGAAGGTCCGTGTTCGATTCCCAACATAGGTACAATACGTGAAGCCAATTTCTGGTGTCCCCGCCGTGATATTGCTGGAATATTGCTAAAATCCGTGTAAAACCATACTCACTCACTCACTCACTTGTATGACATTATGATTATATACATACACATATAGTCTATAGTTACTGCTGCTGGATGTAAAGCAGCTCGGCAGTTGCGTTGCGTTACATTTACTCCCCTTTTTATGTACCGCCTCCGTGGTCTATTGGTAGAGCGCCTGCCCGGAGAGCGGAAGTTCGGGGTTCCATCTCCGGCCGCGTCATACCAAAAGACGTTAAAATATGGTACGTGTTCTTACCCTGCCTGGCGATTGGCCTTAAGGAGTTAAATCGTGGAATGGTCGGCTCGTAGTCAGTATACTGTGTCTGCTTGGGGCATTCGTGTTAATCTGGTATTTCAGTGGGACAGCACTATAAAATCGGCATTAGTCCGGACTAGTACATGCACGTCGCTATATATGTGCATGTGTGCAACAGTTTTGGACGCGACGTTAACCCCCATTTCAGTTCAACACCCCCAATGCGTGTGGAAATATGGTGTGTATGTACCGAGCAACATCATGGACAGCAGCCCCAGCGACATCACGGTGACAGTCCACGGCGGGTTTAACACCGTGCCAAGAAACAGGCCAATACTCTGTAAATTACAAGTTGAGATAATTAGGGTTATAAGACAACTGGCAATGAGATATGTTAATGTCTTGAGATAAATCACCTCTCTCTCCCGAGTGACGGGGGACTGATATTGCCGCTCTCGAGAATTCGAACAGTGATATCAAATATCTCCCCACTCGGTAAACTACGGTAAACTACGGTTATAACGCACTCAAAGGGACTACAAATTTTGGTCGTTATAACCGTAGTTCGTTATAAGCATATATACATCATAACTACAGCAAATAGTCGGGACCAAAAAAGTAAGTTCGTTATATCCGTCAGTTCGTTATAAGCGTGTTCATTATAACCGTAGTTTACTGTAGTTGTTTCAGATATCGATCCCTCTCGAAAATAGTAATATCAGATATCGTCGCTCTGATTTTACCACTGATATAAATCCGATAAAATATTAATTAAGCGAGTGAGTGAGTGAGTGAGTGAGTGAGCTGGGTTTAACGCTACTTTGAACAGTACTCCAGTTACGTCACGGCGTGTCAGCTTGATGTGGGAGGACAAACCGAAGTGATGCAGGATGTATTTTAAATTAAGGTTCTTGTGTTCACACAACCACAGCAGCCGTTCGCAAACCGGTTACCATGGGAACTTTCAAGCCAATACTTGATTGGTTTTGAGGCCTACACCTAGGTAGTACCCACATTTTTATTCTGTGTCGTTTAATCTTTTTTAATATTCTCCAACTAAATTTAAACCTCTGTCTGAATATTACCAGCTATTATACTGTCACTCGTCGACAGGTCTTTAAATAATAGAAAGATAGGTCTTTGTAAGGCATTTAGAAGTGAAACACATAAGGAAGAGAATTTATGGATGTCAACTTCTTTATTATAAGCAACACAACGTTTCGGAGTATATGCTTACTCCTTCATCAGGTGAATGATGAAGGAGTAAGCATATACTCCGAAACGTTGTGTTCCTCATAATATAGTGAGTGAGTGAGTATGGTTTTACGCCGCTTTTAGCAATATTCCAGCAATATCACGGCGGGGGACACCAGAAATGGGCTTCACACATTGTACCCATTTCGGGAATCGAACACGTGTCTTCGGCGTGACAAGCGAACGCTTTAACCACTAGGCTACCCGACCGCCCCCCTCATAATATAGAAGTTGACATCCATAAATTCTCTTCCTTAATAGAAAGATACTAAACATTCTGGTCACAACATACTGCAGGGCCCACTTGCACAAAGCGATCTTAGCACTACAACTATAGTAAGCCTATGTTAAAGTATTGGAGTTACGATCATCTTAGCGCTAAGATCGCTTTGTGCAAGTGGGCCCAGGAGCTGTATATGTGGCGGATCAAGAAATCATGGTTTGGGGGATTTTAGGTTGAATCAGTATAAGTAAACTGGTTACCTGTGCCGCATAGACATCAGCGATGACGACGCCGACGGACTTGACGAAGGCGGTGACGCTGTTGAGGTTGGCGACCCAGTACATGACGCACATGTATACACAAGGCTGGAGTATTGTGAGGGGCAACTCGCTGATGCTCTTGGCGAGACAGTAGGCGGTCACTCCGTACACGCCCTGGGCTCTCTCCCTCGTCACCACCTTCAGCTCCTTAGGGACTAGCATACAGGAGACAGTTAGCATCTAGTGTACGGACATTCTTATAGTGAGTGAGTGTTTGTTTGTTTGTTGTTTAACATTGCACTTAATTTTCAGGCTATATGACGCCGGTCAGTAAATAATCGAGTCTGGACCTGACAATCCAGTGATTGACATCATGAACATCGAACATCGCAATTTTGGATACGATGGCATGCATCAACCAAGTCAGCGAGCCTGACCACCCAATCCCAATAGTTGCTTCTTAAAGAATCATAGTCGCCTTTTACAGCAAGCATTGGTTGCTGAAGACCGGATTCTTCCCCGGAGCTTCACGGATGCTTATAGTGAGTGAGTGATTTGGGTTTGACGCTGCTTTTAACAGTATTCCAGTTATATCACTGTCAGCCTCACGTGGGAAGAAAGCCTGAAGTGATGAAGGTCTTCATGAAACCCACGAGCATGGGAATCGTCCTGACAAACTTAGATAAGTAACCAGGGCGAAAAGGACCCCAAACACATTATCCTAGGCTTGTAGCGCGCCTGAAGGGCACAAGGTTTCCCGGACGTATCTTATATAGATCTTATCAAATATTTTAAGAACATAAAGTCAGCAGTTGAAACAAAATGCGTATGTTTTTTTAAATATTCTCTAAATGTTAAAAGGTATAAATAAGATAATGAACAGAAAGATCTATTTTTCTCTTCTCAAATAGATTGTTCGCAATACTTTAAATTTATTCCAAATTATCAATGAAGAAAGATTCACCTCGATACGAAAGTGGCTAGTGAGGCATGACACCGTGTACAATATATGATGACGGTTTTGTTAAAGGTCCTGAAATAATATTCAACTGACTATAAAAAATGAAGTCTATGTACCAACTCAGCTGTACTTCATACTCACAGGTGAACACAGCATCGAGCAGTGCAAAGAATGCCCATTGAACAGTCGTAAAGAAAAACTGAAAACAAATAACAAAGCGACGATAGCAGTTTCGTTTAACTGATCAAACAGTGGGGGTTCCGCGCTAAGAATACAAACTGTCGGGCAAAAGAAAGTATACACTTGAAAATTGAATTTTACGAAATAATTACAAACGCTACAAAAGTTACTAGCCTAAAACAGTTGCCGGAACACTACAAACTTAAGTCCAAAACACATCTATGATACCCGTATCAAATACTTCATTTAAGGATTGACTGTGTATTTTTATATAAGTAGTGCGCCGCGGTGGGCGTGGCTTAATTCTTTACATTCATTGGGAAATGAATGCAATAACAAGTGACCAATTCAGCTAATCAGAATGCAGGAATTTCCATGAACACAACGAAAATTTAATTATTACAGAATAACCATTTGTTGTTTGTTTCATTTCAGCCACCATCAAACATGGATCGGATGGTCAGACTCGGAGACTTGGTTGACTGAATGAATTTGCGTGGATTGATGCTCACGGTTCCAATCACTGGCCATAGATTGTCTGGTCCAGACTCGATTATTTACAGACCGCCTTCATATAGCTGTAATATTGCTGAGTGTGGCGTTGAACAACAAACATTGTTTTATATTTATCAACGCATAAATGTTCTCCATATAACAGTTTCATTCACCAGCCCCATCCTGTCCATGACCTTGCTTTCTACCCTCTCTGGTCGCCACCATATAAGGACACAAACCACCAGAATGTAGGTATTCTGGAGGATGCTGATTGGGTTTAAAATCCGACGTCGCGCATTCCGGAAGTTGCGTGACGTCAGCGTAGACAGCTGATTCCAAAATGACGTCGGACGTGTTTGATTCCGGTGTTGCTCTGACGTGTCGGTTGGTTTTGAGTCTATCATGAGGGATATTTCATCTGAAATAGATAACATATATTAACTTCCTTTTGTACAAACACTCACGAATTTGGAGAAGGTGAGGTGAGGTGAAATGAAATGGGGTTTACGATAATTGCTCTTATATAGCGACGTGCATGCATGTGTGTGTGTGTGTGTGTGTGTGTGACTGCTTGTACTATTCCGGATTAATGTCGATTTTATAGTGTCATCCCAGTGAGATGCCATGCAACAGTTTAACATGAATTCCCAATTCAGACACAGTAGCCCCTTAACGCCAGGCAGGGTAAGAACAAGTACCATCTTTTAACGTCTTTTCTTATGACGCAGCCGGGGATCGAACCCCGGACCTTCCGCTCTACGGGCAGACGCTCTACCACTAGACCACGGAGGCGGTCCGAATTTGTAGGTCCTGGATAAGGAATTAAACAAAATTTCAGAATCGTCGTTAGAAATAATGTAGACGTTGTCACGATAAGATAATCATGAGTTATATGGCATTTTTGGCATTCAAGATTTATCTCTGTCTGCAAACTGTAGGGCGAAGGAAAACATAAACTGCACTGCAAATTTCCGGTCCAAAACACAACTATAATACTTGTATCAAATACATCACCATCGAATAACCAGGTCTTGTTTGTTTCATTTTTTTGCCACCATGAAACATGGGTGTATTCTTTCTATTGCCCGGCAGTTCGTAACAATTGTGTAACAAGAAATATCAAACGACAAATGATAACATTGTTACTTTAAACATGTCATGATTACTGTGTTGTGTCACATGATTTGATTGCTACCTTAACCGTTTTAGGTTCGTCTGATCTTCACCTCTAATCCCTCACTCACTCACTTACCCGCCAAACCACCCACCCACTCACCCAACCAACCAACTACCCATAACTCACTCACTCACTTACTCACTCACTCACTAACCCACTCACTCACTCATTCATTCATTCACCCATCCACCCACTCACTCACTCACTCACTCACTCACTCACCCACTTACTCACTCACCGACTAACCAACTCACTCAACCATCCACCCACTCACTCACTCACTAACCCATTCACTCACTCACTCACTCACTCACTAACCCACCCACCCACTCACTCACTCACCAACCCATTCACTCACTCACTCACCCACTCACTCAACCACTCACTCACTCACTCACCCACCCACCCACTCACTCACTCACCCACCCACCCACCCACTCACTCACTCACTCACTCACTCACTCACTCACTCACCCACTTACTCACTCACCGACTAACCCACTCACTCACTCATTCACTCACTCAACAACCCACCCACTCACTCACTCACTTACCCATTCACTCACTCACTCACTAACCCACCCACCCGGTCACTCACTCACCAACCCATTCACTCACTCACTCACCCACTCACTCACTCACTCAACCACTCACTCACTCACTCACTCACTCACCAACTCACCCACTCACTCACTCACCCACCCACTCACTCAACCACACACCCACACACCCACACACCCACTCACTCACTCACTCACTCACTCACCCACCCTACCACTCACCCACCTACCCACTGACCGCCTCCGTGGTCTTGTGGTAGAGCGTCCGCCTGGAGAGCGGAAGGTCCAGGGTTCGATCCCGGGCCGCGTCATACAAAAAGACGTTAAAAGATGGTACTTGTTGTTACCCTGTCTGGCGCTCGGCATTAAGGGGCTAAAACAAGGACTGGTCGGCTCGGAGTCAGTATACTGTGTCTGAGTGGGGTATTCATGTTAAACTGCGGCATGGTATCTCAGTCAGCTAGCACTATAAATCGGCATCAGTCCGGACTAGTACAAGCAGCCACACACACACATACACGTCGCACGTCGCTATATAAGTGCAATAATCTTGGACGCGACGTTAAACCCAATTTCACCTCACCTCACCTCACCTACCCACTCACTCACTCACTCACCCACCCACCCACCCAACCAACCACCCAACCACCCACTCACTCACTCACTCACCTTTATCCCTGGCATGGATGCTGTTCTTTAAGCGTGTCCTGGCCTCTCCGACAGTGAGCGATGTTTTGAGACATTCCATGCCGTTATGCACTACGTCTCCACAGTGGTCTCTGTAAATGGAACGTGGTCACGTCAAGTGTGACCTGTAATCTTGGGTTCGATAAAGAAATCCGTCGACCAGTTCCGATTTGAATCCATCTGTTCATAGAATACAACCACTACCTACCCATAGGATTTTATTGTCACTCTACGCATTTATTGCTTGTTATTTTATGGCACGTTAATAACGTAAAAAAAGATATTTACATAATTAGTTCAGAGCAGGGTGATAAAATCGGCCAAAACTGAAATCAAATGTTAACGTCATGAAGACAAATTCTGAAACGTCACATATCGAATAAGTTCTTAAGTCATATGTTGTCAAGGAAACATGAAATAGGCGTAGTTAATTTCTATTCCAGCGTTTGTGGGTTCGAATCCCGGTTCGCCGCGATGATGTTTCTAGGTTTGTCAGCAACTACCCGTGCTCGTGGGTTTCGCCAAAGTGGTAACAGTGAAAAACCTACGCCACTTCGGACTTTCCTCCATGTAGATGAAGCTCACGCCGTCGTGTAACTGGAATGCTGTTCAAAACAGCGTTAAACCCAACTCACTCACTCACTATTTCAGTTTGCAAGTCTTTACATTGCTAGCCGGTCGGTACACAATGGATTGTTACATAAAAACTCTCTAATCTTTCTAACATTCTCAACAACTGGAATACTTACTTCCATTGCCGAACTGCCTTGATAAATATTCTGAGGCGACTGGTGTCATCACTATGATCCTCGCTTGTAATGAGTTCTACTGAAAAATAAGTGATGATTTGTCAAGCGTAATTCAGATTTTTCTTTTTTTGTCTTTTTAAACATCTTAAAATCCGCTATACCACTGTGGACATGGACACAATGATATTAATACAACATACGCCTGAATTCTGAATGAGTTAGGATTAGAGCAGCTTTGAGCAGAATGTCAGTTACAGAGATTGGTTTGTCATTTGTCTACAAACATGTGCCATTCACGTTTTACATACCATGTATACCGCGTATACTTCCCAGGGAGACGAGAAAGAAAATTGAGTGTACACTGATCCACTGGGGTAATGCAATGTAAATATGTAGGACCATTAGCATTTATTGGGAGGAATTTGGCGCATTATAAATGGAATTAATTATTATTATGATTATTATTGTTGTAATTTTTGTTGTTGTCATAATCATCATCATCATCATCACCATCATCATCATTTGGATAGTGGCAATGAAGAGTCAAGCCTTGTCAAGAGGTATAGGTTGTTTGTTTTGACTGTATACATCTCACTGTAAGCATATATTCCCATGACTGCATCCAGTGGAGTGGAAGCGGTGTACGTTGTATTGAAGAGTACATCTGGTCTTCACTTACATACGAAATCCGCCATGTTGGTGTTGACTGGGCATGTAATGTCGACTGCCTGTAGTTGTTCCGTCAACATAGATGTCTCCCCAGAATACACCACCTTCAAGGACAGCATCATACAGTCCATACGATGTAGTTACTGTCATCATATAGTTGAACCAGTACAGACAGACAGATTTAGAGTCATTAAATTGTTTCACTTAATGAAGCAAAAGATGTGTGGGGTGGCAGGTGGTTGGAAACCCTGGTGTGAGGGGTGAAGGGTGTCTGGGGTGACGGGAGTTTGGGGTGAAGGGTGTCTGGGGTGACGGGTGTCTGTGGTGGCAGATGGTTGGGAAGACAGGTTTGTTAGGTGGTTGGAAACCCTGGTGTGAGGGGAGAAGGGTGTCTGGGGTGACGGGTGTGTGGGGTGACATTAGGAAGACGGGTGTGTGGGGTGACGGGTGTTAGGTGTGAAGGGTGACGGGTGGTTGGGAAGACAGGTGTTTTGGTTGACGGGTCTGTGGGGTGACAACAGTGAGGGGTGACAGGTTTGTGGTGTGACAGGTGGTTTGGAAAACAGGTCTGTGGGGTGACGGGTGTGTGGGGTGACATTAGGAAGACGGGTGTGTGGGGTGACGGGTGTTAGGTGTGAAGGGTGACGGGTGGTTGGGAAGACAGGTGTTTTGGTTGACGGGTCTGTGGGGTGACAACAGTGAGGGGTGACAGGTGTGTGGTGTGACAGGTGGTTTGGAAAACAGGTCTGTGGGGTGACGGGTGGTTGGGAAGACAGGTTGGTGGGGTGATGGGTGGGTGGGGTGACGGGTGTTTGGGAAGACAGGTGTGTAGGGTGAGGGGTGACTGGTGGGTGGGGTGACGGATGTGTGGGGAGACGGGTGTGTGGGGTGAGGGGTGTTGGCCGTGCAAAAGGAAGCTTAAGGGCAATAAGGCGCGGGCAGGCTCGTTGTCCCACATATTTACCAACGAGAACTGATGAATGAATACGTTGACTGATGAACAAATAAACAAATATATCCAAACCCCTCAAAAGGATGAATACATACCTCGCCTGCATACAGGAAGATCACTTTGGAACACATCTGGTATATAGCGCTGCTAACGCTCTCGGTTGCTATGACAACAATCTTGTCCAAGCTTTCTGCTAAATATTTCAGATTTCTCGTAAGACGTATGGATTCCTCAAAACTTAGCCCAGAAAAAGGCTCCTGAAACGTCAATATATAATTCTCATAAGCGGTGCAAGAACACCTGATTCATTCATATGACTATAGCTATTCTGTCATGACATGACAGATTAACTATAGTCATATGAAAGAATCGGGTCATGACATGACATATTTACTTTAGTCATATGAAAGAATCGGGTGTTCCTTAACTTCACCCGATTTGAGTAGTATATGTCGGTTGTGTACATGTGTACTAACAAAGCTGAGAGGACATATCCTTAGTGTGTTACAAATGTTATGTTTTCCGATAATTAGTATTCGAATGTTGAAACGGTATACAATAAATTACAGTTAAAACGAACTTAAATGGACCATTAATTTTAATTCATTATAACCGTAGTTCGTTATAAGCATATGTACAACATATACACATAAAATGGACGGGGTCAAGAAACAGTTCGTTGTATCCGGAAGCTCGTTATATGCGTGTTCGTTATAAACGTAGTTTACTGTAGTAGGCTTGCTTCACAGCCTTAATGACCTTGATATGCCATGAATTCAAATTTAAAGATATTTCCGACACTCTAAGACTTCACCTGACTGATAAATAAATATCAATACAAAGCATTACTTTGAGAGAAAAAATGTTGACAGTCACTATGCATGAGTGAGTGGGTTGGGTTTAACGCACCTTTTAACAGTATTCCAGTTATATCGCGGCGTGTCAGCTTAATGTGGGAGGAAAGCCCGAAGTGATGCAGGTCTCAGACGTTTACCACTTCGGTGAAACCCACGAGCACGGGTATGGTGCTGACAAACCTTGAAACATAATCGGGGCGAACCGGGATTCGAACCCACAATCATAGGTTTCTGGCGTGCCCAAGGGACGCAACTCTGCACAGCGAATCGCGGCGCCTTAGACGACTGGGCCACCCGTGCCCCCCACTCTGCATGACTGGAAGCAGAACCGTATATTCTGGATCAGAAGCTTACATCTACCAGCAGGACAGACGGATCAGTCAACATCTCACACGCTAAGCTGAGACGCCGTTTTACCATTGGTGATGTGAATTGCGCACCTGTGGACAGACCAATACTTCAATCATATATCAGAACACTATATGACATGATTGACACTGAAATTAACACATACACTTTCATATTATGTTTATATACTGCGTAGTCAATACGTGTAAATAGGCCTACATGTTGAAAGTGACCCGTGAAGATCCGGATTAGAATAGGTCTTCAGCAACCCGTGCTTGAGGTAAAAGGCGACTATGCATGTCGTAAGAGGCGACTATACGGGATCGGGTGGTCAGGCTCGCTGACTTGGTTGATGCATGTCATCGTATCCCAATTGCACGGATCGATGCTCATGATATCAATCACTGGATTGTCAGGTCCAGACTCGATTATTTACAGACCGCCGTCTTATAGCTGGAATATTGCTGTGCGCGGCGTTAAACATCAAACAAACAACATGTTGAAAGAGCCCATGCAGAGGCATCAGAAAGGCTCCGTTTCACAAATCGAATTTAGCTCCAGGACTGTCGTAAGCGTACGTTTAATTTTTGGGTTTACAGTCGTCTTGGAGCTGAGACAACTTTGCGCAACACCGTCCTTGGCTTACATGCACAGAACGATCTTAGCACTGAGACAAGTACCTGACTTTAACATTGACCAAATATAGCTGCTGCGCTAAGGCCGCTTTGTGAAACCGAGCCCGGTCTGCATGGTCACTTAATATAAGTGAGTGAGTGAGTTTAGTTTAACGCCGCATTTAACAGTATTCCAGTTATATCACGGCGTGTCAGCTTAATGTGGGAGGAAAGTCCGAAGTGATGCAGGTTTTAGACGTTTACCACTTCGGTGAAACCCACGAGCACGGGCATGGTGCTGACAAACCTAGAAACATAATCGGGGCGAACCGGGATTCGAACCCACAGTCATAGGTTTCTGGCGTGCCAAAGGGTCGCAACTCTGCACAGCGAATCATGCGCCTTAGACGACTGGGCCACCCGTGCCCCCCACTTAATATAAAGGGAGTAACAACCAGTGCTTTAAACATCTGTTTCTTCTACAATAATTCCTTATTCTTTCAAAGAAGGCTAATAGTATGTATTCCATTCGACAGTTCTGTGACCATTTACCTAAGACAATGTATTGCTTGAGTCCGAAGAACTCAATAACTTTGTCGGCTCTCTCATCCCTTTCAGACGGCGACATCAACGACGGTAAACGTAGGGACGCGTCATACTGAAAATATGTACATGTTTTTAATGTTAGTGGGGTTTTTATATGGCAAACGCATTGATGCTTGGACTACTTTTTGATCAGGGGCTAACTTATCTTCAAAGATTTTCTGCGTGAAGCGTCCGGTTGCCAACTCCAACCAACCTGCACAGTTTCCTTGACTGTCAACAAAGGAAGAAAGATGTCGTCTGCTGCAACTATGGCGAGCTCCTGTCGTCTGCTTCCAAGCGGGTCACCTCCGAGGTGGATTTGACCGGAAGTGATAGGTACTCTTCCCCCCAAGGCGTACATCAAAGAGGTTTTGCCACAACCTGGTTAAGATAAAAAAAATTAAGAGAACAGTTGAAGGTTTGAATTGCATTCACAGGATGTTTTAAACAAACATCATTATAAATTATGGTACTAGTGATTGGCCTTCAGACTTCAAAACTTACATTTTCGGAAAATATATCGGCCTAACAACACAGAAATGCATTTAGGGTTGTCGTGCTTAGTATCGATTGGGGACCCCCTCCGTTGTCTAGTGGTAGAGCGTCCGCCTGGAGAGCGGAAGGTCCGGGGTTCGATCCCCGACCGCGTCAAACCAAAAGACGTTAAAAGATGGTACTTGTTGTTACCCTGTCTGGCGCTCGGCATTAAGGGGCTAAAACAAGGACTGGTCGGCTCGGAGTCAGTATTCTGTGTCTGAGCGGGGTATTCATGTTAAACTGCGGCATGGTATCTCAGCACTAGCACTATAAATCGGCATCAGTCCGGACTAGTACAAGCAGCCACACAAACACACACACGTACATGCACGTCGCTAGATAAGCGCAATAATCTTGGACGCGACGTTAAACCCCATTTCACCTCACCTCACCTGGTATCGATGGATAATTAATTAACATAATGTATTTGAGAAATGAATATTTAAGAGTAATTATTTAAGAAATAAACGACGAGTGGGGGTTGTTTATCGTATAATAAAACACTGCCCCTCATGGTTTATTCTCCCTACAGTGTTTTATTATACGATAAACAACTCCCACTCGCCGTTTATTTCTTAAATAATTACTTATTCTTATCTACCCCCTATAATAGCAGCATGAAGCTTCTTATATGTTTCAATGCATGCATTGCCCACAAAAAGCGTATACGTCTTCCAGTGCATGTAACAAAGACATGGTTGCCTCATTGTCAACCTGTATGTTGACATATCAGTGAGAAATACCGCTAAGACCAAGAACCGCCATGAGCTCCCCGGGCCTCACACGTCCATGAACTTGATTTACAGCAGGACTGTCGCCTCTGTTGACAGAGAGCTCCCGGAACACCAGTTCTTTTTTACCGGGCGGCCGTCGTGAGAACATCGTGTCTGTATTAAATAACTCTACTCGTCCCTCCTAAACATGACACCCAACCGTTGTCGATCGACCTGTTGACAAAGTAGGCATACAGAAGTGAGAGAGAAAAGAACTGAAAGGTACCAGTACTGACAAATTGTGAAAAGATAAAAATTGAGAAAGACCTGAGACGGTTCAGTTGGATGTGCAGACACAACAACGATCAAATGCACGACAATGTGGGTAGGCCGACGAAATCTAAATCACTGAATAGCCTATCGTTACTGTAGAGATCGAGCGGGTTCCAAAATACCCAGTAACTTTTCAGTTTCCATCGACTATTTCCGAAGCGAAGTAACAGTCGAACAACTTCTGTCATCTTGACAAAGTAAACATAATTTATGGATAACAACTTCTTTATTTACTGTAAAGGCGACGTTTCGGTATCAATCCTTATACCGTTGTCAAGTCAACTTCTAAGTAATGCCCATCAAACAATTCATTATTTGCATGATGTTAACGTCACAGACTCCATAATGTAAAGATCCGGGGTAGAAGAGGTCTTCAGCAACCCATGCTTGAGGTAAAAGGCAACTATGCTTGTCGTAAGAGGAGGCGACTAATGAGATCGGATGGTCAGGCTCGCTGACTTGGCTGATGCATGTCATCGTATCCCAATTGCGTGGATCGATGCTCATGATGTCAATCACTGGATTGTATGGTCCAGACTCGACTATTTACAGACCGCCTTCATATAGCTGAAATATCGCTGTGTGCGGCATCAAACGACAAACAAAGATAATTATCACGTCGTGTGTGATGTCAGTTAGCCCTGGGGTACACAAACTTGTGATCGATAGTATGAGCATCGATGCACGTAAGGGTAAGACTACGCATAGATCAGCCAAATGTGGGTTCACGGGCGGCCCAGTTGTCTAACACGTCTAAGTTGCGTCCCTTACGCGAGCCAGAATACAGTGATCGTGAGTTCGAAACCCAGATTCGCCCTGATTTTTTGGTTTGTTTGCACCATACCCTTGGCCGTTTGAGTTGTCACGTGGTGATATAACTGAAATGCTTTTCAAAGAGGTGAAAAGCTCAACTCACCCAGTCACCCGCCCATAATGCTTACAATGCATTCCAAGAAGCCATGGGATTTATGTTTGAGACGGTGTCTTGTTTCAATCAGCGCTTCAGAACACATCAGTTTGAGTTGAGTTTTCAAATAGATTTGTTTACCTACAATACATTATTTTTCAGAACATCCAACATGCCCGACCGCCTCCGTGGTCCAGTGGTAGAGCGTTCGCCCGGAGAGCGGAAGGTCCGGTGTTCGATCCCCGGCCTCGTCATACCGAAAGACGTTTAAAGATGGTACTTGATGTTACCCTGTCTGGCGCTCGGGGCTAAAGGGGCTAAAACAAGGACTTGTCGGCTCGGAGTCAGTGTCTGATTGGGGTATTCATGTTAAACTGCGCCATTGCATCTCGGTGAGCTTGCACGACAAATCGACATCAGTCAGGACTGTAGTACAAGCAGCCAGGGGCCTGAAGTTAGCAGCGGGTTCGTTATTCGTTATTCGTTTTCCGAATAACGAAAAACAAGCCAGCACAGGGTTCGTTATTCAAAGGCTGTATATTAAACAACTACACTAATGTTGTCAAATACACTGAAACTAATTTAATATAAGACAACAGGTTCGTCTTACATCATCATCCAAAAGCTGTTTAGTTATTCAGTACTTTTGAATTACAAAAAACAAACCAGTACCGGGTTCGTTATTCAGGTTATTTCCAACAATTCTATTAAATATAAGATAGTCTATAGTCTACCTCCCAGCTATTCAGTACTTTTGAATAAGGAAAACTAACCAGCACCGGGTTCGTTATTCAGTTAATGTCCAAGAAAATATATAAATAAATTGAATAAAGAATCTGCTACTGTTTTTATTTTATGTACTTATTTACAATAAAGACTTATATTGTGGGAAAACCTTTGCAGAAGCAGCCCTCATTAAATATTGACTGTATTTTAGGACAAATAAACAAATATAGGAAAATCTAATTGTATAATGAGTGTGGCATCTGCTCATAGACCCTGTCACTGTATCGCTTTCTCCAACCACACCCCATACATGCGTTCCCACAGAAAAAAACCGTTTCTGGTCAGGGGCCATCATCACCCAGTCTTACAATGTATCCATGTTTTCATGAATTACATGACTGGTCAGTTAATGGTGGTGACATATCCAACAGCTGCAGTAAGATGTCTTACTACTCTCCGAATGTCTGATACTATGACATAAGATTTGTTTGGGTTTGTAACTTTGATCGTTGACTACGACCTGGAGTGGATCCCAAGATTGTATTCATCATATAGGTGACAAGTTAACCTCACGTTTGTTTGCACAGTTCTAGACAACCACTTGCATAGTGCAGTAAACTTAGAATATAGTTCAGTAGAGTTCAAGACTTCAGTAAACATAAGTGTACATTGTCTGTATAGATACATTGCCATTTAGTATTATAGCAGTCAGATGGATCAGTTTTGCAATGTGACATATATAACTTTCTGTCCACAGCAAATGTACCTATAAAATGAACATAACTGCTATCTGACGAACGGCATTTTATAGAAAATACTGTCTGGGTAACTCACTACATTTATTTTAACTGTTATGATAATTATCATACACGAGTGTAAGTAGTATTGTAACCCTTTCCTACAAATAAATTGAGTACAGTTTGATCTATCCCCTTTTAGTTCGTTATTATTCATCCATAAACTGCCGGAAAGAATCCGACTGAATAGTGTTATTGATTAAAGATGAATGGTGCTGTTTAGATTCCAGTTGCTGGACAGCACTTAGTAACTAAAAACTGCTTGAACATAGATTAGACTACCTCACATTTGTCAATTTGTTGGACAAGAACTGAAAACTAAAATGCTGCAGTTTAGTTTTTCGTTATTCAAAAGCACTGAAAAACTAAACAGCTTTTGGACATGGAAGATGAATCTGCTGTCATATATCAAATGAGTTTCAGTGTATTTGACAAAATTACTGTAGTTGTTTAATATACAGCCTTTGAATAACGAACCCGGTGCTGGCTTGTTTTTTGGTATTCGAAAAACGAATAACGAAAGAACCCACTGGAAATATGGTATCTTATATTTGTTATACCAAGTCTGAATAACGAACCCGGTGCTGATTTGTTTTTCGTTATTCCAAAGTACTGAATAACTAAACAGCGTTTGGATTATGATGTAAGACGAACCTGTTGTCATATTAAATTAGTTTCAGTGTATTTGACAAAATAACGAACCCCGCGCTGGCTTGTTTTTCGTTATTCAAAAAACGAATAACGAACCCACTGCTAATTTCAAGCTCCTTCACGCACGCGCACGCACACGCACGCGCACGCACACGCACACGCACACGCACACACACACACAAGCAGTTTTTGGAAGAGATATTTCTTTATAAAAACACATACAAACATTTCACATATGCTGACACTTTTGTTGATGTGAAGAATGTTCACTGAATTTAAAAGCTACACTTTCATCAAAAACGTACAAAGTGAAATTCCCCTTCACCCAACGATTTATACATACTTTTTTTTATTCCGCTAACATATTTCTTTAGATGAGTTACAACATTCAAGGCCTCAGTAAAGTTTTCAAAACGTTTTATGGCAGACATGTGGAGGACATTTCCAAATCTGAAGCATCCGTGACAAAAATGATGTTGGATGCAATGCCCTATTTTGACTTGAACCATATGTTCCCGTGCTTTTCTCCAGGGGAACAGTTGACTTGCCGTGGCGTGTGTTTTTGACGGGTCCCACAGGTGGGGCAGGATACGATCACCTTTTCGGCAACTCTTTTCACTATTTAACATGCACTACATGCTTATGATATAGACCCTTCCATAATCAATTCATAAGAAATCTTCAAGGCGTCAATCAAGGCCAGAGAATGAACAGTCGCGAAAAATCGTCCGCCGAAATAGATTCCATTTGGGTAGAAAAGACAAAAATGGATCATTGAAAATCAGTGATGACACCAGGTGTTCGCGAAAAGTGCAAACATGTCCTTATCATGTACCTACAGGTAGCACCCGCCACTCACACAATTTGTCACTTCGTTACTAAAATTTAGGATTTGTTAACCTGGAAACTTGCTAATCAGGACGATTTCAGTGGGCACGCTATAGTCCAGATTAACGGGTTTCACTATATTTACTTGTATATAACTAAACTTTTACAATTTCTATCAACAGTGCGATCACAACTTAACTATTTGTTCAGAACTCAAAGCAAGACACGGTTCGTCGCCTCTATATCTTTTTCATTTTTTTAAACTAGAGCATCTCAACAATACTAGAAAACACATAAAAATCTATCACGATTCATTAATATCCTGCTAAATGAAGTCAACATCATACCATCTTGATATGTATTTATTACATTTAAACAAACTAATTTTATCATGATATCAGTTATGTATGGGATGATTTTAAGAGACTAAAAACTTTAACCTTTCATAACACCCCGAGGAAATTTTGTAAATACGTCATAGCTCATTTGCATAGCCATTTTTTGCGGAGCTTTTACATAGCACAAGTCGAAAGGGCCAAAGGAGTTACATTCATTGTTAGTCGTTTGTTTTGTACATGTATTGGCTTTGTACAAAATTCTTGTTCATATTAAATCTCCCCACTTAAAACTTACTCTAATATCTCGACACAGAAAGGAAGCGATTGGCCATATTGGGTGTGATGTTGTATAGAAGATCCGGGCTAGAATTGGTCTTCAGCAACCCATGCTTGCCGCAAGAGGCGACTTACGGGATGAGGCGGTCAGACTCTCTGACTTGGTTGATGAATGGCATCGTATCCTAATTGCTTAGATTGACGCTTATGATGGATCGATGCTCTATCACTTGATTGTCTGGTCCACACTCGACCGTCGTCCTGTAGCTGGAATATTGCTGAATGCGGCGTCAAGCAACAAACAATTAAAGCCATCTCTCAAGTATATTCTGATAAGAAATATGTTTGCTTTGTAGGATTATCTCTTCATACACAAAAAGGAAAACAGTCCAGAGAATCTCTTCACGATATTCCAGCCACTCCAGTGAGGTGAGGTGAAATGGGGTTTAACGTCGCGTCCAAGATTATTGCACTTATATAGCGACGTGCATGTACGTGTGTGTGTTTGTGTGGCTGCTTGTACTTGTCCGGACTGATGCCGATTTATAGTGCTAGCTCACTGAGATACCATGCCGCAGTTTAACATGAATACCCCACTCAGACACAGTATACTGACTCCGAGCCGACCAGTCCTTGTTTTAGCCCCTTAATGCCGAGCGCCAGACAGGGTAACAACAAGTACCATCTTTTAACGTCTTTTGGTATGACGCGGCCGGGGATCGAACCCCGGACCTTCCGCTCTCCGGGCGGACGCTCTACCACTAGACCACGGAGGCGGTCCCACCAGGAACGGGCTTCACATTTATAAGGGGCAGTGGGGTGGCCTAGTGGTTAAGGTGTTCGCTCTTCACGCCGAACACCCGGGTTTCATTGCCGTCATGGCTTCAATGTGTGAGGCCTTATTCTGGTGTCTCACGCCACAATAAGGCCGGAATATTTCTAAAAGCGTCGTAGAACCTAAATTACTCACTCACTTACAAGGTAATAGGGAATAAAACCCTATATATCTGAACGAACACTTTATAACCACAAACTACACAGGCCCTCCCTCAGACATAGTATTTGAAAATGATACTTGATATGATGAATGAGATTATCAAAGAAATATGTTAAAAGAGTATTATATTTCCACCAGCACCAATACCCAATAACAGTGAACAAATCGAAAATATTGAATTACGCACTAACCTGTTTGATCAATTCACGTGTCAAACCTTCCTTAGGGCGATCACTGATGGGGTGACTCAAGTCAGTTTCGTCCCATCAGATCAGAAGTGTTTTTATGTTTGATCGGGGCGGGAAAGTACTTTAACCGGGCCCTGGTGATGGATGATGCATAAGTTGATAAGCTTAAACGGGAAGAATGAGGGTGTGTTTCGCAAAGACAGGGAAGCCTCTTAAATATTCAAATAGCATTGTGTATTCTACAAATTTATTCGACAGCTGTCGAGATAGTGTGTGATTGATGAATGCGCAGGAGATTCAACACGGTTTAGCCTGTCTGTCGTTGGAGATAAGGTGCTTGACACTATAAGCATATGTATGTGATAAGAGCATTATATAACCTTTCATGGACATTGGTGAGGTGACGTGAAATGGGGTTTAACGTCGCGTTTTAGATTATTGATCTTATATAGCGACGTGTGTGCGTGCGTGCGTGCGTGCGTGCGTGCGTGCGTGCGTGTGTGTGTGTGTGTGTGTGTTCGGCTGACTTTACTGGTCAACTTCCCGGGGCAAAGGGCGTTAACTGACTATAAAAGTCCATTTTCCGCTCTTGCCGAACTAGGCTTGAATTCCGGAGTCTGCTGCTATAATCCAATCAAAATCGCGAAACGAACTAGACATCCGGTTTCTGCAGGATTTGCCAAGCATGTGTACCGTCAACTGGGCGTCGACAGATATTTTGCAAATCTTTTCACATTTTTAATCAAGGTGGTCAATTATATGATGCACTTCGCGTTTTATTGCAATTTAGATCTTCATTAACGATCAGATCGTCTTGACTGGGCGCCGTTATTTTGTTTGAAGCAAATGCAAGTCATATGAGAGAAGGTATCTGATTGGTCAATAGGGTGAACATAGAAGGGACATTACAGCCACTGTTAACTTCCTTGCCTCTGGAAGATGGTACTAGTCCGGATTAATGCTGAGTTTACAGTGTTAGCCCACTGAGATACCACTGTGCAGTATAGAAGGAATACCCGACTCAGACACACTATACTGACTCCGAGCCGACCAGTCCTTGTCCCCTTAATGCCGTGTGTGTGTGTGCGTGCGTGCGTGCGTGCGTGCGTGCGTGCATGCGTGTTTGTGTGTGTGTGTGTGTGTGTTGTATTTTGTATTATTTCATAGTATTTCATAATAAGCACCCGTCTTGAATAAACGCCTACCTTGAATAAAGGCCTGATCGTACGTTCGTCCGTCCGTCAGTCCGTTATCATGTATTGTCCGGGTCATATGTCTAAAACTAATAATAAGTAATCTTTCATGAAACTCTGCACGCACAAAGATGGTACCTTTTGCTATTTAGGGATTTTTAGAAGTTTTACCTTTTTTCTGTTTCCATGACAACGACTTCGATTTTGACTCTTGAAGATTGTCTGGATAGCTATTCACCAGTGAAGGTAACCAAAGTAACAGAGGGGAAATGTTTAGTGTAAACATCTATATATGTATCATTTGGCAGCAATATCATAGGATTGCATAAGTTTAATGTGAAAGGTGAGCTTCAGTAACTATGGATAACTACAGTTGGTAATGGAACAGATTATAGCATAAGCCATACACCAATTGTGAGACATCCACTAACTCATATTTTTGCAAAAAAAAGACCATACAAATACAGAATACAAAGTTCCGAATGCCAATCCCTTGGTATTGTTTTGGTAGCTCAAAAAATATCTCCCGATACTGTTGTGTACGGACAGACAGCCAGGTTAGCTAGGAATTCTCTCAAGTTGGCCAGATCTCTCTTGTAGGAATTGCTGTAACAGTTGCTTGTTTTTACTTTTGAATTCGTGGGGGCGGGGGTTGTCATCTTCTGATGACTTGTTTATATTTTAAAAAATCCGATATACTCATCTACCTATTATATTGTTACTGTTTGATTTCGTGATAGACCAAATTTTAATGTAAAGGTCAGAGAATTAGGGATTCGAGTATACTTGCTTGCATCAACGTCAATGACAAGTACAAAGTTCCGTTCGTGGTCTAACTAGTATCTGTTAGTTAGACCACATGTCAAAACAAAGAATTAAGCCATGCTGCCAGCCTCTGCAGTGAACGTTCAGATCATACATGTACATTGTATGCGTATCTTTGGATGCGTTTTGTTGGGAATGTCATCGCTGAGTTTGGTCTTTCTGAAATCTATTTATAATAACCTGTTACTAATTATGTTCTACGTTTGAAGGGTGACTTGAATGACCAGTTCCTACAAAGGGAATCTTCTGTCCAAAGCTCATCCTGCTCACAGCGCATTCTGCTCACAGCTCGTTCTGGTCACTGCTAATTTTGCTCACAGCTCATCCTGCTCACAGCTCATCCTATTCACAGCTCATTCTGCCCACAGCTCATTCTGCTCACTGCTCATTCTGCCCACAGCTCATCTGCTCACAGCTCACTCTGCTCACAGCTCGCTCTGCTCACAGCTCACTCTGCCTACAGCTCATTCTGCTCACAGCTCACTCTGCTCACAGCTCACTCTGCTCACAGCTCATCTGCTCACATCTCACTCTGCTCACAGCTCATCTGCTCACAGCTCACTCTGCTCACAGCTCATTCTGCCGACAGATCATCCTGCTCACAGCTCACTCTGCCTACAGCTCATCTGCTCACAGCTCACTCTGCTCACAGCTCACTCTGCCTCTAGCTCACTCTGCCTACAGCTCATTCTGCCTACACTCATTCTGCTCACAGCTCATTCTGCCTCTAGCTCACTCTGCCTACAGCTCATACTGTCAACAGATCATCCTGCTCACAGCTCATTCTGCCCACAGCTCATCCTGATCACAGCTCATTCTGCCTCCAGCTCACTCTGCCCACAGCTCATTCTGCCGACAGCTCACTCTGCTCACAGCTCATTCTGCATACAGGTCATTCTAACTACAGCTCATTCTGCATACAGCTCATTCTGCCTACAGCTCACTCTGCCTACAGCTCATTCTGCCTACAGTTTATAATGCACATAATACGTTTAATTAGGGGATAAGTTCCACATGACGGAATAATTACTGAATACCTGTCTTCCATTTCCCACATCAGACCAGTCCTTTTAACACAAATTACAAAGACAAGTATATGAAGGAATGTGAATACATATCAACCTAACTTATTTCATAACGTGCATTGAGAACTAGCTTCTAGCATTTGCTGAAGTTAAATTTAATTTGAATTGTAACTTGACTTATTTTATGCCAAGATACCATAATATATATGAACATATGAGTACTTATGATGTGATATCATCATAGTAGGGCTGGAACGAGTCCAAATTTACTACCCGGGTACCCACCCCGCTATTACCCGACCCTACCCGGGGACCCGCTACAGGTCTCAAGAAATTGGTACAAAAGGACCGATTGGAAATAGTTTGAGCGTAGCCCTGGTAAAATGTATTTAAATATATGTTTAAAACGATCTGGTCATGCATACACTGAAGTTGACTGAAGTGTTATTTTTATTCAATTCTATAAAGGTCAGAAGCAATGGTGCTTAGTCAGAAAGAAATGCGAACATTGAAGTGTAACCATAGAGTTCTAGATATTTTTTTATCATTAAACAATATATCACGTGACTCACCACGGGTCCGGGTAGTCCTACTCAGTACCCACCCGGCCGGAGTACCCGAGTTACCCGTCCCAGCCCATGTATCATGTATAGGATAATGATGTTATGTTGTCACAAATGAAATATGATGAATGCAATACAAATGAAAGATATTGATACAACTGGTTACGTTTTGCATAATGAATATTCATCTCTCAACGGACATCCCCCAGTGGGCTTACATCTAATACACTTTCTGAAAGCACAAATCATAACATAAGGAATAAAGCTGGTCGTCAAACAGTGAAGTGTAAAACAGCATATGCAGATTCACCTACACCAGCTACAACAAAACAGCCCACAAGTTATTATCTATTGAAACAGTGTTTCCTTTGATATTAGCTTCGGTCAGCAGATAAACCCAGTAGGCTGGTGTTCTTCTCTGAGTATAGGTTAGACCACGAGGACACAGTGTCTTATCGTTGAAATGGTTAGTTAAACCACGAGGCGCGCAGCAACTACTTGACAACGATATAAGGATCTATACCGAAACGTCACTTTTTACAGTGTTAAAGTTGGTTGGTTGGTTGGTTGTTTAACGCCGCACTCAGCAATATTCTAGCTATATGACGGCAGTCTGTAAATAACCGAGTCTGGACCAGACAATCCAGTGATTAATGTCATGGGCATCGATATACGCAATTGGGATCGATGACATGCATCAACCAAGTCAGCGAGCCTGACCACCCGATCCCGTTAGTCGCCTTTTACGACAAGCAGGGTCACCTTTTACGGCAAGCATTGGTTGCTGAAGAGCTCTTCTACCCCGGAATCTTCACGGGTCTACAGTATTAAAGTTGTTATCCATAGAATTGTGTCTACCTTGTCATCCGTCAACTAGAAATGCCTATCAAACAAGTTACAATTCAGTTAGTTAGACCACGGTCAAAGACAAAGCAGCTGTGGTTTAAATCTAAATTAGTGTCTCATATATAGTGTAATTCATTGCTTAGTGAATACGATTACGAAATTACTTCGATATGGGTACGAATTTTCTCATTTCTTGGGGTACGAATTCGTTATGGTTACGAATTTACATACACCCTTCCCAAAAATATCCCTATATTACTCTTGTGTTTAATTACTTTACTTCCCTGGGGCGGTCGGGTTCGATTCCCCACATGGGTACAATGTGTGAAATCCATTTTCTGGTGTCCCCCGCCGTAATATTGCTGGAATATTGCTAAAAGCGGCGTAAAAACATACTCACTCACTCACTTTACTTCCCTTGCTCACCCTTAACGCCTTGCAAAATAATAAAAGAAAAATACCATTTCATTCATGTTTTGTATTTTATTATGTTTCTAGGTATGCCCCGATTGCGAAATCGGGTACATCATCATCATCGTCGTCGTCGTCATCGTCATCGTCATCGTCATCGTCATCATCTTCTCCTTCTTCATCATCATCATCATCATCATCACCACCACCATCAATGTGGAAGTGTCGTCAAATCTTGACACAGAGAAGTATCGTATCTGTGTAAATGATTTGATTTTAATGAAATTGTTGTAATCGTATTATTTTGCCCTGAATATTGTTATTGTTTATATCTTACTGTGTATGTGTTTAAAGTGACAATACCTTGTCAAAGTCAGTTGGCCACCAGAGGAAAAAAGGCTTCGCTTTGGATTTTCGTTCCCACTGTTTCCTGTATACCTACAGGCTTTTCTACTGCATAAAGGTCTATCTGCACACAATTTCCATTGGGCAGTAGTAAGCATCAAGTGTGTGCGATTGTTTTCAGGGGGTCACAATTGGATAAATTGAAGGGAAAAGGCATTATTTGACCAAATTGGCCGTAACTTTTTTTATTAAATCATCAAATAGTGCAAATTATGTATTGGTGTACAGGTAACATGTAAATAAGTTATATGAATTTCGCAAACATTTTGTTTCATTTTACTTTTTGTTCTATTTCACCCAGAAAACATTGATACAAATTAAAAAAATTCACTTTATTTTCAAATCTTGTGAGTAGGTAAAACTCCAATACCACTGAACTGTGACAATAAGACCACTATTACTGTGTATAACAACCTGTCTGAACCATTGTGGTATTCTATACAGAAACAAAATTAAAATATATCACATTGCAGCTGAGATATTGTATACAATGTAACCTCCACCACCCACAAAGAAAAAAAAAAAAAAAGACCAAATTTGACGAAAACTTCTTATTGAGATATGGTGGTATATAATGTAAGTGTTTTGGAAGGGTCGGAGGTTTGCAACAATGCTTAAAAAAAACAGTAAAAATAGTAAAATCATAAAGATAAATGATGTTTCAAGCTTTTCTATGAGCAGCTATGGTTACCATCTTGCATTTCAAGATGACCGCCATTTCGACCTGCTTTCAAAATCAAGATTTAATAAAGTTGTTCAACATGGTCATGTTGTATCACATGAAAGCTTTTTACATGGCCTTTTCACTTTTGTGCATTATTCACTAACTTATTTGGTATATTTATCCCCAACAATTAAACAAATGATATATTTTGAAAGTTATTCTATCTAGCGACACCGGGGCGGTGGGGTAGCCTAGCGGTAAAGCGTTCGCTCGGCACTCCGAAGACCCGGGTTCGATTCCCCACATAGGTACAATGTGTGAAGCCCATTTCAGGATTCCCGCCGTGATATTGCTGGAATATTGGTAAAAGCGACGTAAAACCATACTCACTCACTCTAGCGACACCAACCTACCCACACAATCAGATTTCAATTCAAATGGACATACTATTGGCCACAGTTGTAGATGTATTGCACTTTTGTCCAAGCATCTCACTACTTTATAAACTGAGTGAAAAAACATGTGAATACTTGTACCAAAGACGGATATAGATATAGGTCTTTGCTTGTACTATTTAGATGACGCACATAAAAATTCACAGAGTCAAGTGATGTGAAATTATGTTGATTCTCGTAGTCACGGAGTCCATCTCTACTGGAGAGGTAGGTAAGTTGTTTCTGTTTAGGCATGACATAGCACAACTGCATCCAAAGGAACTTCTTATGTCCAGAAATGGACTTCACACATTGGGTGTGATAGAACAAGTAATTATATATCCTTTACTGGATTTTAGAGCGCTTACCTCACTCACATTAAATCCCATACATTTACCAGAGGAGTATATAAATATATGTAACTGTTAAGAAATGTGTTCATGCCAGCAGTATGTTAAAGCAAAGACGTATTTAGGTCTTTGGTTGACATATGAGGGCAGCACCCAGCTGTGTGCTTGCAAGCGTTTTGTTTGAACTAGGCTCCTTCTAAATTTAGGCAAAGAAAGCGGAAGTCCTGGCGCATCGCTTGTAATTGAAATATCCAGTTTACCGATCTTGCTTTCGCTTAGAACACACTTGATTCCTTCACTAGTAATCATAATAAATCTGTTGTCATATTGTTTACGTATCATTGGTTATGAGCACTATTTGTGGAAAAAACACATGAAATTTGAAAACAAATTACCCAGAAGTCTAAGGCCTCAAATACGAGGTATCAAAACTTATGCGATACCACTACAGTGTCGTCGATTTCTTTTATGTAGTTGGTATGATATAAACCGTAAGTATGCTTCACGACCCAGTTTTTTCGATGCATAACGGTTTAAATATTCTGGAGGCAAAGGACAATGATTATTTGAATTTATGATTTGTCGTTATTACAGATATAAACAACGGCGGTAACTTATTTTTGACAAAAATGGCGGACGCATTGTTGTGACCTACTTTCGTTATACCGTTGTATTTTCATCTTATTGTCACTTCTTTTTATCGTTTACAGATCTGTTGTTTAATATTCTATCTTTATTTAACGTCTTACATGATTGTGTGATTAAATATGCATTGAATAAACAGAAATTTCACGAAGATTCGATACATGTCCTGCCACCATTTTTGTTTTGAGTGAAATGTTTTGACACATGTGTGCATAGGTCGTGTCTTGTTACACTACAGAAATCATTTGAATTATCATATTCTGGAAGCAACTTATATGGAGCAAAGGTATGCGTTAAGTTGTTTGGGGGGGGGGGGGGGAGGGAAATGTTCAACTTCTTCGTGTAACGTGTAAGCACTGGTAAAGCAATATATGTGCCATAAGGCCATCACAACATTTACAAATTTACCCAAACTGTCACTATTCATAACAGAAACGGTTTGAGAACATGTAAGACTTAAACATGAATTTTAACCCAAACTGTTCATACCAACTAGTTGTTGGAGACTTTGATAAGCATGATAATCTAATCGTAGACCATTCTAATAAATACATTTTGGAGGAAGTCAACTTTTCTTTATCCTAATGAAAGGCCACATATTAAAATGTATTTCTTGTTTCTCATCACAGTTTCAAACAAATTGGTAGGTAGGTCGAATTTAAATGTAATATTATAATTTGATTTCCCAACCACTTTACAATTCCCCACATGGGTAAAATTTGTGAAACCCATTTCTGGTGTCCCCCGTCATGATATTGCTAAAAGAGGAGTAAAGCATTCATTCATTCATACTCACTCACTCCCGACCTCTTCAATCTAAATTTGCAATTGCAGACCGCTAAATGAAAACACTGAAAAAAGTCGAGATAGAGTACTTGAATGAATATGCAATAAATGTGCAAGCTATACATCGTATAACATAACTGAAAGTGAATTTACTCATCCCAAAAAATAAAGATAGTGTGGAGTTGAGTTTGGCATGTTATGTGTCAGTCAGCCCGTAATTTTTCGTTCTTATTTTCTGACACAGGTGTTTTGACATTGCATTCAAATTTCAATATAATAATTTAATAGCCTCCATACTGGTCCTGTTATGAATCCAATCCAAGTCACCTCTCCAAAACCATAACATTTGTTGGGAATTATTTCATTCCAATTTAGGAAAGTTTTGCTGCTGCAGACTTGGGGTCATATCTATAGGCCTCTGAGCAGGTTGAGATAATCGCTACCATAAGCCTGTTTTTCCTTGATAAAATGCAAAAAATCAAACCAGATTCATCATGTGTTCATCATCGCCTAATCATGATAACAGTCATGCAAGATACACTGTCGTTGTTTTTCACATGGCCTGACCACACTATCACACATTACAAAAACTTGTATGATTTTGTATTGCTACATGACTTGCCCATGTTGACAGTATGTTTTGAGGATTACATCTGTATTTTTGTCATCCATTTTTAAATGACAACATTTAACCATTTGTTGACAGCCTGACACACTGAAGGTTAGCTGAGGATGCAGGTCAAATGCGTAAGTAAATCTCAATAACACATAGGCAAAATATTCAGCTTTATATAGAAGCCTGGATCAATTTAATTTGTCGTACACATAGCCTGAATGTCAAAAATAAATATTTAGCAGGTCCCTAGCTTCCAGGTTTCAGAGCAGTCCTCATGAGGCCGAGGAGCTCCTTACTCTGACTAAATTGTATTTATAAATCACCGAAAGGCAGTTCAGGGTCATCTTCCTGAGGCAAGGGAGATAACCTGCTATAAAAGTCCAGTTTAACATGTTCTGTTAATATGTGGGGCGGTCGGGTAGCCTAGTGGTTAAAGCGTTCGCTTGTCATGCCGAAGACCCGGGTTCGAATCCCGACATGGGTATAATGTGTGAAGCCCATTTCTGGTGTCCCCCGCCGTGATATTGCTGGAATATTGCTAAAAGCGGCGTAAAACCAAACTCACTCACTCGGTTAATATGTTTGATTTTTCATTTAGGTTGCTATCTTATGAATATTTTCCCCATCATTTTAACTTGTAACATGTCCTACTGTATCTATAGTATTAATGTATATTCAAAAATAGATCATGTAGATACTGTTGAATGAATGTGGCATTATCTGTATATATTGTCGACCTGTGAAGATTCCAGGGTAGAATAGGTCTTCAGCAACCCATGCTTGTCGTAAAAGGCGACTAACGGGATCGGGTGATCATGCTCGCTTACTTGGTTGGTGCATGTTATCGTCCCAATTGCGTGGACCGATGCTCATGATATCAATCACTGGATTGTCTGGTCCAGACTCGATTATTTACAGACCACTGTCATATAGCTGGAATATTGCTGAGTGCAGCGTAAAACAACAAACAAATAAACAATTAAATATTGTGATGGTTATGGCAGGGATTTAGAGATAAAATAAAAAACAACTCTGAGCATGCCAGGATAGATCTGTTGGAGACAGGTGAAGTGTCTCAGGACCTATAGTCAGGCTGGCTGTTGAGTCATGTTTGCTCTGCCTCTCTGTAGGTCCAGCTGGAACCGACGACGTTGATGCTGGGGTCGCCGCTCAGTCCTCACGACGCGGCGGCCCAGCTCACCACATTCAAGTCCTATGTGTCCCTCATCGCTGACCCAACGCCAGGAAGTGAGTTTTAAAACTTTTCTAGGTGTTGGAATAATCAAAGTCATACTTCATTGTTAGATCACATTTTCATCAACAAGTCTGATACAATTTTCTCGTTTTTCGGTTGTTCATGTTATTTTTACCAGAAATATGTTCATGAACAGTATTTAGTTTTAATCAACTTGTCCGTTGAAGTATTGTTGGTCTGATGAGCCAAAAAAGACATGACACATGTGAAATGAACATATTAAAACTCAAATCAAAGAGTTACTTCCCTTCACCAAGGTCATCCTTTGAATATTTGTTTCATAGCAAGAATAAATCAATAGGCGCTGAATGTTTGAAGGGAAGAGAAAAAGTACAATTCTCCAAATTTAAATTTACTCCACATTTACCATTGTTTGCATGGTTTCTAAGATATTTTAAATATTCAAATCAGTGTAGCTAGGTTCAAAATGGCCAAACACTTACTAAACACACAATGTTGTCATGTATGTTCATGATGTTGTCATGTATGTTCATGATGTTGTCATGTGTGTTCATGATGTTATGTATGTTCATGATGTCATGTATGTTCATGCTGTTGTCATGTATGTTCATGATGTGTATGTTCATGATGTTGTCATGTGTGTTCATGATGTTGTCATGTATGTTCATGATGTTGTGTATATATGTTCATGTTGTTGTCATGTATGTTCATGATGTTATCATGTATGGTCATGTATGTTCATGATGTTGTCATGTATGTTCATGATATTGTCATGTATGTTCATGATGTTGTCATGTATGTTCATGATGTTGTCATGTATGTTCATGATGTTGTCATGTATGTTCATGTATGTTCTTGATGTTGTCATGTATGTTCATGATGTTGTCATGTATGTTCATGTATGTTCTTGATGTTGGCATGTATGTTCATGATGTTGTCATGTATGTTCATGATGTTGTCATGTATGTTCATGATGTTATGGATGTTCATGATGTTATGTATGTTCATGATGTTATGGATGTTCATGATGTTATGTATGTTCATGATGTTATGTATGTTCATGATGTTATGTATGTTCATGATGTCATGTATGTTCATGATGTTGTCATGTATGTTCATGTATGTTCATGATGTTGTCATGTATGTTCATGATGTTATGTATGTTCATGATGTTGTCATGTATGTTCATGATGTTATGTATGTTCATGATGTTGTCATGTATGTTCATGATGTTATGTATGTTCATGATGTCATGTATGTTCATGATGTTATCATGTATGTTCATGATGTTGTCATGTATGTTCATGTATGTTCATGATGTTGTCATGTATGTTCATGATGTTATGTATGTTCATGATGTTGTCATGTATGTTCATGATGTTATGTATGTTCATGATGTTGTCATGTATGTTCATGCTGTTGTCATGTATGTTCGTGATGTTGTCGTATGTTCATGATGTTGTCATGTATGTTCATGATGTTGTCATGTATGTTCATGATGTTGTTATGTATGTTCATGATGTTGTCATGTATGTTCATGATGTTGTCATGTATGTTCATGATGTCATGTTTTGCAGTTGTGGAGAAGAAGCTGAAGGCAGCTCAAGAACTGAGTGAGAACTTTGAGGTCAGTGTCATATCGTACATAAGTTTTCTATGAATTTTTAATAAGGAGGGAATGTCAAAGTTCAATCCTGGCCTGATTGCCTGTGGCTTGTGAACTTGTGGTAATTAGTGATACCTTCATGACAAGTAGCCTTGCCTTGTCTCCCAGTGTTATCATGAAACGAGTACTTGTCACTACTACGAACAAAATATCAAATTAAATAGCTTTAATTTTGTTCATTCTTTTGTTTGGTAACAGTGTTCGCGGTAGGTTTTTGTACAGTGCGTGCAGAAATGAAATAATAAATTTAAGTTCAAATATTTTGCGTGTGAAGTTTTTATTTCAATAAAATCAGTACTAGTACAGCTAATAATTATGACCAAGCTTTAACTTACGGTCCAGTTTTGATATAATGAACGTTCAATCATTAATAAATTACCGACTATTACTTGTAAGCTGGGCTCTGATTGGATGAAACGAACGACTTCCAGGGAATTCCATCGATAGTAACGAATGACGTCCTGTGTCTGAGATTAGTTATTCCGTTGCCCAAAGACCATATATGGAAATATAAAGGATGCGATTCAAAGCGCCATCTGGCCACACTCTATTTTTAGCAATGGGAATTTCCAGGTTTTGATTTATTTTTGTCTGAACATCATAAGCAGGCTATCAGCTTTGAATAGTTTTTTATTTTATGGTATTAATACAAAATTAAGTATATCACAATCTGTGCGTGCAAAACACGCATGCAAAATACGTCACTGCATTAACGCGAACACTGGGTAATTAACACTGCACTCAGCAATATTCCAGCTATCTAAGGGTGGTCAGTTAATAATCGAGTCTGGACCAGATAATCCAGTAATGGATTTTGGATATGATGCCATGTAATCAACCAGGTCACCGAACCTGACCACCCGATCCTTTTAGTCACCTCTTAGGACAAGCTTAGTTTGCTAGGGATCGATATTCTTACCCGGAATCAGACCGCCTGTGTGGTCTAGTGGATAGAGCATCTGTCCAGGGAGTGGTAGGTTGGGGTTCAGTCTCCAACCAGGTCATGACAAAAGATGTAAAAAGATGGTACTTGTTTCTCTGCCTTGCTCAGCTAAAACAAGGGGCTGAAACAAGGACAGATCTGTTCGGAGTCAGTCACCCTGTGTGTGAGTGGGGTGACCATGTTAAACTGCAGCATGGTGCCTCAGAAGGCTAGCACTGTAAAACCGACATAAGTGTTGACTAGGACAAGCCGCCATAGGCACATGTAGCGTGTACTTTGCTGTCATTAGGAGACTTGAGAAATCATATACCGTATTCGAAGTAATAAGCGCTTCGCTTTAATAAGCGCCCAGGGCGATAATTCCAAACATATTGACTAGTGAACAATCCCAATTAGCACACCTTCCGATTCATCAATGTACACAAGACATATTTATTCGCGTATAATACACACTCGTGTGTTATATGCGCCCTTTATTATGGGCAATGAAATTCTGGAAAAATATATCTGTCGTACATAAACATTTCAGGCTCTCAGCATAAACCACGAATTTATCTTTCAACTCCGTTTTTTCCACCAAATTAATATTCTAATAAAAGCCCCCTATTTCTAATTTTGAGAGCGCCCTGGGTGCTTATTACGTCGAATACGGTAAGTGTTGACTAGGACACATGTGCATGTCGCTATATAAGTAAAATGTTGTTTATTGTCAATACTTTGTGTGCCATTTCAGACAGTGGTGTCTTCGGCTCAGTACCCACAATTCCTGCAGGAAGCTATGCGCGTCTTCTTGAAGATCCTTGATGAAGGCGAGGCGCAGTTCATCGCAGAGACCAACAAACAGGTGGGGGTAGGGTCATCTACCCCGACTCAGGGAATCCATCAAACTGTTGTCTCCTTGTGAAGGAATACAGAGCAACCTTGTCAACTCCTTAATCAGTATTATAACTGTGACGTCTTGGCCCCATGGGAGCGTATATAAGCATTCCGCTTTTCTCGACTTGAGCGTATATCATGTATATCACACTCTGTTGTCTCAACTGGGGTGTATATCATGTATATCACACTCTGTTGTCCCAACTGGGGTATATATCAACACTCTGCTTGTCTCAACTGGGTCATATATCATGTATACATATCAACACTTTGCTTGTCTCAACTGGGTCATATATCATGTATATCATCACTCTGCTCGTCTCAACTGGGGCATATATCATGTATATCGACACACCCCTTGTCTGTATATCGGCACTCTGATTGTGTCAACCGGGGTAACTTGACACGTATTACTGCCCCCAAGATGCGTTCGCCAGGTTTCCCTGTATTCTGTGTTTAAGTAGTAACTCTTGAAATAGAATTCTACCATGACATTGAAGAATGTTTGAGTCTGATTGGTCAAAATAAAATAAAAATCAGCTATCCTTCTAATTCCATTTCGCAAACTTAAGATTCCATTTACTCCAAAGATTACGTATGAAAACATCAATCTATTGATAGCCTACGCATCAATTCTAGTGAAGAATATAAGTAATTAATCTTGATCTTGGTTCTATTTTTTATGTTTGTCACTATCTGTGACCTCTTTTTGGCTCATTCTGAGATTTTGCCATTTTGCCCATCTGGAAGTAGGCATTCCAAGACAGCACCATTTTCAAAACACTCTTGTCGTCTGGTAGAATGGAGATAAACCTAATGTGTTTTGAAATTTTAGGTTGTCTACCTATAGATTAGATACCTCTTTTTATTACATTTGTAACCTTGCTCTAAAGCACTTGGTTCCAGATTAAAATAGGAATAATCTAACTTAAAGTAGACTAGCTACCTCAAAACACTTTAGGTTTATCTCTAATTCAAAGTTATTTTATTTATTATTGTTGAATTGCATGAATATTACTCAAAACAAGTTAAAGAACACCCACAATTGGAAGGCTGTGCGTTGCAATACCTCCAACCATGACAGATTTACTAGAGTCAAATGAAAACATTTGGCATTCTTTAACTTGTTTTGAGTAGAACCTTGTTATTTTCGAACTGTCTCTTCGAATGAACTGATATCTCGAACCTATTCTCCGGCCTGGCCGCCTCACTATAAAAATATATATAAATTTGCCTGCTTATCTTGTATTTGAGATAAAACTACATGGCGCTATCTCAAACCTTGGACATGGTCCCAACTTTGACATTACTATAGAATTTCCTACCTTTCAAAGTTGGCATTTATCACATTAACAGCTTTGAGAAGCGCAAGTATGTCTGGTACATTTCTCCACACATCTAACAGCGATGTAAATGTACAATGCAATCTAAGCCAATTGTTCAACAAATCCGTTTTATTCACCGGTGGGTGTTTCCCCGCATATTCTCACAATACTGACGTCGATTATCTGTAGCTTTTCAACAAATACTGATTGTCATATCTCTCCCGCTTTTTGATGCGAACTTTCAGCCATCGCGTTTATCTGCGTTGCCCAGCTACATCTATGGGGAACAACTCAGTAGACACTTCCCTCTCAAACGTAACGTCGTCCAATATACAACGTCATCAAGTGGCGAGTGCATGTTCGAATCTTCAGAAATGACGTCATGATAGAGCAATGTTTTATCGTGAAATAAACCACACTTCGTTCTTCATTGTTCTTTGCGATTTATCATGTAGCTATGTTAGATTTACAAACTGAAGACTGTGTTCACTAATGAGGTACATGTATAATCCGAATTTGTCCAAATTGTTATTAATCATTGCCGGCGAAATACTCTCATTGCATACATGTTATGTTCTTCATTTTTCATGTATGTATTCGTATTGCAGTGTATTTATAATACTGTTACTTGATCTGTCTGGATAAGTGGATTTTCATGCCATGGTCCTGCTAGGTTCGAGATAACAGGATTCGACTCTATATAACTGATCTGTCCAAGAAACTAAAACCGATTTGTAACGAAGTGAACTGTAAAATATTAAAATATTATTGTGTGTACACTACAGTATGTTATATCAACAAGTAAAGTGGAATAGGAAAACATAACATTAACAAAATAATAATAAATTATTGATTGTATTATGTGATTTTAAATGCTGTAAAAGAATTTTCCTGTTTCCAGTTAACAAGAGGTGTTTTTAAGGCATCGCCAATATTATGTTTCTGTTTTCAACTCCACCTGCACACTCACTTCTATTTTAACTTCAATTTAAAGTGCATAAAAAATGACCTGTGAAAAAAGCGTTAATATTGGCCAGTGTTTGAAAATTGTGTTGTTCATAACATGACAAATTATGGTGTTGTTTTAGCAACTGCGTAAACTGTTGCTGGAGATAATTCATCGCATTCCGTCTAACGAGCATCTGAAGAAGTACATTCAGCAGATTTTGTCTCTCATGTTTAAACTCCTCAAGGTGAGTCTCTATTACCATGGTTAGAGCGAAGCCCCCCTAGGAGTCTGGGTTAGAGTAGGTCCCCAGCAACCTATGCTGGTCGTGAGTGGGCTTAATCGTGTTAATTGTAAACCACTGGATCTCTCCATTTGGTCAGTCTGGTTTCACAGTTGGGAATTCATATCGGAGTAGGGGAAGCGGGGTCTGTGTGTCGTAGTTTCTAACTTGCCCATTTATTTGGAAATGAGTCAATAATGGCGAGACTTTTTATTTTTGGTTTACAGACAATGTTCTTTCAAAAAAAAATTAAAAACGTTACTCATATGCTGCCAAGTTTATCTTGCAGTTTTACCTACTTTGAGCAGAAGCTTTTTGTGGTGAACCATGTTTTTGATGGGCAGTCGAATCAGTCTCACCTGACTTCATTAATTTTTTTACAATACTTACACATGTTAAACAATCAAAGAACCACATTATTTTATTTTAATTATCCATTCTTATCATAATTAGTTTTCACTCTGCTGACCATTCCTTTAAGTCAAAATCTTTAAACACAACAAATAAAATGTTGAAATTGCTTTTTGCCCGTGCAGATTGAAAATGAAGAGAATGTTCTCGTCTGTATTCGAATCATCCTGGAGTTACACAAACAGTATCGGCCTCAGATGAACGATGAAATACAAGACTTCCTACAGTTTGTCAAGAGTATCTACAACAGCCTTCCCTCTCACCTCCCCAAAATCTTTGAACCGAGGTCGCAGAAAAAGGTGAAGGACGTTACTGAGATTAATGTTGAGGTGCTGCTGATGGAGATTTACACGGTGACAACAATACTTACGGACAAGAAGAATAACGACAACACAAGTGTCTCGGTAAGAATGTCTTTATGTGGACACCTTTCGTCAACACGTATTTTCAGCGATCAATTTGTATAAGTTTTACCTCTATTTTTGCTATTACACCCAAGGGGCGGTGTGGTAGCCTAGTAGTTGAAGTGTTCGCTCATCACACCACATGGAAACAATCTGTAAACCCCAATTGAAGTCTTCCAGGCTGTGATATTGCTGGAATATTGCTAAAAGTGTCACAAGACCATAATTAATCACTCACTTTTACGCTCAATGGAATGTGTTTGAGACTGAATATTTTCTAGTGTTGATATTTTTTATTTCTCATTGGTCTAATGTGGCCGGCTGTTGTTTGTTGCTGTTAGTTGTTTAAAAACGCCACACTCAGCTTTATAACGGCAGTGTGTAAATAAGAGTCTGGACCAGACAATCCAGTGATTGACATCGATGCAATTGGGATCGATGACATCCATCAATCAAGTCAGTGAGTCTGACCCCCTGATCCCGTTAGTCGCCTTTTACGACAAGCAAATTCGCCTTTTATGGCAAGTATGGGTTGCTGAAGAGCTATTCTACCCTCGATCTTCACTGGTCTGTGGCCAGCTGAGATTCTCAAGTTTCATTATGTTTATTGCTCATTCATGTAGGGGCACCTGCGAAGATTCTTGCATTGTCAGGGATTTATCTAGACCTGCTCAAAGTGTTTGGCCCCAATTTTCAGTAAAAGACACTGTTTTTAATTGGTTTATGATGCTTTGGCCCCAATTTTCAGTAAAAGGCACTGTTTTTAATGATGCTTTAGATCTGCCTTGTAGCTTCAAGAAAAAATGTTGGCTTTGGGGAGAGGAGTGTGTCTCTGTGTGTGGGGAGTGGACATACGTCTGGAAAATACAGCTACACAAAAAGATGAATTTGAAAAATAATCTCCTGGAGTATTTTTCCACCAGAATATTTTTCCAGGCGGAACTATGTCACATAACAATATAAATTCTGAAAGCTTTAAGTATATTTTTATTCTCCCTATTTAGTGAATGGAAAGATTTCTGATCCCCCACCCCTTCCATTTTCAATTTTGAAGGGGAACCCGCCTCTGAGTTGTTATGCTGTATTTATCTCTGATATTAAGTGGAACATTCTACTTCCAGTACAACATCATCCCCAAGGGAATGCAGTCACTCAAGGTGTTGGCCGAGCTGCCGATCATCGTGGTGCTGATGTATCAGCTGTACAAGACGAATGTTCACCCCGACATGGCCGACTTTATCCCCCTCATCATGAACACCATCACACTTCAGCCCTCGCCGCAGCATAGGTAAAGGATGTAGCCCCCTTGCTACTGGGCCAGCTGGTTGTGGAGGGAACATGTGGAGGCACCACTGTTGTACTGGGGCGGTGGGGTAGCCTAGTGGTTAAAGTGTTCGCCAGTCATGCCGAAGGCCTGGGTTTGATTCCCCACATAGGTAGAATGTGTGAAGCCCATTTCTGGTGTCCCCCACCGTGATATTGCTGGAATATTGCTTAAAGCGGCGTAAAACCTCACTCACTCACTCACCCCACTCACTTACCCCACTCACTCCACTCACTCCACTCACCTCACTCACTTCACTCACTCACTCACTCACTCACTTCACTCACTCACTTACTAAATCACTCACTCACTCACTCACTCACAGTTTTACTGTGCAGATCGGTGTTCCTTAGCCATTCCAGAAACTGATTATCGTGAGTTCGAATCCCAGATACTCCTTGATTTTGTATCTAGGTTTGCCATATCATACCTGTGTTCATGGGTTTCCACTGAGTGGTAAACATCAAAGACCTGCATCAGTTTGGCTTTCCTCTCGCAACAGGCTGACACATCCAGATATCACTGAAAGGTGTTCAAACTTTGTAACTTTGTTACTTGCAGTTATGGTTAGGGTATTATGTGTAAAATGTTCAGGGGTAGATTTAACAACAAAATTGTATGTAGCCAGCATGGCTTGGTCCTGTTAACAGTTACTGGCCATTCTCCAAACTAACTGGCCCACAACTAAATGGTGGAGTCCACGAAGTGGCCGAACCTGAGGCCGCATAGCCACCTTGCAGGGCCCTGAAAATTTTAGAACATTTATCTTGGCTTCCATTTGCCTCATTTAATGGCGATTTATGGGCAAATAAAGAAGTTGTACACAACATTTCAAATGGCGGCAGGTTGTCATTCTACCGAGGTGATCCAATTAAAAATTTGTAATATTAATTGGCCCCGGGCCAACAGGCCAGCAGTTAAATCGTCCCCTCGTCTTAACTGTGCTCTGATGTTGCCTTTCGAACACAAAAATCAGGACATTGGAATAACTGTTATTGAGTTTGGGTAACCTTTGTTTTTCCAGATCAAGCCCATCTTTTAACAAAGAAGTATTTGTGGACTTCATTGCAGCCCAGATCAAAACACTCTCCTTCCTGGCGTACATCATCCGTATATATCAGGTACAGTGATCAAGACACTCGGTATTGTGTCTGAGAAGTACAGTTGGGTGGTCATGACAACAGGGTGGTACGATATTGTAACCTGGGCCCCATTCCACAAAGTGATCTAAGTGCTAAGACGATCTTAACTCACATACTTTAACATAGACTTACGATGATCGGGCGCTAAGATGGCTTTGTGGAATGGTGCCCAAGGCTTAAGCTACCTTGTGGGAAGGAAGGTAAACTGGCAGTCACTTTCACTACATGATCATTTAACATGTGATGTATCTGTGATGGACCCAAACCTGAATTGAAATGTTGGTGTTACCATGGTTACAGGGTCAGGTGAACAACCACTCCCAGCAGATGGTGCAGGGGCTGCTGGGATTGCTGACGCTTTGTCCACAGGAAGTGGCCCATTTGCGGAAGGAACTGTTGATTGCTGCCAGACACATACTCTCCACCGATCTGAGGAACAGTGAGTTTAGCATTTCTCGTGCACGACTTGTTATTTGGCTGATATGCAGTCTATTTATAGTGCTGCATATGTCCAATCGAGACACTCCACTCATATTCAAAGTTACTGTAGTCGAAATAGAAACTAAGCCATAAAATATCATCAAGCTTATTGTAATTAGGGAAAGTTGGTAGCCGTACCCTGAGTGTTTCTGAGTCGGATGTACTTCAAGTACTTCATTGTTGTAATGTGACATGGTGTTGGTTCAGGGTACAATGACTTTGGATAAAACGATACGGCAAGGTCATGATACGATGCATATCATGTTATGCATATTTATGTCAAATCGTGTGGAAACGTCTTACTATAAATATTTCAGAGCAGGTTAAAAAAGCTAGCTGTAGCCACATGTTCATTACAGCTTTTATTAGTAGAGAACTTGAGATGCTAATTTCAACACATTTTGCAGTGACTGTATTTGCCTTTCAGAGTTTGTGCCCTGTATTGACAAGCTGTTTGATGAGAACACACTGATTGGCTCAGGATGGACCACACATGAATCTCTAAGGTAATAACTGGAGTGATGTTGTGTAAAGTAAGGCCTGTCACATGATGACTTGTGTCATGATTCTTATATATATGTTAAGTGTGGTCACCTTGCATGGCCACATGGTGTCTCGTCACGCAGAGTCTCGTCACGTGGAGTCTCGTCACATGGTGTCTCGTCACGTGGTGCCTGGTGACATAAAATCACCTTTTATATTTCGTATTTATTTAGAACATTATGATAGCAGGAGTAGATGCCATTGGTCGTCTCTTAACTTGCCCTCAGCTCATTTTGGTCAAGACGTTTTGTTTGTTTGTTTGTTGTTTAACGCTGCACTCAGCAATATTCCAGCTATATGACGGCGGTCTGTAAATAATCAAGTCTTGACCAGACAATCCAGCGATTCCCCACATAGGGTACAATGTGTGAAGCCCATTTCTGGTGTCCCCTAGTTGCTGGAATATTGCCAAAAGCAGCGTAAAACAATACTCATTCACTCTCTCATCCCCATGGGGACTCCAGGTTACCCTTGGTCCTCTCAACCTATGCTGGTTGTAAGAGGCGACTTATTGGAACAGGTGACTAGGTTGATGCCATGTCATTTTACCCCGATTGTGTGGATAGTGACTTGCAATATCAATGACTGGATTGTCCGGTCCACTTGATTATTGACAGGCTGTCATATAATGATATTTATCATTTAACTTAAGCATTTATCCATGACATAAGCTTATGACATAAAAACATGTATGTCATACCCCAATGACATAAGTATGCAAATTAGATATGCAAATTAGATAACCGGAAGAGCGAGCGGTTTGATTTGAAATTATATATTATAAGTGAAGTTACACCAGAGATATAATCAGATTACACAGAATCGTTGTTGTTACCGTTATTAAATTTTCAATTATTCTGCAAAAGTCTGAAGAGGAACTTTTTTTCTCAGCGAATTTTTATTTTGGTTTACATGGCTATGGAAAACATGTATCACTACGCACGATCTATACGTAAGATTTCGACAAGTTGCTGATGTTAATGTTTTATGCAATTATTCCTTAATTTGGAAGAAAAAATGTGAAAATGATAAATAGAATTCATCACTCGTGTTTTTTAATATGGGAAATATCAACCCCGTCCTGTTAATCGGTATTTGCCTCGCCAAAGGCTCGGCAAATACCGATTAATTAAGACTCGGTTGATATTTCCCATATTAAAAAACACTCGTGATGAATCCTCTATATCTGGAATATTGCTGAGTTCTACATAACACACAAACATATATTATTGATGTTGTCTCACTCTTCCCAGACCCCTAGCCTACAGCACCCTGGCCGACCTGGTCCACCATGTGAGGTCCGCCCTGCCCCTGAATGACCTGTCCCTGGCGGTCAACCTGTTCTCGAAGAACGTCCACGACGAGTCGCTGCCCAGCAGCATCCAGACCATGTCCTGCAAGCTGCTCCTCAACCTGGTGGAGTGCATCCGACAGAAGAGCGAGCAGGAGAACGGCAACGTGAGCGACACGACACGGCTCATTGACACAACACAACACCATGCATTAACACAATTTGATGCATTAACACAACATGACACACTAACACAACACGATGCATAAATACAAAACAATGCATTGACACAATACAACACCATGCATTAACACAACATGACACACTAACACAACGTGATGCATTAACACAACACGATGCATTAACACAACACGACACATAAACACAACATGATGCATTAACACAACACAACATGACAGATAAACACAACACATTTACACAAATCTAAAAAAGTATTAGCAGTTATATCGGGAATTTAGCCATTAGCAAATACAGCCCACTTGGGAGATACATTTCTCATTTATGTGAAATTGCTGCCATCATGTAGAACACTTTATTACAAACTTTGCCAATCACTCCAGTTACAGAAAATCTCATTACTTGCAAGTCATGTTTTAACTACTGTGTTGAAAAGTGGATTGTATGAGCTATTGATATGAAACTTGACATTGATGTTGTTGATGCATTTTATCTACCAAACTTTTAGATGACAGAAAAGCGAAAACATCACTAAATCTATCGGAACTGCTGGCTAATATTTTCCAAATGCTGTGTGACACCTCAGTCTTTTGAAGTGTAGTGTTGTTCAGGAATATGAACTGGTCATGTCGTGGTGTTTTCCTATTCAGGGGAGGGAACTGCTGATGAGAATGTTGGAAGTGTTTGTGCTGAAGTTCAAGACCATTGCCACAGTCCAGCTGCCCCAGATACTCCAGAAATGGTGAGACTGAAACAGAGCATGGTGGGAATGGCGTGAATACCACACGTCCTTAAAAAAAAGTCGACAAACTTATTACTTGTAAAATGGGCTCTAAATTTTTCTGTGGTGGTAATGTGATCCGACTCAAACGATTGTGTTTAAATACCCAAAAAGCTTCCCTACAAACATTCGAATGAAACTTCATTATGCCAACTCACAGTGTCTGTCCTGTTCATGTTGGTGTTTTGTTGAATACAGCCTGGGACGAGTCCCAACTGAGAAATTGTAACTTTGAATTATATTTTATGAGGATTTTGTCATTTCAAAAGAATGAAACAATGATGCCATTGAAAATCATCATACTTGTGTCTTCAGTGATGCCTGTAAGTGTTACAATGAGCATTTCTCTTCACTGTGTCTACCCCTTCCTGTCACTAGCCCCTGTCTACCTCTTCCTGTCTCTACCATCTCTACTCTGTCTACCCCTTCCTGTCTACCATCTCTATCCCATGTCTACCCCTGCCTGTCTCTACCGTCTCTACCCCATGTCCACCCCATCTTGTCTCTGCCATCTCTACCCATGTCTACGCCTTCCTGTCTCTACCATCTCTACCCCTTCCTCTCCCTACCATCTCTAACGAATGTCTACCCCTTCCTGTCTCTACCATTTCAACCCTTTGTCTACCCCTTCCTGTCTCTACCATCTCTACGCTATGTCTACCCTATCCTGTCTCTACCGTCTCTACCCTATGTCCACCCCATCCTGTCTTTACCCCTTCCTGTCTCTACTGTCTCTACCCCATGTCTACCCCTGCCTGTCTCTACTGTCTCTACCCCTGCCTGTCTCTACCCCATGTCTACCCCTGCCTGTCTCTACCGTCTCTACCCCTGCCTGTCTCTACCCCATGTCTATCCCTTCCTGTCGACCCGTGAAGAGCCGGGGTAGAATAGTTCTTCAGCAACCCATGCTTGCTGTAAAAGGCGACTATGCTTGTCGTAAGAGGCGACTAACGGGATCAGGTGGTCAGGCTCGCTGACTTGGTTGATGCATGTCATCGATCCCAATTGCATGGATTGAGGCTCATGATATCAATCACTGGATTGTCTGGTCCAGACTCGATTATTTACAGTACAGACCGCCATCATATAGCTGGAATATTGCTGAGTGCGGCGTTAAACAACAAAACAACAACAACGACCCCTTCCTGTCTTACGATCTCTACTCCTTCCTGTCTCTACTGTCACTACCCCATGTCTACCCCTTCCTGTCTCTACCATGTCTACCACTTCCTGTCTCTCTGTCTCTACCTCATGTCTACCCCATCTCTACCCCTTCCTGTCTCTACCATTTCTACGCTATGTCTCCCCCTTCTTGTCTCTACCCTATGGCTACTCTCTGTCTACCCATTCCTCTATATCTACCTCTTGTGTCTCCCAGCAAACACCAGCAGCAGACCACCACCACCGCTGCATCGTCAAGCCTACCGGCAGAGATTAAACCTGGAGACACCAAGGCAACAATTGAGGTCAAGCCAGGATTGCCGGAAACCCCGAAAGATGAGAACAAAACGTTTGCCGCCAGCATTGCCGAGTCTTCCAAGGAAAAGGAGGACTCCAACAAGGTAAGACCCAGGCTTAGTTCTTCAGTTGTGTCTTAACACAACAGATTTCTTGTAGGTTGTTCCCGGATTTTGCTGATGCAGGAGTCTCTACCCCATGTCTACCTCTTCCTGTCTCTACCCCATGTCTACCCCTTCCTGTCTCTACCCCTTCCTGTCTCTACTCCTTCCTGTCTCTACCCCCTCCTGTCTCAACCCCCTCCTGTCTCTACCCCTTCCTGTCTCTACCCCTTCCTGTCTCTACCCCTTCCTGTCTCTACCCCCTCCTGTCTCTACCCCTTCCTGTCTCTACCCCCTCCTGTCTCTACCCCTTCCTGTATCTACCCCTTCCTGTCTCTACCCCTTCCTGTCTCTACCCCCTCCTGTCTCTACCCCTTCCTGTCTCTACCCCTTCCTGTCTTTACCCCTTCCTGTCTCTACCCCCTCCTGTCTCTACCCCTTCCTGTCTTTACCCCTTCCTGTCTCTACCCCTTCCTGTCTCTACCCCTTCCTGTCTCTACCCCTTCCTGTCTTTACCCCTTCCTGTCTCTAACCCTTCCTGTCTCTACCCCTTCCTGTCTCTACCCCTTCCTGTCTCTACCCCTTCCTGTCTCTACCCCTTCCTGTCTCTACCCCTTCCTGTCTCTACCCCCTCCTGTCTTTACCCCTTCCTGTCTTTACCCCCTCCTGTCTCTACCCCCTCCTGTCTCTACCCCTTCCTGTCTCTACCCCTTCCTGTCTCTACCCCTTCCTGTCTTTACCCCTTCCTGTCTTTACCCCTTCCTGTCTCTACCCCCTCCTGTCTCTACCCCTTCCTGTCTCTACCCCTTCCTGTCTCTATCCCTTCCTGTCTTACCCCCTCCTGTCTCTATCCCTTCCTGTCTTTACCCCTTCCTGTCTCTACCCCTTCCTGTCTCTACCCCTTCCTGTCTCTACCCCTTCCTGTCTCTACCCTTTCCTGTCTCTACCCCCTCCTGTCTCTACCCCTTCCTATCCTTACCCCTTCCTGTCTCTACCCCTTCCTGCCTTTACCCCTTCCTGTCTCTACCCCTTCCTTTGGGGGATGCTGGTTAGAGGTACCTGCGGATGGGAGAAGGGGAAGGGAATAAATCTGGAAAATAGCCTCACAAGGATAGCCCAGAAAAATATAATTCCTTTTTGCCCTGAGTAATGTGGTGATGATGTTGCAGACACAGAACCGCTTCGGCGTCACCCCCAGCCAGTACAATGTGTACTCTGTCGCCGACTGCCGTAGCCTGGTGAAGACCCTGGTCTGCGGAGTGAAGACCATCACCTGGGGGGTGCTGTCCTGCAAGGCTATCGGAAATGGTAGGTGTAGTCAACTGGTTTTTCTTTTTGGGGATACGTAATGGGCACCAGTCGTGTCATAATCAAAGGAAGACAGCCATGATGCGTTTTTTGTTTAAATCAAATTGTCGTAAAAATTAAAATATCAATGCTTAGTTTGTTTGCTATTTGGGGATACTTAATGGGCACCAGTCGTGTCATAATCAAAGGAAGAAAGCCATGATGCGTTTGTTGTTTAAATCACATTGTCGTAAAAATTAAAATATCAATGCTTAGTTTGTGTTTAATATAATTTGTATCTTTGTTCCTTTTGCAATCAGAAAGTGAAAGAAAATTAGTTTCATTGTTGTGTGAATTAAGACAGCATTAATCTCAACTCACTCACTCACTCACTCACTCACTCACTCACTCACTCACTCACTCACTCACTCACTCACTCACTCACTCACTCACTCACTCACTCTTTCAGCTGACACCAGCCTTCTGCAGAACAAACAGTTCCAGTCCAAGGAGACGTTGGTGTATGTGCGACTGGTCAAGTACGCGCTGGAGGCTCTGGACATCTACACGGTCAACGTGACGTCAACAGGACAGGCCTTCATTAGACCGGCAGTGTGAGCTGATTCTCTTTGTGAAAACTTCAGTCAGAATAGCTTACCGTAGAGACCAATTTTTGAGGAAATACTTGAAAAGACACAATTCCAACTCAGTACTTTGCCTTCTGGAATAGGTGTCAAAAAGGAGTAAAAAATCTCCTGTCACACACTAAACTATCCTCCTTTTCAGATTGTCTTTCTTCTAGAAGCTCTGGCTTCTGCTAAGTTTGAGACATTTCATTATGAAAAACAACCCTGAAGTTCTATTTTTATTTATAGTTTCACGTTTAACATTCTTACCACAATCTTCCTCGTAACGTTGGAAACTGTTCTCAAATTCCGCCTCCATGTCTACAGCTGATTCTAGTGAGTATGTTACAACAGTTGTGGAGTATGTTCGTTGCTGTGATGGTGCTGAGGTCTTTGTTGTTACAGTGTGCAGACTGTTCGCACCAAGGAGGAGAAGGAAGTTCTGGAGCATTTCGCAGGAGTTGTAAGTTGAAAAAGGATGTTCATAATATGAGATGTGAACAAGAAATGGCCTTGTTGCCTCATCTCTGAAAGACATTAAATATGGCAACACATGAACCGGGCCCAGGTAGACCTCAGGGCGATCTTAGTGCTACCAGGATCAAAACTCCAACACTTTGCATTGACTTACGATAGTCGTTGTGCTAAGATCGCTTTGTACAAGTGGACCCTTGTCTTTATATTAGCAATTCCACTTTTAAAAGATTTTAAAAGTTTGCATTATGTGAAAGATAAAAGCTTCAAACAAAGTCATTCAGAGAGACAGATTTGTTCTGTTCTTTTATGTTGGTTGAGTTTATTCTAGTATCAGGATTGAAATGTTCCTAGCCCAAATAGTGAAAACATGAATAATCTCGGGGAAACCCTGAAATTTATGCTCTTCAGGATTCTGCTAACATTAGAACCATCTCTGTAGTCTCATGGATATGGTGTCTGACCAGAGAGTGAAAGGTCAGTGGTTCAATCCCCAGCCTCGTCATACCGAAAGATGTTAAAAGATGGTTGTTGCCCTGTTCACTTGCTATCCCTACTATCCCTGTGTATGGACATGAGCTAGCTACAACAACTTAGATATTGGTACAGATGAACTTAAGAAATGTGTGTTTGTTTTACAGTTTACAATGATGAGCCCTATCACCTTCAAGGAAATTTTCTCGTCAGTCATTGAGGTAAGCTTTGATTGGTTGCTTTGTCTGATGAGGCACTTCTTGCTTCACTCTTCAGACCCAAACATGACAGTATCTGGTAGTGTTACTTATTGAACCAACTAGGAGGTAAGTGTTTTGAAAGTTGAGGTCTATATGGAATAATGTATTACTCTGAAAAGAGATTGACCAGTGTTAACTTGTTTTTGTCCAGGGAGTAATTTTATGGCTGAGGATGGTCGTATGAATTCAGCACCAATAAAATTATTCTGTTTTCAGAAGAAACATTGCTGTCATTTGTAAGCGCAAATAGTCTGTCTGATGTGGCCTAACTATGTGCCTCTGTTTCAGTACATGGTAGAGAGGATTCACAATAACTACGCCCTACAGGTACGTGCAACAAGCAATCAGCAGCCTGGGGACCATACAAGGGCATATACCATATTCAACATAATAAGCGCCCAGGGGACTCTCAAAATTAGAAATAGGGGCTCTTATTAGAATATTATTTTGGTGAAAAAAACAGTTGAAAGATAAATTTTGTGGTTTATGCTGACAGTCTGAAATGTTTATATACGACAGATTTGTTTTTCCAGAATTTAATTGCCCATAATTAAGAGTACATATAACACACGAGTGCTTATATTAGCAAATATCGGCGTGGGCGCTTATTAGAGCGGGGTGCTCATAACGTCAAATACGGTAGATTTAATAGAAGTTACCTGTGAAGCTCCAGGTTAGGATAGCTCTTCAACAACCCATGCTTGCCGTAAAAGGTGACTATGCTTGTGAGAGGCGACTGACGGGATCAGGTGGTCAGGCTTGCTGACTTGGTTGATGCATGTCATCGTATCCCAATTGGGTGGATAAATGCTCATGACATCAATCACTGGATTGTCTGGTCCAGACTTGATTATTTACAGACTGCCATCATATTGCTGGAATTTTGCTGAGTGCAGCGTTAAACAACAAACAAACAAACCTGTGCTCGTGGGTTTCATCAAAGTTGTAAACGTCTAAGACCTGTATCACTTTGGGCTTTCCTCCCACATCAAACTGGAATACTGTTCAAAGTGGTGTTAAACCCAATTCACCCCTTTATGGAGAACTTATTGACAGCAATGTGTGTCCTCATTGCATTATGTAAGACATTTAGACTAGACGCAGACAGTCATGTATTATTGTTAACCCATTTCCAGCAACCTTTGCTTGTCTTAAAAAATGACTAAATGGTTTGGTTGATTGCGTATCATTATGCCCCGATGGTGTGGGGTGTTGTTAAATAACAATCACTGCTTTGTCTGGTCCAGACTTCATTATTTGCAGGCCATGAATTTTCAAAGGATGTATCTGCATCAGGGCCTTCCTCCGACAGTAAGCTTATATTCCATGATATAACTGGAATACGGATCCAAGCCGCATTAGGCCTAACTCACTCACTCTGAAGTCTGCACATATAATAGTTTATTTGTTGTTATTTTCAGATTGTTGCCAACTCCTTCTTGGCAAATCTGCAGACGTCAGCAACATTTGCAACCATTCTTGTGGAGTACCTGCTTGCCAGACTGGAGGATATGGGCTGTGAGTAATCAGACTATTCACATACAACTTCTTACTGTCATCAAAAGTCATGTTCATGTGGACAACAACCCATGCTTGCCGTAAAAGGCGACTAACGGGATTGGGTGGTCAGGATCGCTGACTTGGTTGATACATGTCATCGATCCCAATTGCGTGGATCGATGTTCATGCTGTCAATCACTGGATTGTCTGGTCCAGACTCGAGTGCAGCGTTAATCAACAAACAAAGAAACAAACAATCATGTGGACAAATGTGAAAATTTCAACTTATGAATATATACACGAGGTCAACTATCGTCCCAGTATGTACTATTACTGTGTGTCTTGTATTGTTATCATATCATAGTAACAACTGTGGACATGTGGCAATGTCAGTTGTGGAAGGTTCATCAATTAAATAGGGCTGGGACGGGGAACTTGGGTAATCAGGCTGGATTTGTACTGAGTAGGATCCTGGTACCCACATGCCCACCCGGACCTGTGTCTAGTCACGTGATATAGTGTTTCATGACAAAAAGTATCTAGAACACTACAAGTCATTATATTGGCATTTCTTTCTGGCAATGCAAGCATAGCTTCTGACTTTTATATGTTTGAATAAAGTTAAAGCTTCAATCAACTTCAGTGTATACGTGACCAGATTGTTTTATATTGTCTCTAAATACTTTTTGTCAGAGCTCCTTTCAAACGTTTCTCAATCAGACATTTTGTACTCAGCGGGTACCCGCGAACGTTCAGGTAATGGGTTGGGTACCCGGGTGGTCAATTTTGACTTGTCCCAGCCCTACAATTAAAACCCAACTTTCTCACCCAAGAGACAGTAACTCATTTGTGATGTTCGGACGTACAAGTAATGCAAGCAACATTATTTTATTTCAGCCAACATGGAGCGTTCCAACCTGTACCTGAAGCTGTTCAAGCTGGTGTTTGGCTCTGTGTCTCTGTTTGCTGCAGAAAATGAACAGATGTTGAAGGTATCAAATCTCTTTTCCTCATCCATCCAGCCTCTGTTGCCCAGTGTGTTATGTCACCTTGCTATTGTGACTGCCATCGTCGTCTACAGCGTTAGAAATTGGAACTAGTCCTGTAGTCCTTGCCAAACTGCCCAATGGTAAAGGTATCATAAGGACTACTAGAAATTTGTCATTTTAAGGGTTTTGCTATATGTTATCATTATAAGGACTAGTGGACGAAAACTGTTAGTTTCTAACCCTGGTCTAGTGGTAGAGCGTTTGCCTGGAGAGTGGAGAGTCGGGGGTTTGACCAGCCACGCCATACTGAAAGACGTTATGAGATGGTACTTGTTGTTACCCTGCCTGGTGCTCAGAGTCAGTACACTGTGTCTGTGTGGGGTATTCATGTTAAACTGCGGCATGGAATCTCAGTGGGCTAGCACCACAAACTCGACATCAGTCCAGACTAGTACAAGCAGCCACACTCTCTCGCACACGCGCATGCACGTCGCAATGTAAGTGAAATTATCTTGGACGCGACTTTAAACCCCATTTCAGTTTAACATGTTGAAGCTTGTTGCAATGAAGTGACTAATGTGACACTTCATGTGTGTTTCCCTTCCTCGTCCAGCCTCATCTGCACACCATCGTAAACCAGTCTATGGAACTGGCCATGAGCGCCAAGGAGCCGTACAACTACTTCCTGTTGCTGAGAGCGCTGTTCCGCTCCATTGGTGGCGGCAGTCACGACCTGCTGTACCAAGAGTTCCTTCCCTTGCTCCCCAACCTCCTTCAAGGTAAGCCAAGGTGCAGGAGGAAGTCAGTGGTTCTGATTGAAGCGTTTTGATTCCTCACATGTATTCCAAGCCTCTTTTTGGCATCTTCCACCATAATATCCCTGGAATATAGAATAGCTGCATTAGAGTCATGGTTTCTGATTGGTAGATTTAGGCTAGGGATTTATCGAGGGTTGCAGGCAAATTGGGAAAGACTTCAAAATTGGGATTTTTTAGTCATTTTCCTAAATTTAGTCCAAATTTTAACATTGCATCGTGTGCGGTAATTTAAAAGTAAGCATTAAGCTTCTACCTAATTATTGAACTTTAAGTCAGCTCTACAAAGCCATAACATGAATTTTAACTTCAAGGAAAGCCATGGTGCAGGAGGAAGTCAGTGGTTCTGCAGCCTGTGGGACAGGGATTAAAGCATTTGACTCCTCACGTGTATTCCAAGCCTCTATAGTATCCCTGGATTATGACTTATATCTGCATTAGAGTCATGGTTTCTGATTGGTAGATTAAGGTTAGGGATTTATGTTGGGTGCCCTTGGAGGCAAATTAGGAATACTTCAAAATTGGGATTGTTTGTAGTTATTTTCCTAAATTGAGTCCAATTTTAACATTGCACCCTAACATTGCATTGCGTACGATAATTTAAGACTAAGCATTAGGCCTCTTCCTCTTACTGATCCTGCTACCAAAGAACTACAACTCATACAAAGCCATAACATGAATTTTAACTTGAATTTGAAGTTATTAATTGCAAATTAGGAATTTTGACTGACATTTTCTGAAAACTTGGGGTCAAGCATCGGCCTCTGAGCATGTCTAGATAAATCCCTAAAAGCATGGGATTCCCGGCATGTATTTAAAGCCTGCAAATCATCTTCCACTCTGATATTCGTGGATAATAGAAGAGATACTTTTGAATCATGGTCTCCGATGCCAAATCTTGGAATCTTCCTTCCTACCATTTTGTGGGCGGTCGGGTAGCCTAGTGGTTCGTCACATGGGTTTCCGACATGGGTACAATGTGTGAAGCCCATTTCTGGTGTCCCCCCACCGTGATATTTTTGGAATATTGCTAAAAGCGACGTAAAACCATATTCACTCACTCACTCACTCCTACCATTTTGTGTACATTTCCAGGCTTGAACAGCCTGCAGAGTGGCCTGCACCGGCAGCACATGAAGGATCTGTTTGTGGAGCTGTGTCTCACAGTCCCAGTTCGCCTCTCCTCCCTGCTGCCGTACCTGCCCATGTTGATGGACCCCCTGGTGTCCGCCCTCAACGGCTCACAGACCCTCGTCAGTCAGGTAAGCTTGCAGACCCTCCTCCTCAGTCAGGTAAGCCTGCAGACCCTTGTCAGTCTGGTAAGCCGTTTTACTAGTCCGGGTAAAGATAAATTGTCCTTGTAATGTTAAAACAATGGGAAATTTGTACTAGTCTGCAGAAATTTGTACTAGTCCCAGGCTAGCGGGCTAGTGTTAATTTCTATCCCTGTCAGCGCACAGACCCCCCTCAGTCAGGTAAGCTTGAAGACCTTCGTCAGTAATTTTGAAGTGGGGCAATATTCTATCCACATGCATCTCGGCAAACATTAATTTCAAAATCAGTATATTTGATACAAATTAATACCAATAATATTTTCAGTTGGAAAAATTCATCTGATTTCAACTTATGTCTCTGTGTAGGGTTTGCGTACTCTGGAGCTGTGTGTTGACAACCTGCAACCAGACTTCCTGTACGATCACATCCAGCCCGTCCGTGCAGAACTCATGCAGGTATGTGACATGACGCCTCATCAATACTGTATCAAGGAGGTAACAAGTGGCCTAGACGTCTTAGGCACTGCAGTGAACTGTACAGAGTTGCGTCCCTTAGACGTGTTAGAAACCCTTGAACTTGGGTACGAATCCCAGATGTCTCCTAATTTTGTTACTTGTTTTGTCACAGCACCATACTTGTGCTTGTGGGTTTGACCAAAGTTGTGAATGTGTAATACCTCCATCACACCTAGCTTTCCAGAAGTTGACCTGCCATATGACTGAAATACTGTTCTAAATGGCACAACACCAAACTCACTCACTCACTCACTCACTCACTCACTCACTCACTCTCACACTCACTCACTCACTCACTCACTCACTCACTCACTCACTGCTGCCCGGTGGTATAAGGAGGGACATCTTAACATACAGAGTTGTGTCCCTTAGCTGTGATCGGATCCTCTGGTCATTGATTTATGATCCCTCGTGTGTCAGAGCCATGTCATAGCGTTTGACCAAAAGGATAAAGTTATTTGTGTCTTTGTTCCCACATTTAACTGACATGCTGTGATATTTGCGGAACATTGTTTAAAGGGGATTGTTCCCTCCCTGTCTGTGTTCATTAATTGAAAGCAGGAAACTGACTTAACTCTGTTAACAGACTGTTCAAAGATCCTTACATGATCCATTCTGAATTCAGGCTCTGTGGCGGACCCTACGCAACCCTCAAGACAACATAGCTCACGTGGCGTTCCGCGTCCTCGGCAAGTTCGGAGGCGGCAATAGAAAGATGCTGAGAGAACCACAGCGGGTATGTTGTGGAACATTGTTACATGTTTTGTTGATAGGAAGTATGGTAAACAAACATTTATCTCACTATGTAAGTTGGGACAGCTAGGTAGGCTTGTGCTTGGTTTGTTCGCCCAGATCGCCCAAATATTGCTAATGGTAGTGTAAAGCAACAGACATGCGTGACATGTTGTAGAGATGCATGTTTCATTATCCCCCGCCGCGCGAAAGCGCGAAGCGGGGGATATAGTATTCACGACCGTCCGTACGTCCCACCTGTTTGTTGCTGCGATATCTCAAGAACTAAACACTGGATTGTCTTCATATTTGGAACTATGGTGTATATACAGACTCCGCAGACACCAGTCGGTTTTGGTGACCTTGATCCCATTTTCAAGGTCACAGCAGACAAATCTGCTTTTAGAGTTGGAAAACGGTGTTGCCGCGATATCTCAAGAACTAAACACTGGATTGTCTTCATATTTGGAACTATGGTGTATATACAGACTCCGCAGACACCAGTCGGTTTTGGTGACCTTGATCCCATTTTCAAGGTCACAGCAGACAAATCTGCTTTTAGAGTTGGAAAACGGTGTTGCCGCGATATCTCAAGAACTAAAGACTGGATTGTCTTCATATTTGGAACTATGGTGTATATACAGACACCGCAGACACCAGTCGGTTTTGGTGACCTTGACCCCATTTTCAAGGTCACAGCCGGCAAATCTGCTTTTGGAGTTGGAAAACGGTGTTGCCGCGATATCTCAAGAACTAAACACTGGATTGTCTTCATATTTGGAACTATAGTGTATATACAGACTCCGCAGACACCAGTCGGTTTTGGTGACCTTGATCCCATTTTCAAGGTCACAGCAGGCAAATCTGCTTTTAGAGTTGGAAAACGGTGTTGCCGCGATATCTCAAGAACTAAACCTCTCGATTGTCTTCATATTTGGAACTATGGTGTATATACAGACACCGCAGACACCAGTCGGTTTTGGTGACCTTGACCCCATTTTCAAGGTCACAGCAGGCAAATCTGCTTTTGGAGTTAGAAAACGGTGTTGCCGCGATATCTCAAGAACTAATCGCTGGATTGTCTTCATATTTGGAACTATAGTGTATATACAGACACCGCATACACCTGTCAGATTTGGTGACCTTGACCCCATTTTCAAGGTCACAGCAGGCAAATCTGTTTTTGGAGTTGGAAAACGGTGTTGCCACAATATCTCAAGAACTAATCGCTGGATTGTCTTCATATTTGGTACTATGGTGTATATGGCGGGGGATATTTCGTCACTCTGTGACAAATACTTGTTGTAGTTGATGTCTGTTTCACTGTAGTTGTTTTCTGTGTGGGGGCGGTCGGGTACTCTACTGGTTAAAGTGTTCCCTCGTCACGCTGAAGACACAGGTTCGATTCCCGACATGAGTACAATGTGTGAAGCTCATGTCTGGAGTCCCCTGCCGTGATTTTTCTGGATTATTGCTAAAAGCGGCGTAAAACCATACTCACCCACTCACTGTTTTCTGTGGTTACAGCTGCAGTACAACGACAAGGAGACGGTGGGTCCCTGCATCAACATACACTTCCAGGACACCAAGACGCCCATCACGCTGCCTGTTGAGAAGGTACCATATTGTTGTGCTGTCGGGGGATACCATCAGACGATGTCCCACTGTTGGTTGTTGCTTGTATTAGGCGTCCACAGTGTTTGTGATATAAGTTTGGGGATCCCTAGGGGACTTGTCATTTATTAATGGTGGGGTGGGGGGTTTGGTCTCAGGACTGTATTATATTTTGCTCAATCACCCACCCACCCCCATCCCGCCCCACCCCATTTTATGCAAAATTTTATCATCCCCCCTCCCCGATACATGTATCATTTTGTAATGCAACCCCCCCCTCCGAAACACACAGACCCACACACACCAGTTCCTAGATTCAAATGCCATCAGAGAACATCTCAAGCATCCAGGACACCTCTTAATTTCAAACGCTGGTTCCACAAACCAGAAAAATATTCCAAATGTAGCTAATGTTTGTGTGTTTCTTGTTTGTTCTGTTAAGGAAGTCACAATGCATTATGATTTCAAGACAGATCTTCGTTCACATTTGAAGTGATGAAATGTGTTGTTGATGCTTCTGTGTGTAGCCCAGTGATGTACGTACGTTGTGTTACAGGCTATAGATACAGCTCTGACAGCACTGAAGAGCAGCTCAACAGATGCTTTCAGTCGCAAACAGGCGTGGGAGTTGATCAAGTGTTTCCTGGTGTCCGTCATGAACCTGGAGGATGACAAGCAGACCCTCACCCACCTCTTCACCCACACCAGGTTTGTTTGTTTGTTTGTTTGTTTAACACCACACTCAGCAATATTCCAGCTAAATGTAAATAATCGAGTCTGGACCAGACAATCCAGTGATTGATATCACGAGCATCAATCCATGCAATTCGGATACGACATGCATCAGCGATCATTATGGGTTCCCACATCAGGTACACAGTCTAGTTGCCGTACAGGAGGGTATGAGTGCAAGTTGGGTGTAACGCCACTTTGAACATTATTTCAGCTATATCATGGTGTCTCAGTTTATCCTTTTGACAAACCAGGATCATAACAATCAGCAGATCCTTGAGCAACTAAGAGATCCGACTCTTCACAATGAATTCCGACACAAGAGATGACACCGCCTCCTTCCATGTAGGAAGCATCCTTGTTGAAACCTTGCCTCGTGGATCATTGCAATCGTGGACAAGATATTTTTCCCAGAATTGAGGGACTGCCTCCGTGGTCTAGTGGTAGAGTGTCTGCCCGGAGAGCGGAAGGTCCGGGGTTTGATCCCCGGCCGCGTCATACCAAAAGACGTTAAAAGATGGTACTTGTTGTTACCCTGTCTGGTGCTCAGCATTAAGGGGCTAAAACAAGGACTGGTTGGCTTGGAGTCAGTATACTGTGTCTGAGTGGGTTATTCATGTTAAACTGCGGCATGGTATCTCAGTGAGCTAGCACTATAGTCTGGACTAGTACAAGCAGACACACACACACACACACACACACACACACACACACACACACACACACACACACGTGCATGCACGTCGCTATATAAGTGCAATAATCTTGGACGCGACGTTAAACCCAATTTCACCTCACCCAGAATTCAGCTTCCTGAAAACATAGCTGTTCAAAAGTACCAAAGAGCTATTCTATCAATACCATTTCACAATCTATTACACTCAATCCAAAATGTAACTCCGGAATTCTAGCCTAGTACGGCAAGGGTGGAAACTGTACTTTAATAGTCCTTGCCCCCTTGCCTTGGGAAGATGAGCAAAAAGTTGACTGCCATAGAAATGTGTGTGATGTGTTCCAGCTTCACAGAGAAGGAGATATCCACCACCACGGGGCCGCTGTACAAGAACCCTGACTCTCACTCCAGGAAGGTCCACGAGCAGGCACTCACGGGCATGTTCGGTGAGTTCCCAGGGTGCCGTGTTACAACCTCCTGTCCATAAGTATTGCTTATATTTCAGGTTATCAGGTTATCAGGTTTGGTTTGTTTGTTGTTTAACGTCGCACACAGCAATATTCCAGCTATATGACGGCAGTCTGTTAATAATGGAGCCTGGACCAGAGAATCCAGTGATCAATATCATGAGCATTGATCCATGCAATTGGGATCGATGACATGCATCAACCAAGTCAGCGAGCCTGACCACCCGATCCCGTTAGTCACCTCTTACAACAAGCATGATCGCTCAGTTATCAGGACCTGTATGGTTGGTCAAACATTCAAAGTGCATTCGTTGAATATTTCCCTGAAGGAATGACACTATTAACTTAAATCAGCGACTTTATGTGAATGGAGGCTGATGAACTTCCTGATCCTGTCTGTGGATTTTATGCAATGATGCAAAGACAATGACTTCTGTACTCAGTCTAATCCAGTAGCTACAGATTTAAGTAAGCATTGTTATAGAACGAGATACTTTTTACCTAATTTACATAAGAACTTCTTTGTTTTAACACAAATTGAAATCTGTGGTTACCATGGTTACAGTGGCAGCAGCCATCAAGGAGCTGCGACAGACTGCACTCCCCTTCATGGCGTGCATGGTGCGGCACTACACGATGATCGCCATCTCCCAGCAGTGCGGGCCCTTCCCCGTGGGCGACAAGCAGAACAAGCTGCAGGGGATGGACACCCAGATCCTCATCGACGCGCTGGCCGTCATCATGGGGCATGAGGAGAAGGAACTGTGTAAGCCGGGGAACCTCGCCCTCGTGCTCATCCTGGAGACCGCCACCACCATCCTCGGCAGCAAGGAGCGGGTACGTGCACCATGGCTTTGTGGAGGTTGTTTCAGTGTTGAATGTCTCCTTTGGAATTCTGGGCCTCATTCTATAAAACGATCTTAGCGCTAAGATGATTGTCACTCCCATACTTTACCATAGCCTTACGGTAGTCGTAGCGCTAAGACCGCCTCCACAATCCTTGACAGCAGTGATGGGGTACATGCACCATGGCTTTTTGGGGGGTTGTTGTTTCAGTGTTGAATGTCCCCTTTGGGATTCTGGGCCTTGTTCCATAAAGCAATCTTAGCGCTAAGATGATCGGAACTCCGATTTTTTAACATAGGCCTACTGTAGCCGTAGCGCTAAGATCGCTTTGTGGAACAGGTCCCTGGTTGGAATAATAACTTATGCTTGTCAGGTGAGGTGGACACATTGATTGGAAGGTCAGGCTCTGTGTCATTGCTCTATGGTGTGGAGTGGAATGTTCTTCCTTAGATTGGTTGGTTGGTTTGTTGTTTAACGCCGCACTCAGCAATATTCCAGCTATATGACGGCAGTCTGTAAATAATCAAGTCTGGACCAGACAATCCAGCGATTTATATCATGAGCATCGCTCCACGCAATTGGGATTGATGACATGCGTCAACCAAGTCCGCGAGCTTGACCACCCGATCCCGATAGTCGCCTTTTACAACAAGCATAGTCGCCTTTTACGGTAAGCATGGGTTGCTGAAGACCTATTCTACCCCGTAATTTTCACGGGTCTCTTCATTAGAGTAATCACTGGTTCTTCTTCCAGGCCTGCCACCTGCCCCTGTTTGAGTACCTCGTGGACAGGATGTGTTCTCTCTGCTATGACCGGGCCTGGTATGCCAAATATGGAGGGTGAGTGGACATTTCAGTAAGGGGATATTTTACCATGATCACTTGAAAACAAGTACAGTAAGTCGAGTCTTAGTTTAGACCAGATCTGGTAATGTCATATTATCCAATGGAAATATTCAACAATAGTTTTCTCATTGGTAATTTTTATTCCCAAGAATCAATCTGTAAGTGTAAGCTGTTTTTGTGCATCTTCTAACCATGAGTCGTACGATGACATTCCTCGAACCAGTGTAGCCTACATACTGCCCATGTTGTCATTCAACATTACATGAGCATATGTAACTTCACTTGAACAGGAGTAGTCGGGTAGCCTAGTGGTTAAAACATTCATTCTTCACGCTGAAGACCCGGGTTTGATTGCCGACATGGGTACAATGTGTGGAGCCTGATTATGGTGTCCCCCGCTGTGATATTGCTGGAATATTGCTAATGTGGCGTAAAACCATACTCCCTCACTCACTCACACTTGAGACCGCCTCCGTGGTCCAGTGGTAGAGCGTCCGCCTGGAGAGAGGAAGGTCCAGGGTTCAATCCCCGGCCGCTTCATACCAAAAGACGTTAAAAGATGGTACTTGTTGTTACCCTGTCTGGCGCTCGGCATTAAGGGGCTAAAACAAGGACTGGTCGGCTCGGAGTCAGTATACTGTGTCTGAGTGGGGTATTCATGTTAAACTGCGGCATGGTATCTCATGGAGCTAGCACTATAAATCGGCATCAGTCCGGACTAGTACAAGCAGCCACAAACACACACACGTGCATGCACGTCGCTATATAAGTGCAATAATCTTTGACGCGACGTTAAAACCCATTTCACCTCACATTTTTCACTCACACTTGAACAACTGAAACTCATCCTTTCTTTAGCATATTGAAAAGCAATAGGTAAACATTGATTATCACGCTAGTGAGTTTGTAGTTAGCCTTGCCATGTTGTCTGTTGCCTAGCTGCCTGGCCATCAAGTTCCTGTGCGACTCCATGGCACTGAGATGGGTGCTGGAGCACCAGTTCCTCTTCCTCAAGGCCCTGCTGTTTGTCATGATGGATCTCACCGGGGAGGTGAGTTGGAGTGGAGCTGCTGTTATCATCCCTCACCACTGTCTGTCCTCCACTGTCTGTGACCAAGACCTTGAAGCTGCCACAATTTGCTGTGCAGAGTTTCTTCCCTTAGGCGTACCAGAAATCTGTGATTGTGGTTTCAAATCCAAATTTGCTCTATGATTATGTGTCAAGTTTGCCAGCACCACACCTGTTCTGAAGTTTGTGTCACAGCGTCATGTGTCAGCCTGTTATACCACTGCTGATAAATATTTATAAAGTTATAAACATCGTCGGCCATAAATCACTTTTGGTTTTTCTTCAACACTTAGGTTACATGCCATGATATTACTGACAGACTGTTCTAAGTCCCATGTCACTAAACCTAGATTTCTTCTTGGTGACACAGGGGCACAGAGTTGCATCCTTTGGGCACACCAGAAACCCATATAATTGTGGGTTCGAATCCCAGCTCACCCCGATTATTTTTCTAGGGTTGTCAGCACCATACCCGTGCTCGTGGGTTTCACCAAAGTGGTAAACGTCTGAGACCTGCATCACTTGGGGCTTTCCTCCCACATTAAGAAGACACACTGTGATATAACTGGAATACTGTTAAAAGCGGCATTAACCCCAACTCACTCACTCACTCTGGGTGACACAGGTCCTGGTTATCTCCGGGGGCTCGGGTGGCCCAGTCGTCTAAGGCGCCCCAATTCGCTGTGTTGCGCTGAGTTGCGTCCCTTGGGCACGCCAGAAACCTATGATTGTGGGTTCGCCCCAGTTATGTTTCTAGGTTTGTCAGCACCATACCCGTGCTCATGGGTTTCACCGAAGTGGTAAATGTCTGAGACCTGCATCACTTGGGGCTTTCCTCCCACATTAAGCTGACACGCCGCGATATAACTGGAATACTGTTAAAAGCGTCGTTAAACCTAACTCACTCACTCACTCTGGGTGACACGGGTCCTGGTTATCTCCCTTGTATGTACCATCTCCCATCATGCCTCAGGTGTCTTCGGGAGCTGTAGACCGAGCCAAGTCGAACCTGGAGAAGATGTTGATCCTCTGTGCAAAGGATATTGAGCCAGACCAGAAAACCGATGAGCTGATTGCTGCACAAAAGAAGTCCTTCCATGAAGTTACGCATGAGCTAGTGAGACAGGTGACATCGCCCAACACGCTGGTTAGAGAACAGGTGGGTAAACCCCTTCCCTTTGTCTTCAAACAATCTCTGTCTTCAACAGTTCTGTTGTTGTCAATCCTGAAACTGCATTATTATGTATAGGATAAAACACGTCCTAGGGTTGTTATGATATTTATAACCTGCATCCCCATGGATTTTTCAAGGGAAAGGGTTTTAATATCATAACAACCCGAGTGGAAGTGTTTTATCTTACTTATAAACCGAAAAAAGAAACTTAAAACAACATTTATCAACATTTTTATGTTTCGAACATACTTTCCATGAACCTTAGGAAACGGGCGTAAAATATCTGTTGCTGGCGTACAGATCTTGAAGAGGACATTCTAAAAACCAGTGCAGCTTATCAACACCTCTGTAGCCTCGTGGTACACTCACTGGGCTACAGATATGAAGGTTGCGAGTTCGATCCTCAGGAATATAAAGAAAACATTTGTCATTTGATTTTACATTTCATTACATGTTACAATCTGATCGGAAGTTATATTAATAAAATACCCAGGACATTATATAAAATCCCTTGGATATGATAACACATTATATAGCAAATATGACTTGAATATCCTATAAAATCCCGGGAATATTATATAAAATCCCAGGGACATTTCAACGTCTCTGTTTATGATATTTAACCCGACTGGAGAACAATAATACGACGTCACCGGAGGTTTATAAGAATATTATAGACACTGCCCAATTCATACACACAAATGCTGTTATTTCAGGTTTGACATTTTGTAAAACCCTGTTTGAATGAAGTATTAACAACCTGTGAAAAATTTATGATGAAACCCCATTAGTCCAGACAGTGCCATTTCTACTGAAATTGTCTGGATTAACAAATTCCCAGATTAATGAATCATAGCACCTATAAATGTCCCTTAATGCAGATTGATGTTATCAATAGTAAGCATCCAGAAGACAGGGTTTCCCAATTTGCCAGGGTTTAACTGCATCATGTTGTCTGTAGTTGAAGGTTATCAAAGGGATAACATCAGACCTGTGGACCAGTACATTTAACTGTCTTCAACAATTTATTGAGATTAGGTGAGGTGAAATGGGGTTAATTTCACATTCAAGATTTTTGCACTTATACGGTGATGTAAATGCTTGTGTCAGTCTGGGTTAGAGTAGGTTTTATAGCGCTAGCCCACTGAGATACCATGCCGCAGTTTTACGTGGATACCCTACTCAGACACAGTATACTGATTCCGAGCGCCAGGCAGGGTAACAACAAGTACCATGTTTTAGTCTGTTTTCAATCGTACAAATGGGTATCTCTCATACCCTCACCCATTTGTACGACTGAAAACAGACCAATAAAACATCGTTTTTAATCTGAAAACCCCATTTTTTAACGCCTTTTGGTATGACGCAACCGGGGGTCGAACCCCAACTTTCCGCTCTCCAGGCGGACACTCTACCACTAGGCCACAGAGGCAGTCGCAATAGCATGACATAACACACTGGGCATTAGAGTATACTGACTCTGAGCCGTCCAGTCCGTCTTTTATCCCCTTAATGCCAAACGCCAGGCTGGGTAAAGACAAGTACACGCTTTCAGCTTTGTCTGGGGATCAAACCACTGATCTTACTCACTCCTGGCAGGGATATATTGAGTTCTTGGCATTTGGGTGTTTCACTGTTTACCAATTCCTGTTTGCTTGGAGTCACTGCCTACTTAAACCACTGTGCTCAGTGGACGTCCAAACCTGGTGTAATAAAGCTGGTCAGTTGGAAGAGTAACTGTTGTTTCCTTACAGGCTATGCACTCTCTTGGAGCACTGGCGAAGACGACGGGTCGGTCAATCACAGACATCATGGAGCCTCACAGAGAAGTGCTGCAAGACATGATCCCTCCCAAGAAACACCTGCTGCGTCACCAGCCTCTTATAGCTCAGATAGGACTCATGGTGAGTTAAGAAACACCTGCTGCGTCACCAGCCTCTTATAGCTCAGATAGGACTCATGGTGAGTTAAGAAACACCTGCTGCATCACCTGCCTCTTATAGCTCAGATAGGACTCACGGTGAGTTTAGAAACACCTGCTGCATCACCTGCCTCTTATAGCTCAGATAGGACTCATGGTGAGTTAAGAAACACCTGCTGCATCACCTGCCTCTTATAGCTCAGATAGGACTCACGGTGAGTTTAGAAACACCTGCTGCATCACCAGCCTCTCATATCTCAAATAGGACTCACGGTGAGTTTAGAAACACCTGCTGCATCACCTGCCTCTCATAGCTCAGATAGGACTCATGGTTAGTTAAGAAACACCTGCTGCATCACCTGCCTCTTATAGCTCAGATAGGACTCACGGTGAGTTTAGAAACACCTGCTGCATCACCTGCCTCTTATAGCTCAGATAGGACTCATGGTGAGTTAAGAAACACCTGCTGCATCACCTGCCTCTCATAGCTCAGACAGCCCTCATTGCCAGTTTAGAAACGCTTGCTGTGTCAATTTGATGTATGTTTGATGTGTATACTGTGTGTTTCAGGAGGGAAATACCTTCTGTACGACGCTGGAACCAAGGCTGTTCACCATGGACATCAATATACAGGAACACAATGTGTTCTTCAGTGAGGTCAGTACCTGCATCCTGTACATGATTCCATGTTAGAATAGACCAAACAACCTTGTCAACTTAGTGGATCAGATAGTCACTCTGTCTCATTGTACCCAAATAGATCAACCGATTCGATCAATCACTAGGGTGCACATGTCTGGTCCATTATTTACAGGGGCGTTCGGGTAGCCTAGTGGTTAAAGCGTTCATTGGTCACGCCGAAGACCCAGGTTCAATTCCCGCCATGCGTACAATGTGTGAAGCCCATTTCTGGTGTCCCTCGCAGTGATATTGCTGGAATATTGCTAAAAGCAGCGTAAAACCATACTCACACACTGACTCATTATCAACATTCTGGGATCTAGTGAGAAATCTTGTTTTCTGCATCGTCAGTCAGCAAGCGAACAAATATCTTTCATTTTGTGGAAATCCTCCTCCCCATGTTTCAGCTGCAGAGCTTGTGTGAGGCGGATGATGCTATCCTCGTCAAACTGCCCTGTTACAAGAACGTAACGAACCTTGTGCCGCTGAAGAAAAGCGCCCTGAGTAAGTAGGAAATCTACTTTAACATCAGTGTAATGTAACCAAGGCAACAGATTTATGTTTGTTATTTAATGAGTTCAATATGTTGGTCAATTTCTTTTAAATGATTGAATTAATATTCTGAATAGTTTAAAGTGAAATTATGGGTCCAAAAGTCTTTCTAAAATAAATACTTATGACAGTAAGGAATTATAACAAATGAGTGATCCCAAGAGGACTGCCTGACACAGATATGTTGCTGCCAGTGGAGGACCCAGAGTGTTGGATAGGATGCAGCCCAGGATTAGGACCTCGTTGAGATGTGCAAAATCCTAATACCTTTGTAGTATTGAGAAATGACAAATTCATCAGTATTCAAGGGATGTGTGTAACAGGACTCGGATGTTGCTTTTCTACACATCACCACAGGCTGCCATGATATGGCTTGAATTGTGCTGAATGTGACTTTAAATGATGTGATTATTTCTTACCAGGAGCACTTGCGGCCTGTCACTACATCCCAAGCAGGCGAGACAAGATCTTCACGATCCTGTACAAGGCTCTCAACAGCACCAACAGCGAGCTGCAGGAAGCTGCACATGACTGCATGAAGAAGGTACAGGGCTCACGCAGCCGTTACCATCGTTACACTGTCTGATCTAATACATTGATTGATAGCTACAGAGGGCACCGATGGCCTAGTTGCCTAAGGTGCCGCGATTCATTGTGCAGAGTTGCGTCCATTGGGCACGCCAGAATCCTATGATTGTGGGTTCAAATCCCAGTTTCTCCCTGATTATGTTTCTAAGTTTGTCAGCGCCATACCTGTGCTCTTGGGTTTCAAGAAAATGGTATATGTCTAAGATCTGCATCACTTCAGGCTTTCCTCCGTTAAGCCGACATGCTGTGATTAAACTGGAATACTGTTAAAAGTGTCATTAAACCCAACTTACCCACTTGCCCATTGATAGTTACAGAAAAGCCAATGAAACTAAAACATTTACTTGCCCTGATAGTGATCGTGACACTTTTAACGTAACACATACTGACTTGGGCTTGTGGCAAGTTGCGTCCGTCTTTCAAGTCCTAATTCAAATCTCCTATTTGTCTGTTAAGTAATCTAAATCCAGTTAATTCATACAATTAATTTGCTTGCTCTAGTTCATCGGCGGATGTCAGGTGGAGACCGACACGGTGCACACAGCAATCCGCCCCCTGCTGCTGAAGTTGGGGGACTTCCGCAGTCTCACCCTCAACATCATTCAGATCCTGTCCAGCCTCATCCAGCTCTTCCCCAACGTCTTCAACGAGAAGCTGTGTGAACAGCTGCATGTAAGTACCCATACTGTCCGATGTAAGTGTTCATCCCTGAGGGCTGTCAGCATACCCTACCTTGTTACAGACTTGTGTCATGATATACTACCTTGTTACAGACTTGTGTCACGATACCCTACCTTGTTACAGACTTGTCACGATACCCTACCTTGTTACAGGCTTGTGTCATGATACCCTACCTTGTTACAGGCTTGTGTCATGATATCCTACCTTGTTACAGGCTTGTGTCACAATACCCTACCTTGTTACAGGCTTGAGTCACGATACCCTACCTTGTAACAGACTAGTGTCATGATACCCTACCTTGTTACAGACTTGTGTCATGATACCCTACCTTGTTACAGACTTGTGTCATGTTACCCTACCTTGTTACAGACTTGTGTCACTATACCCTACCTTGTTACAGACTTGTGTCACTATACCCTACCTTGTTACAGACTTGTGTCACGATACCCTACCTTGTTACAGACTTGTGTCATGATACCCTACCTTGTTACAGACTTGTGTCACGATACCCTACCTTGTTACAGACTTGTGTCACGATACCCTACCTTGTTACAGACTTGTGTCACGATACCCTACCTTGTTTCAGACTTGTGTCATGATACCCTACCTTGTTACAGACTTGTGTCATGTTACCCTACCTTGTTACAGACTTGTGTCACTATACCCTACCTTGTTACAGGCTTGAGTCACGATACCCTACCTTGTAACAGACTAGTGTCATGATACCCTACCTTGTTACAGACTTGTGTCATGATACCCTACCTTGTTACAGACTTGTGTCATGTTACCCTACCTTGTTACAGACTTGTGTCACTATACCCTACCTTGTTACAGACTTGTGTCACGATACCCTACCTTGTTTCAGACTTGTGTCATGATACCCTACCTTGTTACAGACTTGTGTCACTATACCCTACCTTGTTACAGACTTGTGTCACGATACCCTACCTTGTTACAGACTTGTGTCACGATACACTACCTTGTTACAGGCTTGTGTCATGATACCCTACCTTGTTACAGACTTGTGTCACTATACCCTACCTTGTTACAGACCTGTGTCACGATACCCTACCTTGTTACAGACTTGTGTCACGATACCCTACCTTGTCCTATTCTTGAGCTGCAAAACACTACATTGTTATGCATGTTGTATGCCTGTGTCACAATATGAATTTAAGTACTAAATCGACAACAACCATTATGTACAGTTAATTCAATAACAGTGGTGAAAATAATGTATTCAATCCATGTTTTTCCATACTAGGATGTGAAATATATTTATGTGGGGAAATTGTTAAATGGCAGTCAAGGTTTGCGAATAACCAATATAACAAACAGATTTGAACAATCTGCTAGCGTTCATTGTGACCATGTTTTAGCGAAGTTTGTTACCAAGAGGACGGAGTGGTGTTGAAGATCTTCAGCATCTTCGGCAGGACTTATGTGAGAATAATGTGATGTGTTTTGCAGGTCCACCTGAAGAAACTGCTGGAGGTGATCGCTGTGGCTCAGAAGAGTGGTCAGAAGCCCTCCACTGGACAGGTCAGTTCTCCTGCATTTTTAGTGGCAGAGGAGTAGCGTTGTGGTTAGAGGTTTTGCTCCTCATGTGAAAGAAACTGCTCTGGGTGCCGTTGTTGAAAACAACCTTAGCGCTACGACTGTCGTAAGTCTATGTTTGGGTATGGGAGTTACGATCACCTTAGCACTACAACTGTCGTAAGTCTATGTTAAGGTATGGAAGTTACGATCACCTTAGCGCTACGACTGTCGTAGGTTTATGTTAAGGTATGGGAGTTACGATCACTTTAGCGCTAGGATCGCTTTGTACAATTCCCCCCGATTCAAAATATGATATCTTCTGGCCAGTATGATTTACTGTCTGCCTGCCACGACATTGCAGATTATGTGTTAAACTATGTCTCCTCTCACTTAGGACCTGAAGACTTGTGCGGCCATCGTGAATCTGTTCCATCTGATCCCGGCCGCCAGCAAGAACATGATAGAGCAGCTGACTCTGCTGGTTCTCCGGGGGGAGCGGGCGCTGCTCATTGAGGTAGGTTCGCCCTATTGAGATTCAGGGTAGAATAGGTCCTCGGAACCTCATGCTTGTCATAGAGGCCACCAAGTAGGATCATGTGATCCGGCTCAGTATCTGGGCTGATTGTTTCTCATAAAAAAAAATGCCTGGTCCAGACTCTGTGATATAGCAGGAATATTTATCACTGTGGTATGAAAAAACACTTCTCTCACTCAGTCAAGCAGGTATTTCACCTATCATGTCCACTTTATTCTGTTGTGGTTGGTCTGATGATATTAAACGCTGTTGAGTTACAGCCCATGGGGCCAAGTCTTGGCTGAAAGTAGATATAGTTGTGACCACTGTTCTGAGGGATTCTGTTGATGGTAAAACTGGTAGTCCACAAGGAAAAGTCCTTCCTGAAATTTATTAGTCTGCCGTGAAGATATGGGTTACAATTGGTCTTCAGTACACATGCTTGTCTAAGAGGCTACTAATGAGACTGGGTGGTCAGACTCGTTTACCTGGCATGTCATTGTATCCAGACAGCGTAGATCATTGCTTATGATATGAATCACTGGATCATCTGGTCCAGGCATGATTATAAGCAGGCTGCCATTGTGTGGCTAGGATATTGAAAAGTGTGGCATTAAACAGGCACACGAACAAAAACAGTTTGTGCTGACATTTGTGAAATAGGGTAAGGTGATGATTGTGAGCGTGATATTCTTCAGGCCGGGAGTCCTTTCCGAGAACCTCTGATGAAGTTCCTGCTGCGTTACCCGCCGCAGACGATCGATCTGTTCCTGACAGACAGTACCCTGAAGGATCAGCAGTGGAACCGATATCTGGAGGTAAGGCACCAAGGCGTTGATACAGGGTGGTAGGGCTACAACAGGAGGAAGTCTGTGTTCCACTATAGAAACTCTTTCAAAACACAAGGATGTGTTATGTTTAGATGCAAACGGTTTGATCAAAATGTTTGAAAGAAATTCTGTTCATGATAAAGTTAACCGTTAGCATGAAGTACTAATGATAATCTGATCCAGAGTAGAATAAGTCTTCAGGACCCCATGTTTGCCGTAAAAGGCAACTATGCTTGTTGTAAGAGGCGACGAACGGGATCAGGTGGTCAGGCTCGCTGACTTGGTTGATACATGTCATCGTATCCCAATTGCGTGGATCGATGCAGATGATGTCAATCACTGGATTGCCTGGTCCGGGCTTGCTTGTTTACTGACCACCATCATATTGCTGGAATATTGCTGAGTGTGGCGTTAACAACAATCAAACAAACTAACTAATGATAATGTCGTGGTTTCTTGTTTTATCTAAATGTTTGAAGGAAGTTCTGTTCTTGACATGAACCTTCAGCATGAAGGACAAATGACAACAGTTTAGTTTGTTGTTCTGTTCGGAAGTAGGTACAGTGTGTTGGTTCTTGCTTTTTCAGGGGGCACGGGTAGCCCAGTCGTCTGAGGCGCCGCGATTCGCTGTGCAGAGTTGCATCCCTCAGGCACACCAGAAACCTATGATTGTGGGTTCGAATACCGGTTCGCCCCGATTAGGTTTCTAGGTTTGTCAGCACCATACCCGTGCTCGCGGGTTTCACCGAAGTGGTAAACGTCTGAGACCTGCATCACTTCGGGCTTTCCTCCCACATTAAGCTGACATGCCGTGATATAACTGGAATACTGTTAAAAGCAGCGTTAAATAAACTCTCTCACTCTTGCTTTTTCAGTACCTTTTGAAACAGAAAGATGGCCAGCCGTTCAGAGATGTTCTGCAGTCCAACCCGATGAGGCTCGTCAACATGGCATTTGGACAGTTACAGGTTGGCTGACATTGTCCTTTAGGCCTGAACATCTGCAGAATATTCTACCACACTGCTTATCTCTCACCTCTGTCTCCTCCTCCAAGACCTGATGTAGACATCTGGGCCCACTTTCATAAACCGATCTTAGCGCTAAGATGAGTGTTGCTCCCATACTTTACCAAAGGCTTACGATAGTCTTGGCGTTAAGATCGCTTTGTGCAAGTGGGCCCAGATCTAAGGGACTGGTCATATGGTATAGTGGGCTGGGAGGTCATGACAAAGTTTTGGTGTGTGGGTGTGGGTGGGGGGACAAATATTACACAGTCCAAAGACCAAAGAATTGCTTTTATTCCAATTTGGGAATTTGTTTTCACTGTCATTTGCTGCTTGGTGACAATGATTGGCCTCTGCACACATCTATATAAATCCTGGCATGTCCTCTGGCCCCAGCCTCCGTAGACACCCTCCGTAGAGGCGACTACAGTGGGCATGACTTGTCAGAGTCATTGTACCCCAGTTGCATGAATAATTATTCATCTTTCAGTCAGAGCTGTGCCTGGTGCAAACTTGATCATATTCAGACTTGAATTTTGCTATGAAACTCCTGACTCACTTCACTCCACAGACCCAGAGTGCGTCTCCCCTGACGTCTGCCGCCACCACCAAGTCCGAGCTGCAGTACCAGGCTATACGCCTCATCAGCATCCTGGTCCACTTCCACGAGGAATGGCTGCCCAAGCACTCCCAGGTGGTGAGTACATTCACGATCTTTAAAGGGGCACGGGAGGCCCAGACGTTTACAGCAAGGATAGATGTTACGTTTTGTCACCAGTCAACAAAACTGATGTGCTACAGAGTTGCAATCTACCTAATGGTAAAAGTGGCACTCCATAAGGTTATGTCACTAGTCCTGCTTGAATTATGATAGTGAAGATCTGGATTAGAATTGGTCTTCAGCAACTCATGAGACTAACGGGATCAGGTGGTCGGGCTGGCTGACTTTGTTGATGCATGTCTTCATATCCCAGTTGTGTAGATCGATGCTTATGATGTCAATCACTGGACTGTCTGGTCCAGAGTCAATTATTTACAGTTCACCGTCATATAGCTCCGAATATTGGTGAGTGCAGCGTTTGTCTGGTCCAGAGTCGATTATTTACAGACCTCCATCATAAAGCTGGAATATTGCTGAGTACAGCGTTTGTCTGGTCCAGGGTCAATTATTTACAGACCTCCGTCATAGAGCTGGAATATTGCTGAGTACGGCGTTTGTCTGGTCCTGTAAGGTACCACAGCAACTGTGTATAGCCCATGCATGATCAAAGTTGGTGCAAAATGGTGCTACTGGGATTTGCTGTGACTTGCCGACCATGTGGTCATGCTGCTAGTTCTGTGTAATGAAGATGATGATGTCCTTCTTCCTCCAGGTGACCCAGCTGCTGAAGATCTGGGTGTCTGACAGCTTCCAGGAGAGACACAAAAAAGTGGTGAGTCCGTGAACGTGTCCTACTAAGCATAGAGTCTACTGTAGAAGTGTGAACAGCTCCAGCGTACCTGGCATTATATCATCACATGATCCAGTGTATGAAATTAAGCACGAAAGTGTCTGCCTGGAGAGTGGAATGTTGGTACCTCTATCCACTGCTGCGTCATATCAAAAGACGATAGTACCTATTGTTACCCTACCTTGCCCTCGGCAACAAGGGGATAAAACAAGGACTATTTGGCTAGGAATCAGTATACTGTGTCTGTTAAAACTGTGGTATGGTATATCTGGGGGCGAGCTTTATAAAATCACCTTGGTCTGGCATTGGTCTGGACCAGTACAGGTTCATGCACAAGGCTATTTAAGTGCTATAATCTTAAACATTAAATCCTACTTCAGCTCACCTGCAGTGTGTTACCTCGGTGTTTGCTTGCCTCATGCTATCAACCACTGGTTTACCAGCCCCAGGCTCAGATGTTTCTCTTCAGGCTGACTGCTGTATTAGTGCTAACAGATGCTAACGTATATTCTCTTTCAAGTGTTGATGTGTACTTTGTATGTTTGCTCAAGGACTCCCTGGACTTCGTCCATTGGAAGGAGCCTGCGCTGTTGGTGCGATGTCTCCTCAACTACTTCAAGTGAGTCACTGGTTGCCGTGGAAATCTGCTCAGTAATAATGCTAACCCCAAGTAAATGATATGGAGTGAGTGAGTGAGTGAGACCAGAAATGTGGGGATCCATGTGGGGAATGGAATCCGGGCCCTTGGACAAAGTGTATGTTGTACCCAGTGTTTGAAATAACTGCCTGCCTGCTAGCCAAATGCCAGTGACTTGTAAATTGGGCGAGTAACATTTCTGTTAAGCTTGCCCACGTCTTGTTGAAAATCTAGACTAATGGCAAGCTTGACAGAAATGTTACTTGCCCAATTTGAAAATCTGACCTGTGAAGATCCGGGGTAGAATAGGTCGTAAGAGGCGACTAACGGGATGGTGTGGTCCGGCTATTTGACTTGGTTGATGCATGTCATCAATTCCAATTGCGTCGATCGATGTTCATGATGTCAATCACTGGATTGTCTGGTCCAGACTCGATTATTTACAGGCTGCCATCATATAACTGGAATATTGCTGAGTGCGGCATTAAACAACAAACAAACAAACATGTTGAAATTCTAGTCAATACATGTTTGTTTCTATGAATCTTCAAGTCATTTCCAATTATTTGTGCTCATATACACAGTCACAAACTCTTATTTATTTGAAATGGCATCTTGTTGAGATGTAGTTTGTGCATTTAAAGCAACACACCAGACTTAGTGTTTTTGTATTCTTGCTATCAATAGGATAAAATATGCTTGAAACAAACAAAATGTTTGTATGTTTTCGTACTGAGCTGTAATGCTGATGGTTACTAGCCCGAAGTTGTTTACATGACTGGTGATGCTCTTCATCCCTCAGACATCACACAAATGAGATCGACCTCCTCTTCCACATCCTGCGATGCTTCACTCACAGATACATCCCACAATTCCAGTTTGTCAAGGAGTTCCTGGATGACACCGTGGCAACAGTAAGTTCGAGCTGAGAACAACCTTTGACACTCTGAACATAGATTGAATTTCTTACCAGAATAAAAATGTCAGTTCCATGTAACATGCAATCTACAATTTAGATTAATATTGTTTTATTCAAACAGTGGACATTTTTGTCTGTTCACGATATGTATGTGCATCAATATCATTAACATCAGATCTTAGATCTCGATACAGCTAAAGAAAGATCTGAAGACACCCCATTATTGGTCACATCAAAACCACCTTTCATGAACTTTGTCCAACCAATGGATGGACTAACAAGAAGCAGCTTTCTTGAGCTATACAGTTTCAAACACTAGTTTCAAAGTGTCAACTTCAATTCCAGGTTACACTTTGTAAATATTTTGACAAAGTTCTCAATTAAAACTTTGAAAAGCAACACTCTGATGAAAGGTCATTCTGGCGTGACCCGCAATGGGATGTCCTCAGACCTTTGTTTTTAGCAGAAGTTAGAACTAAGATTTGATATTAATGAGATTGTATGCATATAGATCTAAATTTTGTGCGTCCAGTACAACCCTGCTGTGATTAGCATGATTATCTGGTACAGCGGTAATAAAAGAAAGCTTAAACATGCCATGGTTGAGCAGATACATAACCCATGTAATAAACCTTATAACACCTAGTCTATGTCAAGTCAAGCAGATCGTAGTAGGTCACTGTGACATGGTAACAGATGTTAGTCTCTGTTTCAGCTGTATGACATTGAGTGGAAGAGGAAAGCTTTCTTCAAGTTTGTTGATGTCTTCCATGACCAGAACTGGCCACAGGAACTGAAAGCAAAGGTAAGCATGTGTCCGAGCATCTGTAGAGTGAGTGAGTGAGTGAGTGAGTGAGTTTTTCCAATTATTTCACGGTGTGTCACCTTAGTGTGGGAGGAAAGCAGAAGTTAGAACTAAGATTTGATTAGATGAGATTGTATGCATATAGGTCTAAATGTTTTGCATCCAGTACAACCCTGCTGTGATTAGCATGATAAGGTCTCAGACGTTTGCCACTTTAGTGAAATCTATGAGCGCGGGTATGGTGCTGACAAACCCAGAAACATAATTGGGAGAACTGGGATTCGAACTCACATAGGTCCTTGGTGTGTCAAAGGGAGGCAACTCTGCACAGCGAATTTAAGCAAAGCATCTGTGGCAAGAAAACATTCCTAGCAAATGAAACATCGGTTGGGATAAACATCATTAAAATCCATGGCCGATGTACATGAGATATTGAGCAGTTACATCCAACATGAGCAAAATTGAGTATTTCAAGAGAAATGAAATTAATTTATTAATTCAAATCAAGCTTCAATGTTTGATTTCCAAGTTGTGCGTGGAGTGTTTTATGGCATTTGTCAGCAAAGACATCTTTGTAGTGAGGAGTAGGCACAGAGTGGGGCGTTGTTCATAATATCAATCACAGGTTTGTCTGGTCTAGACTTAAAAAATGTACAGGCTACTGTCAATATTGCTAAGTGCAGCGTATAAAGTATTACCACGCAAAGACAATAGAAGAGCTGATTCAGAAAGATGTAATTAACTACTCATCAATAAATTCTGTTTCAGAATGGTGTTATCTTTACATGGTTATCTAATTGTAATAAATTCTGTTTCAGATTCTGCAACACGTCCTCATCCCATGTTTCCAGACCTCGTTCGAACGAGGAGAGGGGGATCTCCTCATTGGGGGTCACCCTGCCCCCGACCAGGACAACGAGGACAACGTCATCAGCATCTTCATCACCCGCATCATCGATCCAGAGAACCCGTTCGGCACATCGGATGCTGTGCGGATTTTACTACTGCAGTTCTCGTCACTGCTGGTGGAGCAAGCTTCGCCCCACATCCACGATGCTGCAAACAAGTAAGACACGTGCAGGTGTAGTGGTTAAGGAAATTTGTACGTTAAAGTGGATACAAATGGGCAACATTTCATTATTAAAAAGAAGATGTAAAATCATGGGGATAGTCTTTGTGGTTACAGCTTTGGCTTGTCACACCAAAGGCCCGGGTTCAGTTCCCCACATGGGTACAATGTGTGAAGCCCGTTCTGGTGTCCCCCTCACACGGCTGGAGACCTGTGAAGATCCAGGGTAGAATAGTTCTTCAGCAACCCGTGCTTGGGGTAAAAGGCAATTGTGCTTGATGTAAGAGGCGACTTACAGGTGGTCCTCGTATCCCAATTGGGTAGATCAATACTCATGATTTCAATCACTGGATTGTCTTGTCAATTATTAACAGACCGCCGTCATATAGCTGGAATATTGCTGAGTGCGATGTTAAACAACAAACAAACAAACAAACAAAACAAACAAACAAACATGGCTGGTATTGGGTTTTCAGGGAATTCATGTTTTGATAAATGTGTATATAAAAGTATATGTTAGTTATTCTTTATAAATACTACTCAACTTTTGATAGGGATTATCCTTTCTATGTTGATATTCATTACACGTGAAATATGAAGGTCAGTTCTGTGTCATGGAGAGATAAAACTATCCTTACCAAAAGTGGAGTGGTATATGTTTCCAGTTTACCTGGACATCATTTTGAGGTTTCATGCGAGTCCGAGTTGACAGCCAACATTTGCCATGTATATTTTCAGGAAACAAGGCAACAAGCTGCGGCGGTTGATGACCTTTGCGTGGCCCTGCCTGCTGTCCAAGAACTGCGTGGACCCGGCCACCAAGTACCACGGCCACCTTCTGCTGGCCCACATCATTGCCAAGTTTGCCATCCACAAGAGGATTGTGCTGCAGGTGAGTGCCTTCTGTCTCGCCACTCACTGGACGTGCAGGGCACCTGTAGCTCCAGGAGGATGCATTCTGATGATAGTCAAACATGTGGCTGGAGATGACCTCATTGATCATGTTTTCAGTCACTAGTTTGCATGAGGAGGCGTTGGTTGAGGCATGTCATCATATCCCAATTACTTGTTTTGATGCTCATGATGTCAATCACTGGATTGTGTGGTCAAGACTTGATTATTTACAGACAGCCGTCATATGTCTGAAATATTGCTGAGTGCGGCGTTATACAACAAACATGCAAATGATATATAAAGTTCACTGTAGTTTGCAACAAGGAGGGTGCACAATTTAGAACGTAGCACCAATAAGCATTCTGTCCTGTCCTAGATATTTTAGGTTAACTGACTCCACTAGGTTTCATTGGAACTATGTTGTTTGATTATCTGGAGTTATTGCCATAGTATCCTTCAACCATGTCAAATGATGCGGGGCGGTTGGGTAGCCTAGTGGTTAAAGCATTGGCTCGTCACGCCGAAGACCAGGGTTCGATTCCCGACATGGATACAATGTGTGAAGCCGATTTCTGGTGTCCCCCGCCGTGATATTGCTGGAATATTGCTAAAAGCGGGGTAAAATCAAACTCACTCACTCACTCACTCACTAGTTTGCATGAGGAGGCGTTAGGCAACATTCATTCTCCTTAATCGCTGTTAATGCTTCAAACTTTTCATGTGAATCAACTGGACTAATGGAACTGAAAATAAATAATATAATATTTTGGTGGCATCTTCTGTCAGGCAGGGTCTGATAATGCCGATGTTACACAGTTGCGAGTGATGCCACCATGGGTGATACCACCACTCCTCTCTTAGGTACTGGGGGCAGTGGGGTAGGCTTGTGGTTAAAGCGTTCTCTCGTCACGCCGAAGGCCCTGGTTCGATTCCCACTTGGGTACAATGTGTGAAGCCCATTTCTGGTGTCCCCTTCCATGATATTGCTGGAATATTGCCAAAAGCATCTTTAAACTATACTCTATCACTCACTCACTCACTCACTCACTCACTCACTCACTCACTCACTCACTCACTCACTCACTCACTCACTCACTCACTCACTCACTCACTCTTAGGTACTGATCCAGGACCTAAAGCATCTTGTGTGTTGTGTGCAGGTGTTCCACAGTCTGCTGAAGGCGCATGCTGTGGAGGCTCGGAGCGTTGTGCGGCAAGCCCTAGAGATCCTCACGCCTGCGATGCCAGGCAGAATGGAAGATGGAAATGTGAGTTGTTGCCCTACAGACGTCATGGACAGTGTATCACACCATCATCTAGGTGGGATCTGTCATCAAGAATACCTGTCAAATCCAAGCTAGATATTTCGTAAATCATCATCATGTCAATCTATGTGAAGTAATGGGAACTTGTTTCAAGAGCTGTTTTGGAGTGCTGAGGGAAAGAGAAATTAAAATTTGATTGTTTTTGGCTTGGAGGGCTGATTGAGGTTTGTCCCTTGACCTTGGTGAAGGACAGCGGGTGAACATGCACTGTCTGTGATGTCTGTAGTAGATGTAGTTGTGTTGTAGTGTAGTTGTAGTGACGTGGCCCACTAGTCGTCTGATGATGTCTTCTCTCAGTGTGTATACACGAAAGAAAATAGAGCCAACCATTAATTGTAAACATTCCTTGAGAAACTTGAAAAGATGAAAAAATTAAAGACACTTGACTTTGGCTTCATATGACCGTTTCGTACAAGGTAATTTGCTGTGAATGTCAACTGTAGTGCCCCTTATGATAATGATCAACTAGACAGTTGAATACATGGCACTTTTTAAGATAGCAGCTTCCTTTATTCTTCGTCACGACATTTCAGAGCTACTTCTTGCTCCTTCATCAGGTGAATGCTTAGTAAGTGCATAGAGTTAATATATGTAGTCATGATATGTTACACAACACAAAGATAACAATTTAATGACGAGTTGATGGGATAGGATTAATGTACCAAGATAACAATATATTGACGAGGGTGATGAAAGATAACAATTTAATGACAAGTCAATGGGATAGGATTATGTACCAAGGTAACAATATATTGACGAGGATGATGAAAGATAGAATATAATGACAAAGCCGATGGGATAGTATTAATGTACCAAGATAACAATATATTGACGAAGGTGATGAAAGATAACAATTTAATGACGAGTCAATGGGATAGGATTAATGTACCAAGATAACAATATAATGACGAAGGTGATGAAAGATAACAATTTAATGACGAGTCGATGGGATAGTATTAATGTGCAACGATAACAACATAATGACGAAGGTGATGAAAGATAACAATTTAATGACGAGTCGATGGGATAGTATTAATGTGCAACGATAACAATATAATGACGAAGGTGATGAAAGATAACAATTTAATGACGAGTCGATTGGATAGTATTAATGTGCAACGATAACAATATAATAACAAAGGTGATGAAAGATAACAATTTAATGACGAGTCGATGGGATAGTATTAATGTTCAACGATAACAATATAATGACGAAGGTGATGAAAGATAACAATTTAATGACGAGTCGATGGGATAGTATTAATGTGCAAAGATAACAATATAATAACAAAGGTGATGAAAGATAACAATATAATGGCGCAGGTGATGAAAGATAACAATATAATGATGAAGCCAATGAGATTGATAGGAGATGATCATTCACCTGATGAAGGAGCAACAAGTAGCTCTGAGACATCGTGACAAAGAATAACAGAAGTTGCTGTCCATAAAAAGTGTCATGTATTCATGTTCTCCCAACTTCTAAATGCCTATCAAAGACTATAACTGGATAGTTGTAGCGGTAGTGATGTTTGCATGTTTGGTGTTGTCACGGTGACGGTGTTACTGTTGTCGACAGACGGGCAGTTGTCTCTCTTCTAAGCTTATCTTTTCGTGATAACGATCTAGCTTCCACAGGGGATGCTAACACATTGGACCAAGAAGATAATCGTGGAGGAAGGCCACAGCGTTGGACAGCTGGTGCATATATTGTGAGTATACAACAGCTATGAGTGAGTGAGTGGGTGAGTGAGTGAGTTGGGTTTAACCCCGCTTTTAACAGTATTTCAGTTATATCACAGCGTGTCAGCCTTAGACGACTGGACCACCCGTGCCCCCACAATGTGTACTATGTGTACATAGAGGGGAGCAAGGATGGACCAGTCATGTCAGCCTCTCGAATCCCAGATTTGTACTGATGATCATCTTTGGTAGGCCAGCACCGTACCCAACTTAAAGTTGTAAATGTCTGTGATGGGAGGTGAAATGAAATGGGGTTTACTGTCGCATTTAAGATTATCGCACTAATATAGTGACGTGCATGTATGTGTGCTTGTACTCGTCTGGACTAATACCAGTTTTATAGTGCTAGCCCACTGAGATACCATGCCACAGTTTAACATAAATACTCCACAGACACAGTATACTGATCCCAGCCTACTGGTCCTTTTTTTAGCCCCTTAATGCTGAGAGCCATTTATAACATATATATGTTACAGGCAGCTGGTTGTGCGCCACTACAAAGTGTACTATCCAGTCCGACATCACCTCATACAACACATGGTCAACTCTCTACAGAGGCTTGGGTTCACAGCAAACGTATGTATACCACTGCTTAGGGCAAAACAGGAAAAAAGAACTGACTCCAATGTTGGGTATGAATGAATGAATGAATGAATGAATGAATGAATGAATGAATGAATGAATGAATGAATGAATGAATGAATGAATGAATGAATGAATGAATGAATGAATGAATGAATGAATTTTAAGAGCAACCAATTTCCATCTGCTATTTCTCAATTGCGCTTTGACAATAGCTTTGATGAATAAAGAAGATAGATTTGAAGTTGAAAGAAAGGATTTTTATCATATCATGCGCATCCCCCATTTTTCAGATACCTTACATGTTAACTGCACCCATCTTGTCTTGGGAATGATGTTCATTGAGATACATCCGTCATAGCACGGAGACAATTGCAATGCCCATACTGTAACACTGACTTATGACCATCGTAGCTCTTAGGTCGCTTTCTGCTAAGTGGATTACTCTTTCTTTAACCCATGTTGACTGAAAGTCTGGCTAAGTTACCTCCCCTGACTACAAAAATGAGTTTCACTTCCAGAAATATTCACACAGTGTGAATTGTGTGAATGCTAGGTAGAATTAAACATTTGTTTGATTTCCAGTGGCAGATTGTATAATGTGTTGGATGTCTTCGTCAGGCATCCATTGAGCATCGGAAGTTGGCTGTGGAACTAGCCGATGTGATCATCAAGTGGGAGCTGCAGAGACTGAAAGATGACCAGGAGCTGCCAGGGGGGGTTATTGAGGTGAGCAGTTCCAGTACCATCAATCGTCACATGTACAATGGGTTAAGGCCTGTCATTTGTTACCAGTTGGCTTACAAAAGATTTCACCTAAAATTTGATGCAGGTGGTTGAATTTTCTTTTTTTAAATTCAACTTCCAGATTAGTATTGCTTCAAATGAATGAAATCAAACTCAAAGGTCACTCCATCACGGAAGTACAATTGCGAATCGATCTCATAAGATGTTTGATTGTTTTGGAGTATTTTTAATCTAAGATTTTTATACATATTATTCAACCTTTTTTACCAACCGCAGTGTTAAAATATCTTGTTTCTTTTTTTTGTTTCACATAATCATAAAACAAAGTGATTTTGGATGATAAATAGAGTCTTACCTTCGTGTCTTCTGATATCGAATATATCAACACAAGCTGATTAGAGTTTTAACCCTGAGTTTTGCCGAGGTGTTTTTTTAACTTTTATCAACTTGTGTTGGTATGTTTGATCTCAAAATACACAAGGGTGAGATTATATTTATCATCCCAAATCATTCAGCCAACATTTTCAGGCTGTAAACAGTAATAGCCAGTGTCTTGAGTGTAAAAAGTACAGCTAACCAGATTCAGTGAAGAGAAATTAGTGATGTCATTTGGTTATGAAGTCATGGTAACCAATGACATCACAATAGTCTGAAAACGTTGTGATTCATGTTCATTGTAGTGATATCTCCTGGGAGATATTGCCTGATTTTGCCCGAACGATATCTCCTGTGGAAGCCAGTTTGGGATGATATCTTGTTTGTATCTTGTTTGTATCTTGTTTGTATCTTGTTAGCCGGCCCAGGACGTGACACAAGCTTTAGCTCAGAATATCCCCGTGAAGCGCTCGGCATCCATCGACTCACCTCAACAAGCAGACAAACGATCCCGACACTCTTCAGGCGCAGTGAGTCAAGAATCTGTTAGTATTGCCTGTCGCTTTTCTCACTTTTCCTCTTCATTATTATTGATAGTCTGAAAATATTTTTGATAATAATTTCTTGTGTCGATATTTATAATTTATTCAGTATTTGCTTGGTTCAACACTCCAGGAGGAAACTCTTGTGTTTCAGTTCTGTTACAGCTGTTGTCCCTGGAAATAAAACATTTTGTTTACATGTCATAGGTGTATCTATGTTGTTCCAAGTTTTATGGCTAGTCTACTTTCTGATTATCTTACTTGAATATCTGGATGTTTGTTTAAACTAATGATGTTTTCTTGTGTAATTATTCTTGGTATAACGAATCACAAATAATTCAGAGCTTTTGGACCAATTAATTTTGTTGTAATCTGACTGGAAAATATAGATGATGAACAGATATATGCTATTTGTATTGTTAAGCTATTCCTCTTGATGAGGCAGTAGAACAAAATACAAATAGTTTCGACTCTTAGATTCGCTCAGATGATGTAATTATGTTACGGCAATAATATGCCTGTGTCAGATCTAGATTTGGGCAGATCTCGATCAGTGTCTAAAAATTGACACGTTTTATCAAAATTATCTGTAGATTGTAGTATTTAGTTTCAAACCTTGAAAACACGAAGAAAACATGTTCCAGCTGGATTGCCTAGTTGTTCATTTGTTGCGTAGTGTTTGATTTCATAGTCTATTTCTTACTGGAAAAAATTCACTTGTTTAATGAATGAGCTTAAACATGTGTAGGTCCAATGGCCATTTGTGGATTGCAAATTCTCCCGTTTATGAAATACAGTACCACAAACCTTTCAAACACATGACAATACCCTATGACGTAATTTGTAGTATTTTGTTGCCTGTCACACCGGTGAAACAATGCCCTGTGACGTCAGGGGTCATCGAGTGTGCATAAGCTCCTCCCATGTCTATGTCATGTAAATGTAGTTATAGATAATGTGATGCTTGGTCAAGGTGACTTGTGTTCCACTTACAACGGACCCAAATAGAAGAAGACCTTATGTTACATTATTGTATTGAATGCAATGTTACAATGCAGTCTTTAAGAAACTCTGAAAATGAGAACTTTAAAAAGTACTGAAATAGTGTTCAAAATTGAAAGAACCCCACTGACTTACAATTAGGTAATAAAGAAACTCTGTGAGGCTGTGTGAGGTAGTGCTAACTTTGTCCTATTCCAGAGTACACGCAGCAACAGTGACGTGACGAAGCCCGTGGAGAAGCAGTACTGTGATGCTGTCGTCAACTTCCTCCTCAGGATAGCCTGCCAGGTCTGTGTGGCTGATATTTAGAGGATACCCAACCAACTACCCTGTGCTTGTCTCATGACTCTTCTTTCTCAAACCATGCTTGCTGTAAAAGGCGACTATGCTTGTCGTAAGAGGCGACTAACGGCATCAGGTGGTCAGGCTCGCTGACTTGTTTGATGCATGTCATTGTATCCCAATTACTTGGTTCGATGCTCATGATGTCAATCACTGGATTGTGTGGTCAAGACTTGATTATTTACAGACGGCCGTCATATGTCTGAAATATTGCTGAGTGCGGCGTTAAACAACAAACATACAACATGATATATAAAGTTCACTGTAGTTTGCGACAAGGAGGGTGCAAATTTTAGAACGTAGCGCCAATAAGCATTCTGGCCAACGTCCTAGATATTTTAGGTTAACTGACTCAACTAGGTTTCATTGGAACTGTGTTGTGTGATTATAGTATCTTTCAACCATGTCAAATTATGCGGGGTGGTCGGGTAGCCTAGTGGTTAAAGCATTCGCTCTTCGCGCCGAAGACCCGGGTTCGATTCCCGACATGGGTACAATGTGTGAAGCCCATTTCTGGTGTCCCCCGCCGTGATATTGCTGGAATATTGCTAAAAGCGGCATAAAACCATACTCACTCACTCACTCACTCACTCACTCACTCACTCACTCACTCACTCACTCACTCACTCACTCACTCACTCACTCACTCACTCACTCACTCAAATGATGCATGATCAGATGAGTGTCCTTCATGTTCACATTTTGATGATAACTTTCTTCAAATATCTTTTTGCCGCCAGGTGAACGAGGCATCTGCTTCCATTGGTTCCCCCGGGGAGCTTCTGTCAAGGAAGTGTGTGACCCTGCTCAAGGTCGTGCTGCGCGCAGACGTGTGGCTGAACACGGAGCTCAAGTTGGCCTGGTTCGATAAGCTCCTCACAACGGTGGAGAACCACCAACCCAACTTCGCCAACATCTGCACGGCTCTGGAGCTGCTCACCTTCCTTCTAAACATCCTGGTGAGTTCGGTGTATACTCGCCAGGGAGTTGAGAATGCAGATTGAATGCTCGTTGATCTGTTATCATTGATCTTTTATATGTTAAGCACTTTAAGCTTGTATCTTTGTCTGGTGTGATATGGGGAATAGGCGTGCTGTTATTACAGAAGAGTCTGAAATCCTAGTAGCCTTCAGGATGGCTACAAGGTTAGACAGACTGACTTAACGTCAGACAGACTGACTTTAAGTTGGATTAACAAGTATGTCGGATAAAAGAAATTAAGTAGTATCAATGTTCGTGATCGAAAATTACACGATAGATAATGATACAAACACGTAATAAGAAAATGAAAAGTGAAATATTCATATTGTTATGTTACATTGTTAGTGGAATATGTTAACTAAACATGCAACACAAAACAACTGTTACGGACTGTATGACTTATTCAAAATACTGGAAAAGTTTGGAATGGAAGTCGCCAGTTTGAAACTGGTACAGCGAAGCTTAAGAAAGCTGCTTACTTAGTGGCTAACGTTGACTTTCTGTGAGTCATTTCATTGGTCTGTCATAGTTTGCGAAATGTTGTTTTGACGTGACCTGTAATGGGATGTCCTCGGCGATAGCGAGAAACTTGTATCTGATTTTAATGAGGTAATCTTAGCATGTGATTAATCCTGTTTTCTTTATTCAAAGCAGTAAATGTTTATTGTTCAGCAAGCTATCTCTGCAGCTGTTGTAAAATGCAGCTACCAGCTGACTCATCTCGGATCAAAACATGGGGCTGTGTACTCGTGGGCAGATGACCACAGATTACGCTAATAAACGTGTTGGATTGAGACTGATTAATGAGTGATTTCGGTAATTCGTTGCAAATTAGGTGTGTCGGAGTCGGAGTGCGAGACTGTTGGATTAATGGGTCTAAATAGCACAGATTTAATCGGTTCTCATCATTAGTGTCGGATAAAGCCAATTGTCGGATTAACGAGTGTCGGATTAACGAGACTTGACTCTATGTGGATTTTTGCTTACTGCAACAGTGAACAACATTTACATGTTCAAATTTCAGAAAAAGGACACAATCCTGACAAGCTTCAAGCCTCTCCAGCGGGGAATCGCTGCGTGTATGACCTGCCCCAACACTAAAGTGATCCGGGCCGTGCACAGCCTGCTGTCTCGACTCATGAGTCACTTCCCCACCGAGCCGGTCACGTCCAACGTGGCCTCCAAGTATGAGGAACTGGAGTGCCTCTATGCCTGCGTCAGCAAGGTTGTGTACGAGGGACTCACCAACTATGAGAAGTAAGAACATGGTTGTTGGTGCATGCCCAACGTTACGGTGTCATGGGGACAGACCATTGGATAATCGAAGGGGCCCTCTGATTTTTGTAAAATATGTTTTGAAAGATGGGTTCTGGCGGAAGATATTAAACATGTTCGCTTGATTCACTGGATGTACTGAAAAAGGTTTTTGGGGGGGGAAATCAGAAACGCCAAAAATATTGTTTCTTCACACTACTCACCATTCCAAGACTAAGCAAATTGTACTGAGAAAAATTAAAAATCCAATGATGGTAGTCCTCATCAACTAGTAGCAATTGAGATGGAAATGACAAAAAATATGAACATAGTAATGGGTTGCTGAAGACTGATTCTAACCCAGATCTTCACGGTTGAAGTGTGTCTTGAAATGGCAGTGGCTTCTGATCTATTATAATGTATTGTTCAGAGGGAACATTGTTTAATGTTGCTGTCAACAGCTGTTGCTAAGTATGCAGACTTAGAAATTCTTTCTCTAGTCAGCACAGTTTATAGCTAGTCTTGCTTGAACATGACAATAATGATGTTTTCATAAGAGGCGACGAATAGGATCGGGTGGTCAAGCTCACTGAGTTGGTTGATACATGTCATATCCCAATTGTGTAGATCAATGCACATAATGTCAATCACTGGATTGTCTGGTGCTGTCATTTAGCTGGAATATTGCTGAGTACGGCGTTAAACAACAAAAAACAAAACAAACAAACAATCAAGAAACACTTCCTACTGATATCAAAAATTAAATTTGTTAAAAATGTTAGTAAATTTGGGGAGCCATGCTTTACCGCTCACTATAACCGAGTTAGCGCTTTATTGAAGCATGCAATAACGAGGGAACACTGAACGTAACAACTTGTAATGTGTGTGAAAAGTCGTACTAAAATACGCTATTTGAAGGGGGCGTGGCCTAAATGCAAATGTCCGATTGGGATTTTAAATTTTTCCGGACCCCTGGTGTAATGAACAATGTGATGCATGATTTCCAGAGCCACCAATGGTTCCCCATCCCAGCTGTTCAGCACGCTGATGATACTGAAAGCAGCCTGCATGCACAACCAGTGCTACATCGACCGCCTCATCACCACGTTCATGAAGGTGCTGCACAAGATGGCGCGGGAACACCTGACCCCGACAACCCCCGAGGCCAGCCCCGGGGTGGCCAGCGAGCTGCTGATCGTCAGCCTCGACCTGGTGAAGAACCGAGTGGGGGTCATGAGTCTGGAGATGAGGAAGAGCTTCATTGGGCAGATCCTGGTGGGGCTGATTGAGAAGACGCCCGACAACAAGGTGATGAAAGCTATCACCAAGATGGTGGAAGACTGGGTCAAAATCAAGGTAGGTGAAGATAAGGCTGGGGCTGGGAGTGAGTGAGGGAATGAGTTACAAGTTGCTTGAATAAATCATTTGAGCAGGGTTTTACACGACGCACAAATGTAGAGAAAGAGCGCAGAGAAAAAAATACTGCTTCCAGAGGGATGCACAATATTTAGTATTCATTGTACCTACAGCATATAAAGAACAATTATGGGTGTCTGTTATTTCATCCATCAATCATGACCACTGTCCAAATGATCATTAATTCATTAATTCATTCCAGGCTCTAAAGAAATCATCTAAATGACAAACACACGATCTCATTACTTTACAGGACCCTCATATTGCCTGCAAGGACCCTTACATTTAATTATATCAGGCTCGCTGTCTTGGTTGATGCATGTCATCGATCCCAATTGTGCGGATCGATGCTCATGATATCAAACACTGGATTGTCTGGTCCAGACTCGATTATTTACAGACCGCCGTCATATAGCTGGAATATTGCTGAGTGCGGCGTAAAACAACAAACCAACCAACCAACAACAACATGGACCCAGACATTTGTAATTCAAGGGGAAAACCCTGATGAGGGATGCCCTTGCTTGATGTTTGTGTCAACTTTAATAAAGGACACTTTGATGATATTTTATTCTTGATTCATTTGCAGACCCCAATTGCTATCAACCAGTCACCCATTATCCGAGAGAAAGCCATCTTGTTGATGAAGCTCATGCAGAACGTGGAGAAGCGTTTCCCTGACGACCAGGAGCTGAATGCCCAGTTCCTTGACCTTGTCAACTACATCTACAGGGACGACAGCTTACAGGGGAGCGAACTCACGTCAAAACTGGAACCGGCTTTCCTGGCGGGACTCCGGTGCAACCAGGCTCCGATCAGACAGAAGTTTGTGGAGGTGAGAATGTCTGGGATGTGTTTTCTTTTTAACTTGAAGCATGGGCTGTGTTGTTCATGAGTGAGTGAGTGAGACAGTGGTGTTTAACGCCGCTTTTAACATTATTCCAGTTATATGACGGCGTGTCAGCTTAATGTGGGAGGAAAGGCCGAAGTTATGCAGGTCCTAGACGTTTACCACTTCAGTGAAACCCACGAGCAGGGTTATGGTGCTGACAAACCTAGAAACATAATTGGGGCGAACCGGGATTCGAACCCACAATCATAGGTTTCTGGCGTGCCCAAGGGAAGCAACACTGCACAGCGAATCACGGCGCCTTAGACGACTGGGCCACCCATGCCCCCTGAAAAAGCAAGAACCAACACACTGTACCTACTTCCGAACAGAACAACAAACTAAACTGTCGTCATTTGTCCTTCATGCTGAAGGTTCATGTCAGGAACAGGGCTTCCTTCAAACATTTAGATAAAACAAGAAACCACTAGACGGCACCTTAGACGACTGGGCCACCCGTGCCCCCTTGTTGTTCATGAAGTATTGTGCAGAATTTTACTCATGAGGGTATAAGCTCAATTTACTTTCCGATATTTGCTCGTTGAGCGATTTTCAGAGCTGAGTGGTGAGCTGAAGCGACATGACATGACATTACTTCATTCTTGAGTAAAACCTGATAACAATACATCATCCGAACAGTAAACTGACTTCAGACAAGTTTTTTTTCAGACACATGATAAAACGGACTCTTTCATTTTGGGACAAAATAACAACACTTTCTGGATTGATTGTTTCAAGTCATGTTGCATGACATGGTGGCAACTTGCTGTTTCCAGGTGTTTGAGAACAGCATCCAGCGCCGTGTGTTTGACCGTCTGCTCTACATCACCTGCTCCCAGAACTGGGAGGCCATGGGGGCTCACTTCTGGATCAAGCAGTGCACAGAGGTCAGTCGGTCAGCTCTGTTGTCAGGCCAGGTCTTCTAAACTTGTGTTGATAACGGTCTTAGAACCTACACCGAAACGTCGCTCTTAAATGTAATAAAGAAGTTGTTCATCCATAAATCTTATCCTTACTTCCTACAATCAAGTTAGCTTATAGATCTTGTGCAGTTATTTTGTCATCAGGTCTTTTTGTTCTACAGTTGTTGTCAGGCCAGGTCTTCCAAAGTTGTGTTGGTTGTCAAGTGCCCAATAGTCGAGATAGGTCTTCTGCAGTTATTTTCTTAAAACAGTTGTGCTAAATGATGAAAATAAAGTTATTTAGCAGATGTCAAGGGATGATTTCTGTCCAAGACATGCACATGTGTCTAACACCTGAAATTCAAGTTTTTCCAGCACAGGTTGAATTTGGAAGGATACCAGTAATAACTTTTATAATAATAAAATTCAAAGATACCATAAACATCACACTATTGGACAAGAAATGTATCCCCGAGTTACTTGAGAAAGTGCTTCATGTTGTCCAGTTGTTGAAGTCCCATCTGTTTCCAGCTGCTGCTGTCTGTGGCGGTCAACGGCATGACCATCAACAGCTCCTCACCCATGAACCTCCTGCCGTCTGCCTGCTCCGTCGTCAACCTCGCTGACAGCCACGACCGTGCCACCTTCGCCATCGTCAGCAAGATGAAGGAGGAGCCCATGGATGTAGAGTCCATAGACTCCAACAAAGAGGAGGTAAGGTTCCATAAAGGGATGCACTTTCTCAGTGAATATCTACATGTCTCTTCCCCATATTATTTTTTGAGGAAAACGAATCTAAAGTTTTGAACACCAGTAGGTCGATTGTAGTGCATGGACTGCGATGTGGTTGGGGGAACACAGCGAAGAGTGAACTGATTACACACAGAAACATGGCCACTGCACATGACCATGAATGTTACACATCCAGAATTGCCCCTTGCCACACAGATGTTGACTTAAAGCATATTAAAAAAAACCAAAAGTGTTTTGTGTTAGTGATGTACAAATAAAAGATAGGTCTAATATGTGATCTTTTGTGGAGGTATCAACAAAGGCTGTCATATGATTTGAAGTGAATGCTATGAGAACGCTTGAAGTCAAGGAGAGGAGAGGACCTGCTATGATGAACCCAACATGCCATAGCCTGTTTTCCTTTCACAATTTATCATTCCAATGTTTACATCTTCAACTGATGTTGTTTGTGTGTCTAGGAGGAGATTGACATGGAACTGTCTGGGGTGTCGTCGGATGAGGCATTGTCCAAAGATGCCCCGAAGCGAGACCCCCAGGACCCCAAACACAGCCTCCAGACTCTACTGCAGAGAGAGGCCAAGTTCCTGGAGTCTTGTCGGGAAGTGAAGGTAGGGCCCGTCTTGTTGTATCCGGCAGTCTCATTTGAGACATTTCCGGAAGTAAAGTTAGAGGCAGTATCATTGAACAGGGCATTTGAGACATATTGGGAGGTGAAAGTAGGGCTGTCTCATTGAACTAGGAAGTCTCATTTGAGACATGTTGGGAGGTGAAAGTAGGGCTGTCTCATTGAACTGGGTAGTCTTATTTGAGACATTTTGGGAGGTGAAAGTAGGGCTGTCTCATTGAACTAGGAAGTCTCATTTGAGACATGTTGGGAGGTGAAAGTAGGGCTGTCTCATTGAACTAGGAAGTCTCATTTGAGACATGTTGGGAGGTGAAAGTAGGGCTGTCTCATTGAACTGGGTAGTCTCATTTGAGACATGTTGGGAGGTGAAAGTAGGGCTGTCTCATTGAACTGGGTAGTCTCATTTGAGACATGTTGGGAGGTGAAGGTAGAGCCTGTCTCATTGAACCGAGAAGTCTCATTTGAGACATGTTGGGAGGTGAAGGTAGGCCCGTCTCATTGAACCGAGAAGTCTCATTTGAGACATGTTGGGAGGTGAAGGTAGAGCCCGTCTCATTGAACCGAGAAGTCTCATTTGAGACATGTTGGGAGGTGAAGGTAGAGCCCGTCTCATTGAACCGAGAAGTCTCATTTGAGACATGTTGGGAGGTGAAGGTAGGCCCGTCTCATTGAACCGAGAAGTCTCATTTGAGACATGTTGGGAGGTGAAGGTAGAGCCCGTCTCACTGAACCGAGAAGTCTCATCTGAGACATGTTGGGAGGTGAAGGTAGGCCCGTCTCATTGAACCGAGAAGTCTCATTTGAGACATGTTGGGAGGTGAAGGTAGGGCTGTCTCGTTGAACCGAGAAGTCTCATTTGAGACATATTGGGAAGTGAAGGTAGGCCCGTCTCATTGAACTGAGAAGTATCATTTGAGACATGTTGGGAGGTGAAGGTAGAGCCCGTCTCATTGAACCGAGAAGTCTCATTTGAGACATGTTGGGAGGTGAAGGTAGGGCTGTCTCGTTGAACCGAGAAGTCTCATTTGAGACATGTTGGGAGGTGAAGGTAGGCCTGTCTCATTGAACCGAGAAGTCTCATTTGAGACATGTTGGGAGGTGAAGGTAGGCCCGTCTCATTGAACCGAGAAGTCTCATTTGAGACATATTGGGAAGTGAAGGTAGGCCCATCTCATTGAACCGAGAAGTCTCATTTGAGACATGTTGGGAGGTGAAGGTAGGGCCTGTCTCGTTGAACCTGTGAGTCCGGGCAGAATAGGTTGACAATGCCTTCTGTAAGAGACAATTCATGTTAGATAGAAAATTCTTTTAACCCCTGATCTACTCTGGCACTACGACTATCACAGTGTATGACGTATGACTAAGTATGAGTTGTGGCAGTCAAAGCACTGTTAGTCACTTTGTGGACTGAGTTCCTGGTTGATGAGGTGTGCTGTTCAAGTTATGATGTAATAATGTGTCTTGCTGCTGCTGTTGTTGCAGACGGTGCAGTACCTGCAGTCCCTGTCCCAGCTGTCTCATAGCAACACGGAGCTGGCACACATGAGCTGGCTCGACCTCTTCCCCCGCATCTGGAAGATTCTCTCCGAGAAACAGCAGCAGGTAGGAAGTTTGTCATGGTGTAATGTCCTCTGGATTTGAGAAATAGCTGCAGGTAGGAGGTTTGTCACAGTGTAATGTCCTCTGGATTTGAGGGATTGATATTGCTCAAATGATTCACTGAGTCCTCTGGCCCAAATTGTTTCTTGGCATCATTTTCAGAAGATTTAGGATTAATGAACAGACTAATATGGGAGATAACTTCACAATACTGAGAGTTTACTGGTTTTAATGCCATTGTGTTGTGTGTTTCAAGGTTATGCTCAGTGCAGAACTGAGAGCGCTAAAGGCTCTTCAGGAAGAGTTTCACCCCCATGTATGGCCATGATACACAAAACTTTGTTGATTGATAACTGTTGTTTGATATGTTTCAGTTGCTTGGAGCTGAACTCGTACCATTCTTGTGTAGTGGTAGTCATGTGATACAGAAGGACTGTCAGCCCAGTGCTGTGCACTGCTTCCTGGAGGGCCTCGCCTTGTGTGTGCCCCCTATACCCATCCGACCCTGCGTCCTTAAGGTCTGTATATAGCTTACATATTCGTACCCATCAGACCCTGTGTCCTTAAGGTGTGTATATAGCTTACACACATGTACCCATCTGACCCTGCATCCTTAAGGTGTGTATATAGCTTACACACTGGTACCCATCCAACCCTGCGTCCTTAAAGTGTATATAGCTTACAAACTTGTACCTATTCAACCCTGCGTCCTTAAGGTGTGTATATAGCTTACACACTGGTACCCATCCGACCCTGCATCCTTAAGGTGTGTGTATATAGCTTACACACTGGTACCCATCCGACCCTGCATCCTTAAAGTGTGTATATAGCTTACACACTTGTACCTATTCAACCCTGCGTCCTTAAGGTGTGTATATAGCTTACACACTGGAACCCATCCGATCCTGCATCCTTAAAGTGTGTATATAGCTAACACTCTTGTACCTATTCAACCCTGCGTCCTTAAGGTGTGTATATAGCTTACACACTGGTACCCATCCAACCTTGCGTCCTTAAGGTGTGCATATAGCTTACACACTTGTACCCATCCAACCTTACATCCTTAAGGTGTGTATATAGCTTACACACTGGTACCCATCCAACCCTGCATCCTTAAGGTGTGTATATAGCTTACATACTGGTACCCATCCAACCTTGCATCCTTAAGGTGTGTATATAGCTTACACACTTGTACCCATCCAACCTTGCATCCTTAATGTGTGTATATAGCTTACACACTTGTACCTATTCAACCCTGCATCCTTAAGGTGTGTATATAGCTTACACACTGGTGCCCATCCGACCCTGCGTCCTTAAGGTGTGTAGTTACATCTTTCACAATGGTACTAGTCTTGGACAAACACTTCTTTATTGACTAGCCCAAAACTGTCTGTCGGCATCATTGTCAGATGACTGGCTCTTGGTAATATAGGGACTATTGTTTGATAGAAACTGGGTTGCTTTCAATCTATTTGGACACAAGTGACCGCTTGGTGATGTTTCAGTATCTGGGTCGGACACACAACCTGTGGCACCGAGTGTGTCTGCTGCTGGAGCAGACGGCCTTCGACAACAACCCGTCTGTCCCCATCAAAAGTCGGTCCGGCAGTGAATACGAGTTTGAGCCATCAACGTCACCTCAACAGGTTGGTAACAGGGATTATAAGAACATGCAGCTGTATTTATAGAGTCTGTACTGCAATTATGCAATCATGCAGTATGTATGATGTATGTATAAATGTTGTTCTAGTTGTGATAACCAGGGAGTAGACAGGTGAAAAAGTCCTCTGACGGAATCCACCTACTCAGACAAAATATGGCCTCAAATCTCAGAAGTGGAAACTTTCCTAGTGCCACCAAATTAAATGGAAGAATTGGACTGTCCAGGGGCCTTATATGTGTACCCTTCATTTGTTCCATTAAATACACTCTAATAGATGTTCTCAGACCTTGGAATCTTAGATAATCTACAGATGTATTGTATTTTGATTGGAATTCTGCAAGATTACACAATGTCCATTTAGGCCGTCCGGAGTCTTGCTTGACAACGGTATAATGATCTATTCCAAAACGTCCCCTTTACTGTAAATAATGAAGTGGTTATCCATAAATTGGGTCTACTGTGTCATGGTGGAGGCTGGGTTGCAGGAGACGCTGGATGCCCTGTGCGACCTTTACCCCCTGTTGAAGGAGGAGGACATGTGGGCGGGGCTGTGGCAGAAGCGGGCCAAGTACACGGAGACCAGCACCGCCATCGCCTACGAGCAGCATGGATTCTTCGAACAGGCCCAGAATGCCTATGAAGTGGTAGGGCATCTATAATATCTCACTTTCAAGCGTCTTACATTTCAAAAGATTTAAGACACTTGAAAGCCAGATATCATTAGTATTACTTTGCAGTTAGACATTCTGAAATTCTCAAATGTTTGGAAATATTTTCCTTACAAAATTGTAATCTGTTTCAAAATTGCAAATTTTGTATCTTTTAAAGTCAATATATATGAATGAAAATATATCAAATGTTGATTTATTTATTTTTAATAATGCTTTTTAGTGTATTATCATAAGCGTATCATAGGAAAGGGAATTACCGTGGAATTCCTCTTTTTATTTAATCATACGAAAATATATCATACTCAGGTCGGATGTCAGAAATATCCTTACGTCGTCAAATTAGCCTTCTATCATGCTGAAATGTTCCTTCATTTTGCTGTCTATTCAACTTCCACTGTTTGCAAGAGACTGGCAATCGTAGCGCTAAGATTAGACTAGCAGTAAGTCACATTCTTTAGCATAGGCTTACAACAGTTGTAGCACTACGACCGCTTTGTGGAACGAGCCCCAGATCGTTCACTGTATAATTGTACTCATTCTTCTATCAACAGGCGTTGACGAAGGCTCGTCAGGATCACAACTCAGGTCCTGCCTCACCCACTGCTCTGCCTGAGTATCGCCTATGGGAAGACCATTGGATCAGGTGAGTACCTCCACCCCACAGGCTGCCTAGGGATTCCCAGTTAGAATAGGCCCCCAGCATCCTATACTGGATTCATGACCCAATCATCCAAGGCATAACAATTCTCTGTGCAGAGTTGCATCCCTTTGATTTTGCATCCCAGATTAAACATGAGAATTTTTTTGGTACTTGTCGATAAAAGTTTCAAAACTCCTTGGCAAGCCTCGGAGATTAGACTTTTTTAACTCGTGTTGGTATCACCGTGTTATGGGTTTTCAGATGCTTTAGAAACATACATAGTTTTCTCAATAGTCACAAGAACTACTGTAAAACATCTCACTCACAAAAGACAACTTCATCTTAAATCAAGCCATCACCTGAGTATTTACAATGTCTGGATGACCCACAACCCTCGTTATAGTGGGAGTACTCACGATAAACTTGTCCGTCTTCAAAAACGTATGATGTCCGAAAACATATGATCCGATGATATATTTGATGTCAACAGACACTTGGATGAGATTGTGTTTATACTTCCAGATGTTCGAAGGAGCTCAATCAGTGGGACCTGCTGCTGGAGTACGCCAACTCGAAGGGCAACACCAACCCCTACCTGGTCCTGGAGAGTGCGTGGAGGGTGCCCAACTGGGCTCTCATGAAGGACTCGCTGGCTCAGGTAACACAACAGTTCATACCGTTGTCAGCTGCCAATGATACACCGATCAAAATTAAACATAAATGTCGAGGGGTCCTTGTCGAAGCCGCAGTTCATGTCTATCATGCTTCCCACAGGCTTAGACTGTTTGGTCTACATCGATAATGCCTTGACTGCTGGGTCTACATTGATAATGCCTTGACTGTTGCGCCTACATTGATAATGCCTTGACTGTTGGGTCTACATTGATAATGCTTTTACTGTTGGGTCTACATTGATAATGCCTTGACTGTTGCGCCTACATTGATAATGCCTTGACTGTTGGGTCTACATTGATAATGCTTTTACTGTTGGGTCTACATTGATAATGCCTTGACTGCTGGGTCGACATTGATAATGCCTTGACTGTTTGATCTACATTGATAAGGCCTTGGCTGTTGTGGCTACATTGATAATGCCTAAAAGATTTAGGTCTACATTGATAATGCTTTGAAATTTTAGGTCTACATTGAACTTGCCTTGAATTTTGGTGTTTATCTTCAAAAGGCCTAGAATTTAAATACTGTCTTGATAAGGCCTTGAATTTTCCTAACCAATTTCAAGTAAATTACCTAACAATAAATATATAAGTTCACTGTTTAAAAATAGCTGTTGAAATCTGCTAAACTTTTCATAAGCATTGAACTTTGTGATGTTGTTTGATATGAACCGGGAATCAGCCTTGATGGATGAGAGTGTGAAGTTAGCAGTCCATGTAAAGGACTTGTTGCCTGAGATCTCATAAACAAATCAGCTTCAGTTGTTTGCGGAGAATCTTAAAATTTAGCAGACCTTCAGTCAATTTGGAAACATTATTCATAACAAGTGCTAAATGTAGCTTTAGAAAAGTGTAAACATTGCCAGTGTGACTATTCCGACTGACGGCAGTGTATTGTTTACTTCCTTGCTCTGATTTCAATCATGCTTTATACCATGCTATCAGATTGATTGATTGATTGGTGTACCATTTGAGCAACATATTATGATGTATAGTCACGACAGGCCACAGTTGCGGCTAAAATCTATAGTGTTCGTTGAATTATGGATCAGCAATGGAAGAATTCATTATTCGCAGTGTGAAAAGCCATGGAGATACAAAAACTTGCTCATAAACATCACCGCCAAAGTTTTGTACAGCAAACAATTTGTGATATCACATAACAAATAACAAACGCCAATTTGGGTCAATAATGTGGACGAGCGACCAGGCACAAGTTGACAGTTTTCATATTACAACACCCCTGTATATGTCAAGAGTCTTGAATAAGTTTGACTTTTGAGGCTTAAGTTCAATGATTTGTCTGTTGTAGGTGGAGATGAGTTGCCCGAAGGAGTTGGCGTGGAGGGTGAACCTTTACCGAGGGTACATCGCCATCTGTCACCCCGACGACCACCACCTTAACATGGTCATGGTAGGTAGTTGTACAGATAATAGCAGCTTACAGAGCTAGCATTTGGAAAAAGACGGTGCACATTATACCAAACTGTATCACAGCTTATATTCTCTTTCTGATTAAATCCTCCTTGGGGCACTTATTGCATTTTCCTTGCTCAAGAAAATCTACATGACATAGTTGTAACCATTTTCCTTAATAAAAAATGTTACCACACAAAAAACTTCGTTTTTGTATGATATACGACCACCCTTACGGGGCCTCACCCCCAACGGCGCCTCACGCCAGGGGGAGCAACTCTCACCCAAATCACTTTCCTTATGTCATCTGTAAGAGACAGACGTGTTGATTTTTCACACAAGACAAAAATAAGAGAAATCTATCGTTCGACAAGAACCATGGCTGACCAAACTGTATGTATGGTACATTTCTTTCATTGCAAAGGCGTAATACCTCGCATTGTGAAGTTATAGAGTTGTAATAATACGCCACGTGCACGGTACCTTTGAATTCAAATGGCCGTAATGGCGTCCATATTGTAGTTCCATGTAATAAAGTTCCATGTAACACCAAGGCCATTAAGAAACGGCTTGGGGTTTTGTTATATCATACAGCATTGGTCTACAATTTTTTCCTTTACAAAACCCAAGGTGGTGTGTTAATTCATAAACTACACTTACCTTTTTTTTACGGGTTTTACACCTTAGCGCGTAACACGCCCCTTTGGTGTTATAATTATACTACACATTGGCTATTAGTATCGCGTTACAAATCGCATTCTACATTACGCCTTTGCTTCTAGTTTCACAATTTATGCACGTATCTTTCCGATCTTTATATCGCACTGATACACGTTGATACCCTTCCCGCCCACCTCAGAAATTACGGTCTTGTTTACAAGACCTTCAAACTGTGTACGGGTTGTTCTAAGACAGGCACGAACGCTGCCTAATATGTCTGGCGGAGGACATTGCCTTTACCCCCCGGGGCCCCCAAAAAGAGACAAGTTGACTTGTTCCACTTTAAAGAGGTCTATTAAAGGCGGGGGTAGATATCATATCTACTAAGACATCCCCCCCCTCCCCATCTAAAAAGGGTAAAAAAAGCTGCCGAGATTGTCTCCCCCGCTCTCTCTCCGGGGGCCGGGGGAGAAGGCTCGAGGGTCCCCGTAGTAAGCACTGCACCCTCTCCTGCACTGTCTTTGGCAGACTTTTCTGCGTTACTTAAGTCGCAGATGGCGTCGATGATGGAGGAGGTAAAGTCTCAGCTCCGAGAGGAGATGCGGACCGAGCCTTCCCCGTTGTCGGCGCCGGACGCGGCTTCGAGACCTTGTGATATGCCCGGCGTCGGCCGAGGCAGGCCACTTGGTCTCGGGGACGATCTCAGACCGGGCTTCGGCGCCGGCTCGAGGTCGCTCCCCAGCGGAGGGGTGGCGGGCGCCGGCCCGTGCACTACCGACGCACAATTTTTCCCTAGCGGAGCCAGACGCCTCTTCCGATTCGTAACCCGGAGCCAGGGGGGTTCGCTTGGTCTCGGGGACGATCCGAGACCGAGCTTCGGCTCCGGCTCGAGGTCGCTCCCCAGCGTAGTGGTGGCGGGCACCGGCCCGTGCACTACCGACGCACAATTTTCCCTAGCGGAGCCAGACGCCTCTTCCGAGGCCGAGGCTTCCACTAGTGGATACCTAGCCCGGAGCCAGGTTGGTTCCCTTTGTCTCGGGGACGATCCGAGACCGAGCTTCGGCTCCGGCTCGAGGTCGCTCCCCAGCGTAGTGGTGGCGGGCACCGGCCCGTGCACTACCGACGCACAATTTTCCCTAGCGGAGCCAGACGCCTCTTCCGAGGCCAAGGCTTTCACTAGTGGATACCTAGCCCAGTGCCAGGTGGGTTCCCTTGAACCTCCGGCACCTCGGCACCGGGACTCGGCCTCGGGCCGGGTGCAGAGACACGTGCGGGACAGGATTGTCCAGGTACTGCCTCAGGTGGCTGCGCCCATGCCAGAGTCGGAGACACCCAACTTGACTAAGGTCAAGCAGGGCCGGCGGTTGCCCCCCCTTTCCCGTGTGCGGTGCGGAGTTGAAGGCTGCTTACATATGCTTCGAGGAGCAATATCATAATGCATGCCAACAGCTCCGTGTGTCCGTACACTCCGCGTATCTGTCGGCTGTACAGAGGGAGTTAGCGGGAGAGGGGCCGGCCGACTCTTCGGAGTTGGCCGCGCAACTAACGGAAGTTCAGTTATCTTGCGCGGGACGCTATTCGTAGCTGTGCCTCGCAGATGATGTACGCTGTTATGGGCATGCGCAGGCGGTGGATGTCGGTATCTAAATACTCGACTTACACACGCCAAGACCTACTTGCTTTGCCGTATAAGAGGGTGCCACCCTCTTCCCTGGGGCTCAGCAGGTGGTCCGAGAGGCTGCTCAATTGTATACTTCCATCAAAGACTCATAAGGCCTTGTTGGAGGTACCAAGCGTTAAAACCGCGTAAGCGGGCCTCTCCAATTGTCCCCTCCTACGCTAACGCACGGGTCAGACGTCCACACCTGCTTGGAAGCCGCTTCCTTCAGGTATAAGGGCGCCGGGAGGAGCAAGAGAGGCACGGGCCGGGGCAAGGCAGCTGGTCGAGGCCAACAGCTTTTTCGCGGGGCTGGGAACGATGGGTTCCCATTAGCACCCGAAGAGCCCCGGGTGAACCCACAGTCGCAAGTTATCGAACTGCAGACAGCCGGGGTCCACTGCCTCCAGCCGGATGTCCCCGTAGGCGGCCGACTGGCTCTATTCCTGAAGGAATGGGAGACAGTTACATCACAATCCCCGGACCCCGTCCATTTTAAGGGATGGCCATTTGCCTCGGTGGAAAACTCATCCGCTCCTCCACTTTTCCGGGATAAAGCACACTCCGGTGCCTGTTACCCGAGAGAAGGCGGAATTCCTCCGTGCCGAGGTCGACGCACTTCTTATGAAAGCTGCGATCGAACCGGGTCCCGAGGGACAGGAAAGCGAGGGCTTCTACTCGACTTGTTTCCTAGTCACCAAACAGTGATCTCAACTGTCGAGACAGGAGATTGGCTAACGTCAATAGACTTAAAATACGCCTATCTCCACATACCAATACACCCCGAGTTCAAGAAATACCTGAGGTTTTCTTTCGACGGGAGGTGTTATCAGTTCAGGGTTCTACCATTCGGGATCTCCAAGGCCCTGAGGGTGTTCACCAAGCTGATGTTGATTCCCGCCCAAGTGGCCAGGTCAAAAGGTCGGTTCTGCAAAATCCGTACCTCGACGACTGGTTACTAAGAGCTCTATTGCAATCCCTGAGTCAGATAGCTACACAACAAGTGATAGATATTCTGATCACTCTAGGGTGGATGGTCAATCTCAAGAAGTCAGATCTGAGCCCCACTCAGAATCTAGTCTTCCTAGTGGCTAATTTCAACACGGTGAGAGGACGTGTATCTCTGTCACAAGATATCAAGTCCCTTAAGCGCAAGTCACACTGCTCGTACATGGCTCCAGTTACTGGACAACATGGCGGCGACAGTGGATTTGGTCTGGCGGGCGCGCTTGAGAATGAGTCCCATTCAACAAGCACTCCGTCGACTTTGGGCGAACTCGGAAGATCTCGAGACTGTGCTCGAGACTCCGTAGTGGCTCATTACACACCTCCAGGGACCGAGGTCGGGAATCACTCCCGTTCCGTCTCTCACAGTTCAAACAGACGCGTCACTCTCCGGCTGGGGAGGCGTTCTGAATGATCACACTGCCTCGGGACTATGGTCCCAGCAGGAGATCAAACTGCATATCAATGTGCTAGAACTGAGAGCGGTCAGGTTGGTGTTCCAACGCTTCCCGGATCTGCTTCGTGGCCAAGTGGTTCGTCTAGAGATGGACAACCAAACGGCGATGACTTACATCCGGAAGCAGGGGGGAACGGCGTCTCCGTCGCTTCGACGAAAGACGTGGCAGTTCCTACTATAGTGCGACTCTCACGATATCAGGGTGCTACCTGTTTATCTCCCGGGGGTGGACAACGTCCATGCGGACGCTCTGTCTTGCCGGATCCTCGCTCCTCACGAGTGGAGGCTCGACCCGGGGATATTCGGGATTTTCTCCCTGTTATACAGGTCGTTACAGGTGGATCTGTTTGCGTCTGGGTTAAATAACCAGACACCAAGGTCCTGTCTCAGCTAGGCACTCAGCCTGCGCGACTAATTGTGCTCCTGGCACCTCTTTAGTCGGCGCAGAGTGGGTTTCCAGTAATACTCAGGTTTCTGGCTCAGCCTCCTGTTATATTACCTTTACGACCGGACCTCCTATCCCAGAACGGGGCCCTCCACCCGAATCTCAGGATTCAATGGGTGGCTTGGCCACTGTCAGGAATCGCCTCCAGAAGAGCGGTATTCCTGCACGAGTTGCAGACACAATACTGGCTTCGCGGAGGGATTCGACAAACGTTCAGTACGATAGATAGGCCTGCTATGCGCCCTGGTGTGTCGATAGAGGGATTGCAGATCTTTTTTCTGCAGATCTCGTATCCGTGCTTGAGTTTCTCCAGTCGCGACTAGATGACGGCCTGGCCGCATCAACAGTCCGAGGGTACTCTACAGCTATCGCAGCTTTTCACGTCCCTGTCGACGGGGCACTTCTGGGTGCACACCCATTAGTGCAGCGCTTTTTAGCAGGTGTGGACAGGATCCGACCGCCAGTCCGGCGGATCAGTCCCCCTTGGGACTTGTCAATCATTCTCGATTGGCTGCCGGTACTTCCTTTCGGGATCTGTCGTCTCTCTCTCTTCAGCTGTTGAGCTGGGAGACGGCGTTCCTTGTGGTGGTAACGTCCGGCAGACGGGTAGGCAACATTCGTGTTATGTCAGCCGATCCCAAAATAACTGTCTTCCATGGGGTCGATAAATATCACCGGGACAGTCAGTTTTCGTCTACCGGACTATTACCGTCCTAGGGTCGCACACGATTCCACGTGAACGGCTCCTATTGAGCTACCTGCTCTATCACAGCCTTCCTCGTCGGGGACCACTGCAAGACATGCTCATGTCTTGGATGTCCGCACGACTCTCAAGGCCTATATCAGCAGAAATATGGGTGTCCGTAAGGATAACCAACTATTTTGCTGTTACTGCGGTAGGAAGGTTGGCTCACCTGCGAGTAAACAATCTATCTCGAGGTGGATAGTTTCAACCATTTGTACAGCGTATACGCTTACAGGCAGGGACCCCCCTACCAGGTTGAAGGCTCATTAGGTTAGAGCAGTGGCTGCGTCAAAAGCGTACGCCGCGGCTCTGCCCATTGAGCAGATCTGCTCCGCGGCTATTTGGAGCCAGCCGAGCACGATTCATCAAACCTTACCAACTCGACAAACACTCAAGCGAGCGTACTCGGTTTGGTCAGTCAGTTCTCTGAACTGGGCAAAGTTCTAATCTCTAGCTGATTGAGCATTCGAGATTTTAGACAGTCTTCCGGTTATACTGCTCAGTAATGGTCCGGATTTTATCTTCTGCGGTCGATAAATATCAGTCCTTACTACTCGATAATACTCGTATTTTGCGCACGCACTCCTTCGATCCTCGGGGACCCTCTGGCCTAGCTCAGCGCTGGTTATGGTCTCTCGTGATCTACGCCCTTATATCACTTGTTCAAAAAAGTGGGGGTGGGGGGGGGGGGGGGGGGGGTGTGGGAGGTGTTTCGAGTTCTCAACTTATGACAAGCCACAAAAACAGGCTTTATCATAATATATGGTCGACCACGCCCTGTCTCTAGCCCCCGCCTTTCGACGGTGGTGCCTCACGATAAGGTTGGTTCCATTTATTGAACTCAATATTTTATTCTGTTGAATAATCAAATACGATGTATTTATTTACGCCTGTTGCTGACGGATGCCACTTCCTAGATTATCTTTGGGAGTCTGTCTTGATGCAATAAGTGCCCCAAGGAGGATTTAATCAGAAAGAGAATTTTACAAACCTGTAGAGGTTATGAATTCTCTGATGAAATCCTCCTTGGGGCACGGCCACCCACCTCCCCACATTCCGTCAGCATTTGACATATGGAAAGTGATTTGGGTGAGAGTTGCTCCCCCTGGCGTGAGGCGCCGTTGGGGGTGAGGCCCCGTAAGGGTGGTCGTATATCATACAAAAACGAAGTTTTTTGTGTGGTAACATTTTTTATTAAGGAAAATGGTTACAACTATGTCATGTAGATTTTCTTGAGCAAGGAAAATGCAATAAGTGCCCCAAGGAGGATTTCATCAGAGAATTCATAACCTCTACAGGTTTGTAAAAGTATAAGTGAATGAAAGGAATTGCGTGAGTGAGTGAGTATGGTTTTATGCAGCTTTTAGCAATATTCCAGCAGGGGACACCAGAAATGGGCTTCACACATTGTATTCATGTCGGGAATCAAACCCGGATCTTTGGCGTGACGAGCAAACACTTTGGCTACACCACCGCCTCTGAAAGAAATTGAAAATTAGGTATTAAAGGAATGATATTCGGTGAATTTTTTAAACAACCGTTCAAAAAGAATAAATGTTTGGCTGCAGTTAAATTATATTTCAAAGTAACTTGGAAGATGTTGAACTCCCCTTCATCCTGGCTTGGTTCATAGCGGAGTTGTCCTGTGATTACAGTGAAGTAATCATAACGGAGAAATGCTAGAGGGGAGATGGGGGCACATTTGCCTCCATAATAGCTATGGCCTCAATTAGTGAATAATAGATGTTTAACAGTGTGTGTATTATTTCCAGATTGAGCGGCTGGTTGAGGTTTCGAGTAACCTGGCCATCAAGGAGTGGAGGAGACTCCCCAGCATTGTCTCCAATATCCACATACCACTGCTACAGGTAGGCAACATTTCAGACCCCTGCTACAGGCAGGCAGCATAACATACCACAGGTAGGCAGCATTACATACCACAGGTAAGCAACACCATGTACCACAGGTAGGCAGCATCACATGAACCTGCAGGTAGGCAGCATTACATACCACAGGTAGGCAGCATTACATACCACAGGTAGGCAGAATTACATACCACAGGTAGGCAACACCATGTACCACAGGTAAGCAACAACACATACCACAGCTAGGCAGCATGACATGAAACTGCAGGTAGGCAACATCACATACAATGGTTAGGCAACACTGCGTACCACAGATAGGCAGCCTCACAATCCCTGCTACAGGTAGGCAACATCATGTACCACAGGTAGGTAATATTACATTAAGTAATACGTTACCACTGTTATACCGAGGCTGTTGTCTCCCACAACTGCTGCTATAGCGAAATCTACCACAGAGATCTCAATTACCTCATGCAGCACGTGCGTAGCCACCTAGCTGCCATGTGACACCCTTCACTCTTGTCTCCTTCGTCTGCTTAGCAAGACGTGTTTTCTCCTGCTGAAGCGTTCCTTGAAGATTTGGTGATATTTATTATAGTTTATTCTCTAATAAACTGTGCTTTTATGGGGCGTTGCGGTAGCTACGCTTGGTTATAATTTTCCCGCCAAACGGAAAATTTTTCCCGCCCTTTTTTCTATATACTTGCGGGGTTCGCGTATGCACGTTGTGTTTTACGTTTCCCCTGTTCTTGTATGTTTTGGGGGTTAACATAACTTATTTCTTTAATAAAAGTTATATGTGTATGTTATATGTTCACATTGCTCGTTTATTTTCTTGTGAAAATGTTCGTTTGTGAATCATTGTGGTGCGTGCGTTGTAACCATGTTTTGTTCTTTGTTTATAGCAAACAATCAATGTCTGACATGGATATGTCCCCAGTATCCACCCCCTCTACCCCTGCTCCTCGGAGTTATGGGGTGTGCAGAAAGTTTTTGTCGTCCCGGGATCCCCACGTTCGTTGCCCGCGGTGCAGGGTTCCTTGCGGGGACACCCGGTGCATCCTGTGCGAAGGTCTGGGGCCTGCGGATTTTGAGCGGTACCGGCTGTACGTACAGTCCGTCTCCACCCCTGTGGTGGCCGGTTCGTCCGGTCGGGGTCCCCGTGCGGGTACCACCTCCTCGGCTGCGGCGGATCCCCTTGCGGCCCTCGGGCTGTCTGGGGATTCCGTCGCCGCATTGTTGTCGAAACTTGTGGATTCCATGCTGGCGGCCTTATCGCAAGATAGGCCGCTGGCTGTTCCGTCCCCGGCCTCTTCGGTGGCCGCGGGGTCGGACGCGGGGTCCACCGGTAAAGCGGCGGATCTCTTGGCGGCCCGTGTGCTGTCCGGGGATTCCGTCGCTGCATTACTTGCATAACTTGTGGACTCCAAGCTGGCGGCCTTATCTCAGGATAGGCCGCTGGCTGTTCCGTCCCCGGCCACTTCGGTGGCCGCGGGGTCGGACGCGGGGTCCACCGGTACGGCGGCGGCTCCCGTGGTCACCGGTCCTTCCCCCGAACCGTTGCTCCCGCTATCGGTTTAGGACCGCGTGGCCATGGTTTATGACCTCTTTGAGGACATGCCCCGGCCGGTACCGCGGGGAATCCACGACTGTGGGTTCCTCCGAGGTATACGATGAGTCTTCCGACTCGGCTTTCCCCGCATCAACCTTGCTGCGCGGTTTCAAGCCTTCCTTGGAGAACGCCTTCGCGGCGGCCTCCGGTCGGGGTCTCCCGTTGCCTCCGACGTCATGGAGAAAGGGTTTATTCCCGGTACATGACCTTGCCTTTCCCGAGGCTGGTCCTACCGCGGAGGCCCATGTTGAGCGGTTGGGTGTCCGTGCCCCACCGGCTGCTACGGTAACGCAAGCTACCTTGCACCAGCTGGACGCCCTCGCTCGGCACTCCATGTCTCACGGAGACACTTACTTGGCTGCAGCGGCCCGTCTGGTCGAAGGTTCTCCCACGGACCGTGACCAGCGCATTTACAACTGCCTGCTCAGTTTAAATGCTTCCCTGGAGTACGTTGCCGAGGACTCTCGGCACACACTTGCTCTTGTTGGGTCCCTGCATAGGCGCCTGGGTGCCGCTCCTAACCGGAGCGCGCCCCAGGCTGCTGCGGCCGGTAGGTCTAAGGGGTCGGGTTCTTCTTCCTCTGGGAAGTAGCCCCGCCCTGAGGGCTCCGGTATGGGCAATCAGCTGCCCTTTCGCGGGAAAACGGGGAACTGGGTGAAGCCCAAGTCGTCGACGGACGGCAAGGGCCCCTCCAGGTGACTCTCATTGGAGGGGTTCGTATGCCGACAGCGCCAACTTCGGTTGGCCCTTAGGCGAACCCGAGTCACTTGGCCCTGGACAGTTGCGCCTGCCGCAACCTGTCAGGGCCCCCTCTCCTTCCCCAGTGGGAGCCAGACTCCAGACTTACTGGGAGAATTGGGAACAAGTGTTCGACGACCCGTGGGTGGTCAACACGATTCGGTACGGCTATCGGCTTGATCTCAAAGCGAATCCGCCGCTCACCGTTGCCCCGTTGGCAGGTTTCGATTCGGAAACCGATCTTCCCATCCTCGCCGATGCCATCGGCAGGTTGGTGGAGAAGGGGCAGTACGGGAGTTAGCTCTACCAGAAATAACACCGGGGTTTTACTCCAGGATATTTCTCGTTCCCAAGTAGGACAGTGCCGAACTCAGAATGATTCACACGTCCGCTCCCTGGCTGTTCACCCGGTTAACCACCCCCATAGTGGGGTTCCTCCACAGGAGGGGTGTCCGGTACTTCGCGTACCTGGACGACTCGCTAGTAGCAAATCGAATGACGGACACCCTGTCACGCCATCTCGATTTCGCACGTCGGCTCTTGGAGCAATTTGGGTGGATTATCAATCTCCCCAAGAGCGAGTTAACCCCTTCTCAGAACTTGCTGTTCATCGGAGGTCGGTTCAACACGGTGTCCCATCTCCTCTTTGTCCCCCCAGACCGGTGGCACAAAATTCAGGCGATGATTGCTAAAGTCTTAGCGGTGTAACAGACTGTTCACTTTTGGGAACAGCTGTTAGGGCTACTTGTATCAGCCCAGGACTGCACCGCACGGGGTCGTCTCCAACTCCGCCCGCTGCAACGGTTTTTAATCCAGTTGCTAGCAACGGAGGTGAACAGTGCGACCGTCGCCCTCCCGGATCGGCTCCGACCGCATCTGGAGTGGTGGACGGTCCCTTACATTGTCTTATCAGGAGTCTCTATGCGGCCCTACCGGGCCACGTTGACCCTGTATACAGACGCCTCTCTAGTGGGCTGGGGCGCCCATCTAAAGGGGGAGGTGAGCTCGGGGCTGTGGTGCGTAGACGAACTAGGTCTTCACATCACTTGTCTCGAGTTCAAGGCAGTGATCAACGCAGTCAATCACTGGAAGCATCGTCTCGTCGACGCCCGGCTCATGCTGGCGACCGACAACACGACGGTAGTGTCCTATGTGAACAAACTGGGGGGAACCCACAGTCACTCGCTACTCGATCTCACGTTCGAGTTTTACGCTCTGGTGGACAGTGTCCCGTGCCAGATACGCGCCCGTCACATCCCAGGTGTGCGGAACGTACTGGCCGATGCTCTATCGAGGCCTCAGGATCCGAGCCCCACAGAGTAGATGCTGAACCCAGTAGTGTTTCAGTGGCTGTGCGAACGTTTGGGTCGTCCGATGGTCGACCTGTTCGCAACGCGGTTCAACAATCAACTCCCGTTGTTTGTATCACCAGTCCCGGACCCGAGGGCCATCGATCCCGATGCTCTCGCGTTAGACTGGACGGGCTTGGTCGCTTATGCTTACCCGCCGACAGCGTTGATACCACACATTCTAAGCCGGCTCCGAGGAGTTCGCTGTCGAATGTTACTGATCGCGCCCATGTGGCCGAACAGATCGTGGTACCCCGACTTGCTGACCCAGGTCACGCAGTCGCCACTTCCACTGCCTGTGAGACCGGATCTCTTGATCCACCCTCACACCCGTCAGCTTCATCCAAACGCAGGGCAGTTCAATCTGCACGCGTGGATGTTGTCACCGAGCGTCTGTGGAGTAAAGTTTTTTCTCGCCGGGCGTCTCGGGCATACGTTAGTATGCATCGTGATTCTACCCAGAAGGTGTATAATGCACGTTGGGTTATTTTCACGAAGTGGTGTTGTAAACATCACATTCATTTGCCAGATAAGGTATCTGTGCGGGATATTGCTCGTTTCATGTCTCACTTGCGAGAGACCCGGAAACTCTCCGGGGGTTCCATTGCCAACTATGTCTCGTCCGTTGCTACGGTACGGGACGTTGCTATGGGTACCAGTCTCTCCAATGAGCCGGTGTTACGGGGTATTATCAAGGGTTTCAATCAGCACGATCTTAAGAAGGGCCGCCTTCGGGCACCGGCCTGGGATCTTTCCCTAGTGTTGCAATCACTTACGGAAGCTCCGTATGAACCCTTGCATAGTGCTTCGTTCCGGCATGTGACTTGGAAAACAGCATTTCTCCTCTCCTTTGCCACGGCGGCACGTGTATCCGAAATTCATGCACTCGATGTCGCCAAGGTACGATTCGATAGGGGTGACGAAGGAGCGGTCCGCCTGGGCCTGCTCATGGGCTTCGTCGCCAAGAATCAGAGAGTCGGGCAAACGGAGAGAGAATTCACTGTAAGATCACTCAAAGAAATCTTACATCCTGCTGATACTGAGGACAGAGCGCTGTGTCCGGTTAGGGCCCTTAAGTATTATCTTAAGGCTTCGAATGAACGTAGACAAGGGCGTGACCGTCTGTTCATATCGTGTAACCCTAATCGCACGGTTGACATAACTCGCAACTCGATTGCGTTGTGGCTTCGTTCTGTCATCAATCTGGCGTACCGGTCTCGGGGGTTACCGGTAGCGGGGTCAAACCCGCACGAGATCAGGGCGCTAGCGGCAACATTTGCCCTACACTCGAATATCTCTGTTCGCAGAATATTACGAGGTTGTTACTGGCGTTCTGACTCGGTTTTTGCCAATCATTACCTCAAACAGGTCGCTGATGCCGTCGTGGAGAGTGTGCACCGTCTTGACCCGCGGATCGCGGCGCAAGCGGGCACCTAAGGGGTGTGCCCAGCGCAATTCCGAACTCCTCAGGCGTCTGACCTTGCACGGTGGTCAATCTGGGTCGACTCCATTGTTCCCACTGCCGTGGGTACAGGAGTTGGGGTCCCGCAAACCAGCGCACTCACACCACAGGTGAGGGCGGCTTTTTGTGTGCTTTGTCCTTATTTGTATTTTTGACAATTATGTCTTTAATTGTCTGTCGTGTATCCCAACCTTGTGATGCATGCTTACAAATACTGGAATTAGGTCACGCGCCTAATGCATACTTTAAGTAGGCTTGCTCTGGGATATACGGTCTGAATGAAATTAATTTCCCTCTTTTCGACTGTTTAACCTGATCTAAGATTAAGCTCACGCGGATACAGTGTTCTCATCCGCTGCGGCGATGAAATACCTATCCAGTGGGGCCGTTTGGAGTCACCAATCGTTTTGGCAATGACGATTGAACCTTACAGTATGCGCTTGACAGTGCTTTGGTATTCCTATAGGGTAACGCCTAGCTAGGTGCATGCGCATCGAGTGCTTCCGCCTTGGTGTTTACTTCCGCTGGTCGGAAGGAACGCTAGCAGTCAGGATTCGGGTTGTAGGTGCTCCCCACCGCCTACTGTGGTAGTCAGCCTCGGTATAACAGTGGTAACGTATTACTTAATGTAATTTGTAGAATTTTCCTATTCGGAATATTCTATAAGTAATACGTTACCACTGGGCTGCTGCCCGCCCGTCCGTCCCCCGAGCACTTGCTCTCGCAGGAGACAAGAGTGAAGGGTGTCACATGGCAGCTAGGTGGCTACGCACGTGCTGCATGAGGTAATTGAGATCTCTGTGGTAGATTTCGCTATAGCAGCAGTTGTGGGAGACAACAGCCTCGGTATAACAGTGGTAACGTATTACTTATAGAATATTCCGAATAGGAAAATTCTACAAATCACAACCACTGCAAGTGGACTGGCTCCTCTCACTCACAGCTGTGCAGAGCTGCTTAGCATGGGACATGAGCCATGGTTTGCCTTCATTAATAAACCCACACATGGCCTTGAACATTTTGTTTACATTCTTAGGGCAGAATACTCTCAACCCAACACATTCAAACTATTTTTAATGGAAAGTCTGTTTCTAAACATGTTAGCTTTGACAGGGCTGGCTGTGTGTATCTATGGAGACTGTTCTCTGTCCACAGGCAGCTCAGCAGATCATGGAGCTGCAGGAAGCAGCTCAGATCAACCAGGGCCTGCAGCCCGGCAACATCACGCGCAGCTCGTCCGTCCATGACATGAAGGCCATCGTGAAGACGTGGAGGAACAGGCTGCCCATGATCTCCGACGACCTGTCTCACTGGAGCGACATCTTCACATGGCGACAGCACCACTACCAGTTCATTGTCAACCACTACGACACTCACGCCACCACCGACCCGGTAAGTTATTGTCAACCACTATGACACCCACACCACCACCGACCCTGTAAGTTTTTGTCAATCACTACGACACTCACGCCACCACCGACCCTGTAAGTTATAGACAACCACTACGACACTCACGCCACCACCGACCCTGTAAGTTTTTGTCAATCACTACGACACTCACGCCACCACCGACCCTGTAAGTTATTGACAACCACTACGACACTCATGCCACCACCGACCCGGTAAGTTATTGTCAACCACTACAACACCCACACTGCCACCGACCCTACTATTATTTATGCTTTGCTTTCCACAATTTGTATGAAATCAGACTTATTGATACATGATATCTCGATACATTACTCTCATGAGGTGATGTTTCCTATTCTGTAGGATTAATTTTCCTTTTTTATTCCTGTTTTCCAGCAAAACAATCACTCCATGTTGGGGGTCCATGCTTCAGCTCAAGCCATCATCCACTTTGGCAAGATTGCCAGAAAACACAACCTGACCGGCGTCTCCCTGGACTCACTCAGCAGGTACTGGCCTGGAAGTCTGTTTCCTGAGTAAACGCGGAAAGACCCTTTCCATAAGCATAAGAAATCTCTCCTAATTGCAGGGGGGCACGGGTGGCCCAGTCTTCTAAGGCGCCGCGATTCGCTGTGCAGAGTTGCGGCCCTTGGGCACGCCAGAAACCTATGATTGTGGGTTCAAATCCCGGTTAGCCCCGATTATGTTTCTAGGTTTGTCAGCACCATACCCGTGCTGGTGGGTTTCACCGAAGTGGTAAACGTCTTAGACCTGCATTACTTCGGGCTTTCCTCCCACATTAAGCTGACATGCCGTGATATAACTGGAAAACTGTTAAAAGTGGCATTAAACCAAACTCACTCACTCACTCACTCACTCCTAACTGCAGAGTCCATTGAGGATTCTGACTATTTCATATGCATGTGTTTATAAATCACTATCAGATGTTTGTAGAAAGGGCTGTCTGAACAAGCCCTCATTGAATACCAGGGCAGATTAGGTCCACAGTACCCCATAACTCACATGAGTGAGTGAGTATGGTTTTACAACGCTTTAGGCAAAATTCCAGTAATATCACAGCAGGGGACACCAGAATTATCTTCACACGTTGTACCCATGTCGGGAATCATCTCTGGGGCTTCAGCATTACGAGAAAATGATTTAACCACTAGGCTAGGCTACAGCCCCATAACCCACACGAGCATCAGGTAGTTACTAGGTGTGGATGTAGCATGTGCCCCAACATACCCCGATCACTTTTTTCATTTGCTCTTACCATTAACACCTTGTTAACACCACCTGATTATTTCAGACCACCTGATATATATCTGAAATTCTGCTGACTGGTGTCACAAATTACTTACTGTATTTCCATGTTTAGAAACAGGATTGGTGCATATGTGCTAAAGAGTCAAGAGCCGGGGTAGAACAGGTCTCCAGCAACCCGGGCTAAACATGCTAAAAGGCGACTCTGCTTGTCGTAAGAGGCAACTAACGAGATCGGGTGATCAGGCTCACTGACTTGGTTGATGCATGTCATCGATCCCAATTGCGTGGATCGATGCTCATGATATCAATCACTGGATTGTCTGGTCCAGACTCGATTATTGACAGACCACTGTCATATAGCTGAAATATTGCTGAGTGTGGCGTTAAACAACAAAACAACCAACCAACCAAAGAGTCAAAGCTATGCTTGAACTGGCTTCTTCACGTTGAGTATTTCCCCCGACATATGTACGACATGAGCCATTGTGTCCCCAGGATTCACACCATACCCAGTGTCCCAATCGTGGACTGCTTCCAGAAGATCCGTCAGCAGGTCAAGTGCTACCTTCAGATGTCAGGGGTCATGGGCAAGAATGAGCTGACAGAGGTTTGTGTGGAGTTCAGATGGTGTGGAAATATATTCACTAGACAAACATGTTCTCAGAATTATTCACCTTTTCTGCATACATGTTAAGCAATATTTTAAAAGATTATCAAGAGTGGAAAATGGATGAAAAATATACATGCAATATAATTAAATACAGCATTGATAAATTTATAAAATGTCAGCACCAAAGATTAAGGGTTTGAGTAGGTCTTCAGCAACCCATGCCTGCTGAAAGAGGCAACTATGCTTGTTGTAAGAGGCAACTAACGGGATCGAGTGGTCAGGCTCGCTGACTTGGTCGATGCATGTCATTGTATCCCAATTGCGTGGATCGATGTTCATTACATCAATCACTGGATTGTCTGGTCCAGACTCAATTATTTACAGACTGCCATCATACAGCTGGAATATTGCTGAGTGGGGCGTTAAACAACAAACAAACCAAAGAAAAACCAGTCTTGATTTATAAGACCACCAATCTCTTCAGATAAAATTTGAAAAAAAAGAGGTAAAGGTTTTCGTAGCTTTATGACCACATTGTGGAGACACTAACCTTGATACTTCAGGGCCTGGAGGTGATCGAGTCCACCAACTTGAAGTACTTCACCAAGGAGATGACGGCCGAGTTCTATGCTCTCAAGGGCATGTTCCTGGCTCAAATAAACCGCTCTGATGAGGCCAACAAGTCGTTCTCCGCGGCAGTCCAGATGCACGACACACTGGTGAAGGCTTGGGCCCTGTGGGGAGACTACCTGGAGACCGTGTTTACCCGCGACAAGTGAGTCAACAACTGCCATGTTTGCCGACTGTTTCAACTTGTGAAGGCGTAAATAGTTTTAAAAAATGGTTATGCTCTTCTTTGCAGTTTATTATGAAGGCTTGAACTCTGATCATAGATATTTATTTTTGTACAAATTTCCTTATCGTTTAACTTATATTGTTGTTTGTTTTGTTTCTGTTTACTGGTGTAGACAAATTCAGCATGGAGAGTTTGCCATCACGTGCTACCTGCATGCGTGTCGCCATCAGAACGAAGGCAAATCAAGGAAGTACCTGGCTAAAGTATTGTGGCTGCTTACCTACGACGACGAGAAACTCACACTGGCGACAGCTGTGGACAAGTACTGTGTCGGTGTGCCACCTATACAGTGGTTGCCATGGTAATCAATTTTTTCCCTTCACTTATGAGTATAATTGTTATATCTATGTCAGGAATTGTCAGAGAGCCTGATCAACTGATTCATTACGTCGGCCTCATACGACAAGCATAGGTCGCTGGGGACATATTTAAACCCAGAATCGTGACAACAAAACTCTGTTTGGCTCTATGTGCAAATATCATAGGTTTGATACCCTATGGGCGACTCGAGACATTCATGTTACAAAACAATGAGGGTGTTAAACATAGATTTACATGGTAGGTTTGGTCTTCAGCAACCCATACTTGTAAGAGGCGAGTGACAGGATCGGGTGGGCAGGCTCACTAACTTAGTCGATGCATGTCATCATATCCCAATTATATAGACCGATTCACATGATGTCAATCACTGGATTATTTACAGACTGCGGTCATATAGCTGGACTTGTGCTGAGTGCAGCGTTAAACAACAGCAACAAAAAAACAATCATATGGTAGATATTACGAGGAGTCCTCATTTTGCAATTTGTTTCAGGATTCCGCAGTTGCTGACGTGCCTGGTGCGGAACGAGGGTCGCCTCATCATGAACCTGCTGAGTCAGGTGGGGAGGATGTACCCCCAGGCCGTCTACTTCCCCATCCGCACCCTCTACCTCACCCTCAAGATTGAGCAGCGGGAGCGATGTGAGTAGATCCACACACTCTGGGATAGAGGCTAGCAACAGCAGAGTCAGTTCACGAATGTTAGAGCACTCTGAGGGCTAGGAGGATTTGGGGCTGTTCAGGGTGTTTTAGGGGTGTCACTGCAATTGGTGTGTGTATTTGTATGTAATGGAGAAATCACTTGAATCTGTTGACTTCGGAAGTAGAATCACAAGCACCAAAGGAACGAGTGATTTCTTCTACTTAAACCATGTATTGATTCATATACTTCTCTACTACCAAAGTGTGACGTCGTCATAATGGTTAGCTAATTATTTTATCTTCATTTAATCTGCTGCAAATATCTCTTAAAGCCCTAAGCACAAAATGATTTAGTGCGAGGACTGTTTCCTCATCCATACTTTTGTACATAGACACAGAATAGTAGCAGCGATGTCAGTCTGGTATACCTTTGACTGCACTGGGAAAGGACAAAGATCCTGATCACGTCATATCACGTCATACAAATGCATGCAAATATTGACAAGTAATACTACAGAGGAAAGGACACTTCATACTAGTTTACTGGATTTTTTTTTGTCCCTTTACTGACAGTACTACATGTACAATACATCTGGCATGTGAACATTGAATAGCATTGACTGAAATTGTAATAAACTGAGATCTCTTTGAAATTGGAATCAATCTAAATGAGCAACTTATCATTTCAGATAAGAGTGGAGGTGATCTAGCTGGCCTTGGTAACCGTGGTAACACTGCAACACAAGCACAGGCTGCAAGCCCTGCACCCCCCAGTGCCCCAGCCACGCCCGAACCCTCTGCCTCAGTCACAGGTAGGGACATTGGAGTGGTTGACAGAACATACAGTTTATTCTGGCCCTGTGAAATCCGGGGTAGAATAGGTCTTCAGCAACCCATGCTTGCCGTAAAAGGCAACTAACGGGATTGGGTGGTCAGGCTCGCTGACTTGGTTTATGCATGTCATCGATCCCAATTGCGTGGATCGATGCTCATGATATTAATCACTGGATTGTCTGGTCCAGACTCGATTATTTACAAACCGCCGTCATATAGCTGGAATATTGCTGAGTGCAGCGTTAAACAACAAACCAACATACCAACCAATTGCCTGGATCGATGTTCATGATGTCAATCACTGGATTGTCTGTTCCAGAATTGATTATTTACAGACCGCCGTCATATGGCTGGAATATTGCTGAGTGCGGCGTTAAACAACAAACCAACAAACAAACCGCACAAGTCATCACTTGTCAGTTAGCACTTATCAGCATTTGTTAAAATTTGTGAGCATTTGTTAGCACTTGACAGCACTATATCATCTTCCATGTTTACAGACACGCCCACAACAGCAGGAGGAGCATCTCAGTCTGGCCGCGCGGGCAGTGCCAGCCAGTCAGACGCCGCGGGCCCCATCAAGGCCCCCGCCCCCATGTGGCGCTGCAGTCGGATCATGCACATGCAGAGGGAGCTGCACCCAACCATTCTCTCCTCACTCGAGGGAATCGTCGATCAGGTGAAAGTAGGACCTGACTAGATTGAAATCTCTAAAATGGCAACAAACCTCAATTTGAACAAAAATAAAACATATTACATTAAGTAATACGTTACCACTGTTATACCGAGGCTGTTGTCTCCCACAACTGCTGCTATAGCGAAATCTACCACAGAGATCTCAATTACCTCATGCAGCACGTGCGTAGCCACCCAGCTGCCATGTGACACCCTTCACTCTTGTCTCCTTCGTCTGCTTAGCAAGACGTGTTTTCTCCTGCTGAAGCGTTCCTTGAAGATTTGGTGATATTTATTATAGTTTATTCTCTAATAAACTGTGCTTTTATGGGGCGTTGCGGTAGCTACGCTTGGTTATAATTTTCCCGCCCTTTTTTCTATATACTTGCGGGGTTCGCGTATGCACGTTGTGTTTTACGTTTCCCCTGTTCTTGTATGTTTTGGGGGTTAACATAACTTATTTCTTTAATAAAAGTTATATGTGTATGTTATATGTTCACATTGCTCGTTTATTTTCTTGTGAAAATGTTCGTTTGTGAATCATTGTGGTGCGTGCGTTGTAACCATGTTTTGTTCTTTGTTTATAGCAAACAATCAATGTCTGACATGGATATGTCCCCAGTATCCACCCCCTCTACCCCTGCTCCTCGGAGTTATGGGGTGTGCAGAAAGTTTTTGTCGTCCCGGGATCCCCACGATCGTTGCCCGCGGTGCAGGGTTCCTTGCGGGGACACCCGGTGCATCCTGTGCGAAGGTCTGGGGCCTGCGGATTTTGAGCGGTACCGGCTGTACGTACAGTCCGTCTCCACCCCTGTGGTGGCCGGTTCGTCCGGTCGGGGTCCCCGTGCGGGTACCACCTCCTCGGCTGCGGCGGATCCCCTTGCGGCCCTTGGGCTGTCTGGGGATTCCGTCGCCGCATTGTTGTCGAAACTTGTGGATTCCAAGCTGGCGGCCTTATCGCAAGATAGGCCGCTGGCTGTTCCGTCCCCGGCCTCTTCGGTGGCCGCGGGGTCGGACGCGGGGTCCACCGGTAAAGCGGCGGATCTCTTGGCGGCCCGTGTGCTGTCCGGGGATTCCGTCGCTGCATTACTTGCATAACTTGTGGACTCCAAGCTGGCGGCCTTATCTCAGGATAGGCCGCTGGCTGTTCCGTCCCCGGCCACTTCGGTGGCCGCGGGGTCGGACGCGGGGTCCACCGGTACGGCGGCGGCTCCCGTGGTCACCGGTCCTTCCCCCGAACCGTTGCTCCCGCTATCGGTTTAGGACCGCGTGGCCATGGTTTATGACCTCTTTGAGGACATGCCCCGGCCGGTACCGCGGGGAATCCACGACTGTGGGTTCCTCCGAGGTATACGATGAGTCTTCCGACACGGCTTTCCCCGCATCAACCTTGCTGCGCGGTTTCAAGCCTTCCTTGGAGAACGCCTTCGCGGCGGCCTCCGGTCGGGGTCTCCCGTTGCCTCCGACGTCGTGGAGAAAGGGTTTATTCCCGGTACATGACCTTGCCTTTCCCGAGGCTGGTCCTACCGCGGAGGCCCATGTTGAGCTGTTGGGTGTCCGTGCCCCACCGGCTGCTACGGTAACGCAAGCTACCTTGCACCAGCTGGACGCCCTCGCTCGGCACTCCATGTCTCACGGAGACACTTACTTGGCTGCAGCGGCCCGTCTGGTCGAAGGTTCTCCCACGGACCGTGACCAGCGCATTTACAACTGCCTGCTCAGTTTAAATGCTTCCCTGGAGTACGTTGCCGAGGACTCTCGGCACACACTTGCTCTTGTTGGGTCCCTGCATAGGCGCCTGGGTGCCGCTCCTAACCGGAGCGCGCCCCAGGCTGCTGCGGCCGGTAGGTCTAAGGGGTCGGGTTCTTCTTCCTCTGGGAAGTAGCCCCGCCCTGAGGGCTCCGGTATGGGCAATCAGCTGCCCTTTCGCGGGAAGACGGGGAACTGGGGGAAGCCCAAGTCGTCGACGGACGGCAAGGCCCCTCCAGGTGACTCTCATTGGAGGGGTTCGTATGCCGACAGCGCCAACTTCGGTTGGCCCTTAGGCGAACCCGAGTCACTTGGCCCTGGACAGTTGCGCCTGTCCTTCCCCAGTGGGAGCCAGACTACAGACTTACTGGGAGAATTGGGAACAAGTGTTCGACGACCCGTGGGTGGTCAACACGATTCGGTACGGCTATCGGCTTGATCTCAAAGCGAATCCGCCGCTCACCGTTGCCCCGTTGGCAGGTTTCGATTCGGAAACCGATCTTCCCATCCTCGCCGATGCCATCGGCAGGTTGGTGGAGAAGGGGCAGTACGGGAGTTAGCTCTACCAGAAATAACACCGGGGTTTTACTCCAGGATATTTCTCGTTCCCAAGTAGGACAGTGCCGAACTCAGAATGATTCACACGTCCGCTCCCTGGCTGTTCACCCGGTTAACCACCCCCATAGTGGGGTTCCTCCACAGGAGGGGTGTCCGGTACTTCGCGTACCTGGACGACTCGCTAGTAGCAAATCGAATGACGGACACCCTGTCACGCCATCTCGATTTCGCACGTTGGCTCTTGGAGCAATTTGGGTGGATTATCAATCTCCCCAAGAGCGAGTTAACCCCTTCTCAGAACTTGCTGTTCATCGGAGGTCGGTTCAACACGGTGTCCCATCGCCTCTTTGTCCCCCCAGACCGGTGGCACAAAATTCAGGCGATGATTGCCAAAGTCTTAGCGGTGCAACAGACTGTTCACTTTTGGGAACAGCTGTTAGGGCTACTTGTATCAGCCCAGGACTGCACCGCACGGGGTCGTCTCCAACTCCGCCCGCTGCAACGGTTTTTAATCCAGTTGTTAGCAACGGAGGTGAACAGTGCGACAGTCGCCCTCCCGGATCGGCTCCGACCGCATCTGGAGTGGTGGACGGTCCCTTACATTGTCTTATCAGGAGTCTCTATGCGGCCCTACCGGGCCACGTTGACCCTGTATACAGACGCCTCTCTAGTGGGCTGGGGCGCCCATCTAAAGGGGGAGGTGAGCTCGGGGCTGTGGTGCTTAGACGAACTAGGTCTTCACATCACTTGTCTCGAGTTCAAGGCAGTGATCAACGCAGTCAATCACTGGAAGCATCGTCTCGTCGACGCCCGGCTCATGCTGGCGACCGACAACACGACGGTAGTGTCCTATGTGAACAAACTGGGGGGAACCCACAGTCACTCGCTACTCGATCTCACGTTCGAGTTTTACGCTCTGGTGGACAGTGTCCCGTGCCAGATACGCGCCCGTCACATCCCAGGTGTGCGGAACGTACTGGCCGATGCTCTATCGAGGCCTCAGGATCCGAGCCCCACAGAGTGGATGCTGAACCCAGTAGTGTTTCAGTGGCTGTGCGAACGTTTGGGTCGTCCGATGGTCGACCTGTTCGCAACGCGGTTCAACAATCAACTCCCGTTGTTTGTATCACATGTCCCGGTCCCGAGGGCCATCGATCACGATGCTCTCGCGTTAGACTGGACGGGCTTGGTCGCTTATGCTTACCCGCCGACAGCGTTGATACCACACATTCTAAGCCGGCTCCGAGGAGTTCGCTGTCGAATGTTACTGATCGCGCCCATGTGGCCGAACAGATCGTGGTACCCCGACTTGCTGACCCAGGTCACGCAGTCGCCACTTCCACTGCCTGTGAGACCGGATCTCTTGATCCACCCTCACACCCGTCAGCTTCATCCAAACGCAGGGCAGTTCAATCTGCACGCGTGGATGTTGTCACCGAGCGTCTGAGGAGTAAAGTTTTTTCTCGCCGGGCGTCTCGGGCATACGTTAGTATGCATCGTGATTCTACCCAGAAGGTGTATAATGCACGTTGGGTTATTTTCACGAAGTGGTGTTGTAAACATCACATTCATTCGCCAGATAAGGTATCTGTGCAGGATATTGCTCGTTTCATGTCTCACTTGCGAGAGACCCGGAAACTCTCCGGGGGTTCCATTGCCAACTATGTCTCGTCCGTTGCTACGGTACGGGACGTTGCTATGGGTACCAGTCTCTCCAAAGAGCCGGTGATACGGGGTATTATCAAGGGTTTCAAACAGCACGATCTTAAGAAGGGCCGCCTTCGGGCACCGGCCTGGGATCTTTCCCTAGTGTTGCAATCACTTACGGAAGCTCCGTATGAACCCTTGCATAGTGCTTCGTTCCGGCATGTGACTTGGAAAACAGCATTTCTCCTCTCCTTTGCCACGGCGGCACGTGTATCCGAAATTCATGCACTCGATGTCGCCAAGGTACGATTCGATAGGGGCTTCGTCGCCAAGAATCAGAGAGTCGGGCAAACGGAGAGAGAATTCACTGTAAGATCACTCAAAGAAATCTTACATCCTGCTGATACTGAGGACAGAGCGCTGTGTCCGGTTAGGGCCCTTAAGTATTATCTTAAGGCTTCGAATGAACGTAGACAAGGGCGTGACCGTCTGTTCATATCGTGTAACCCTAATCGCACGGTTGACATACCTCGCAACTCGATTGCGTTGTGGCTTCGTTCTGTCATCAATCTGGCGTACCGGTCTCGGGGGTTACCGGTAGCGGGGTCAAACCCGCACGAGATCAGGGCGCTAGCGGCAACATTTGCCCTACACTCGAATATCTCTGTTCGCAGAATATTACGAGGTTGTTACTGGCGTTCTGACTCGGTTTTTGCCAATCATTACCTCAAACAGGTCGCTGATGCCGTCGTGGAGAGTGTGCACCGTCTTGGCCCGCGGATCGCGGCGCAAGCGGGCACCTAAGGGGTGTGCCCAGCGCAATTCCGAACTCCTCAGGCGTCTGACCTTGCACGGTGGTCAATCTGGGTCTACTCCATTGTTCCCACTGCCGTGGGTACAGGAGTTGGGGTCCCGCAAACCAGCGCACTCACACCACAGGTGAGGGCGGCTTTTTGTGTGCTTTGTCCTTATTTGTATTTTGACAATTATGTCTTTAATTGTCTGTCGTGTATCCCAACCTTGTGATGCATGCTTACAAATACTGGAATTAGGTCACGCGCCTAATGCATACTTTAAGTAGGCTTGCTCTGGGATATACGGTCTGAATGAAATTAATTTCCCTCTTTTCGACTGTTTAACCTGATCTAAGATTAAGCTCACGCGGATACAGTGTTCTCATCCGCTGCGGCGATGAAATACCTATCCAGTGGGGCCGTTTGGAGTCACCAATCGTTTTGGCAATGACGATTGAGCCTTACGGTATGCGCTTGACAGTGCTTTGGTATTCCTATAGGGTAACGCCTAGCTAGGTGCATGCGCATCGAGTGCTTCCGCCTTGGTGTTTACTTCCGCTGGTCGGAAGGAACGCTAGCAGTCAGGTTTCGGGTTGTAGGTGCTCCCCACCGCCTACTGTGGTAGTCAGCCTCGGTATAACAGTGGTAACGTATTACTTAATGTAATTTGTAGAATTTTCCTATTCGGAATATTCTATAAGTAATACGTTACCACTGGGCTGCTGCCCGCCCGTCCGTCCCCCGAGCACTTGCTCTCGCAGGAGACAAGAGTGAAGGGTGTCACATGGCAGCTGGGTGGCTACGCACGTGCTGCATGAGGTAATTGAGATCTCTGTGGTAGATTTCGCTATAGCAGCAGTTGTGGGAGACAACAGCCTCGGTATAACAGTGGTAACGTATTACTTATAGAATATTCCGAATAGGAAAATTCTACAAAATTGACTGATATCCATTCAAGGTTCATACAGGCTTCAAACGGCCTTGAACGTTTCAGGTTTCCATCGAAAAACCTTGAGTGTTCCATTTGTATGACCCTTGTCAATCTTTTTCTTGCTATCATGACATCCTCAATTGATGTATTAGTCTTACAAGCTGCTATCTCATGGGGCTGTGGGGTAGCCTAGTGGTTAAAACTTTCGCTCGTCACGAATATTGCTAAAAGCGGCGTAAAACCATACTCACTCACTGATATGTCACAGTTAGCCCATTGCTAGAGAGTATATTTGCTCATTACATCAAAAATCCATAGTTTCCATAATGGGTACAATGTGAAGTCTGTTTCTGTGTCCTCCATGATTGGGCCATATGAAGTTTATTATTGGATGTTCATCCCCGCCCAACTCCCGACAATACGCCCTGATTCACATCACATACCTGCTTGAATCACATCTGTGAAACATTGATGTACATCGATGCCTGGACCAGTCGGTTTGACGTGTGTTTTGTTTGTCTAGATGGTGTGGTTCCGGGAAAACTGGTACGAGGAAGTACTACGACAGCTACGGCAGGGGCTTGCCAAGTGCTACGCTGTGGCCTTCGAAAATAGAGGAGCAGGTCAGTTGGTACACGACTTGTGGGGTCGAACAGACTAACTTTCAGTGTGGAACTCTGCAATGAAATAGGGAAATTGGAATAGGTCATAAAATAGGCTTAACCAAATGTTCAGTTTCATATTTGGTCTTCTATTTTCGAAACATGCAATTTTTGTGTTAACCACAAGTAGAAGAATTGCTTTCACATCAATAATACCAGGAATCCCTAAAGATTAGTTTTTTCTCCTGAACATGCTGAAAGAAAAACAAATTCATATTTTTTACAGGTTTTCATAGTTTGGATTGTGTTTCTTATAAAATAATCTCGTCTTAGATATAGACAGTTTTGTATTTGTTTGTCAATGAATATTTCCATTACGTACTCTTCAACTGAACATGTGTCTCACCTGTTGGTCACCTATCATTGACATGCACAGTGGTCTCTCTCTCCCATCATGGCTCGTCATGTATTCTACACTGATTCCAGTTGCCGATGCCACAATCACTCCTCACACGCTCAACTTTGTAAAGAAGCTGGTCAGTACATTTGGTGTGGGCATTGAGAACGTGTCCAGTGTATCGTCCACGTTCTCCAGCGCCGCCTCCGAGTCCCTCGCCCGCCGCGCCCAGGCCACAGCACAGGACCCCGTCTTCCAGAAGATGAAGAGCCAGTTCACCACAGACTTCGACTTCAGGTGGGTCACAAGTCATATTACCCATGAAGATCCATGTTAAAATGAGTCTTAGTCTTCAGCTACCCATGCTTGTCATAATAGGCAACTAACCAGATCGGGTGCTCAGGCTCATTGACTTGGTTGATGCATGTCATCCTATCCCAATTGCGTAGATTGATGCTCATAATATCGATCACTGGACTGTTTGGTCCAGACCATCTTCCCGAGACAAGAGAGTAAACTGACTATAAAAGTCCAGTTTCCACCCTTGCCGAACTAGGCTTGTATTATGGAGTTAGATTTTGGCTGGACTAACGAGTCTGTGCATAATCGAATCAAAATCGCCCAATGGACCGCTGTCATGTGGCTGGAATATTGCAGTGTGCGGCCTTAAACAACAAACAGACACAAGTCATATTATTTAGGCAGTAGGGGAAACTGTCTTTCTTTGTTTATTTGTTGTCATATGGAATATTGCTGAGTACGGCATCAAACAACAAACATACAAATGAATCGTGGATTCAGGTTATAAAGAATTTTTGGTGGGGCATACGTGTCACTACCCCTCAAATTGGCCTGTTTCACCCGCAGCCAACCATTTAAGAAATATAAGTTGTTTGTAGTGTTTAGAGGAGGTTGAAGACAGCATCCCATCCACACAATCCTTATCACGGCACAAAGTGTTCCAGTGGGCTGGTAATCCTGTAAATCATGACAACCCACTGCCTGTGTTCTAGAAGCCTGAGGGGCCATGGGGTAGCCTTGTGGTTAAAGTGTTCGCTTGTCACGCCTAAGACCTGGGTTCGATTCCCCACATGGTTACAATGTGTAAAGCCCATTCCTGATCACCCCCGCCGTGATATTGCTGGAATATTGCTAAAAGTGGTGTAAAACAATGCTCGAACAAACGGACAAAGTTTGATATCTGATTTCCTCCGCAGTGTGCCAGGATCCACCAAGCTCCACAACCTCATCAACAAACTCAAGAAGTGGATCAAAATACTCGAGGCCAAGACCAAGCTGCTACCAAAGTAAGTGGGGGAGAACACGCCGACTCATTGGTTTACTCTTTTCAGGAGGAATGTAACACATTTGGAAGTTGATCTGGTAAAGATGTGACTGTTAATATTCTAGTACCTCACAGACAGCTTAGGTTGTATACTCCCCAGGGAGCTGAGAATGAATATTGAGTGCACACTGATTCACTGACCAGGGTATTAACATTGTAGCGCTTTGATCATGCTTAGATTATATACTCCCCAGGGAGCTGAGAATGAAATTTGAGTGCACACTGATTTACTGACCAGGGTATTAATATTGTAGCGCTTTGATCATGCTTAGATTATATACACCCCAGGGAGCTGAGAATGAAAATTGAGTGCACACTGATTCACTGACCAGGGTAATAATAATGTAGCCCTTTGATCATGCTTAGATTGTATACTCCCCAGGGAGCTCAGAATGATAATCGAGTGCTCACTGATTCACTGACCAGGGTATTAATAATGTAGCGCTTTGATCATGCCCTGTGTGGTGTGGAAACATCTTGCAATATAGATGACCTCATTCTTTTCTCTCTATTCAGTGATATGGAGGTGGTCTCACTCCTCGTGTCTTGGTGTGTCCCAGATTGACATGATGATGATCATGTGCAAAAATTGTCTCGTGCTCGGCGGTTTTACAGAGATAGACCCCATTGGTCAAGTCCAACTAGCCCACAGCTCATTTCAGACTTGTAAATCATGAGATAAAGCATTTATCACTCGTCTCAGACTAACTGACAAGTGGCAATGTCTATCCTTGTTTCCCCATGAAGTCATCTGTGACCTGAGACAGGTTAACTGATGGGTTTAAACTTCTTCACTCTTTCAACCCTGTATTCACTGATACCACTGCTTCTGAATGGCACTGAAAGATGTATTATTAATAGCAGCATATCTTACTAATACTAAGATATTATCGAAGCCCATTTCTGGTGTCCCCCGCCGTGATATTGCTGGAATATTGCTGAAAGCGGCGTAAAACTAAAACTCACTCACTCACTCACTAAGGTATTATCATTGCTTTCGTGTTAAGTGTTGATGTCTGTTCTAGGTCGTTCTTGATTGAAGAAAAATGCAGATTCCTTAGCAACTTTTCTGTGAACACGGCAGAGGTGGAATTGCCTGGGGAGTTCCTGTTGCCGAAGGTAAGAACCACTAGAAACTCCAAGTGACTGGCAGCTCCTTACTCTGTGGCTTGTGACTAGAAATATTAAAGGAAGTTGGTATTCAAGTCCTGTATCCCTTTTGGAGAACATGACTGGTAATGTTTGTATTTTGAGAACTGATGCTTGGAAGCCTATCTCTCAATGTTGAGAACTGATGCTTGGGACCCTATCTCTCAAAGTTCAAGACCCGTGTAGATCCAGGGTAGAATAGGTCTTCAGCAACCCATGCTTGCCGTAAAAGGCGACTATGCTTGTCGCTGACTTGGTTGATGCATGTCATCGATCCCAATTACGTGGATCGATGCTCATGATGTCAGTCACTGGATTGTCAGGTCCAGATTATTTACAGACCGCCATCATATAGCTGGAATATTGCTGAGTGCGGACCGCCATCATATAGCTGGAATATTGCTGAGTGCGGCGTTAAACAACAAACCAACCAACCATTCAACTCAATGTTCAAGCTGCCTGGTATCTGGTCTACATGTCACCTTAACTCATCAAAGTCTTTTACTCTGAGTTGATCATCTCTGCTTCTTTCCCTACAGCACAGCCACTACTATGTGAGGATCGCTCGCTTCATGCCCCGCGTGGAGATCGTGCAGAAACACAACACAGCAGCCCGGAGACTCTACATCAGAGGTCACAACGGCAAGGTAGGGGACATAACTCTGTAATGTCTGGAGTACATCAGAGGTCACAACGGCAAGGTAGGGGACATAACTCTGTAATGTCTGGAGTACATCAGAGGTCACGATGGCAAGGTAGGGGACATAACTCTGTAATGTCTGGAGTACATCAGAGGTCACAATGGCAAGGTAGGGGACATAACTCTGTAATGTCTGGAGTACATCAGAGGTCACAATGGCAAGGTAGGGGACATAACTCTGTAATGCCTGGAGTACATCAGAGGTCACAACGGCAAGGTAGGGGACATAACTCTGTAATGACATGAGAGTGTTCACCCATCACATCCAAGACCCTTGTTAGATTTCTCACATGGGAAAATGTTTGCAGTTAATTTTGAGCGTTGCTTAAAGTGATATTGCTGCAGTGATTACTACAAAGAGACCTGGCTTACTGGTGTCATTGTAACATGATAGCATTGATGTGTTATCACCCACTGGATTGTCTGGTCTAGACTTGATTATTTACACACCACTGTCATATAGGTACAATATTGCAGAGTGTAGTGTTAAGCAACAAAGAACTTATACATACAAACAAACCTAACTGTTCCTGATGCAGCTGATAAGAATTACACCAAATCTAGGACAACAAGCACCATCACACATATTCTGTACTCCTCAGGTGTACCCATATCTGGTCGTAAACGATGCGTGTCTGACGGAGTCGCGGCGGGAGGAGAGGGTGTTGCAGCTGCTGAGGATGTTGAATCACTTCCTGACGAAGCAGAAGGAGACGTGTCGACGTATGCTGTACTTCACGGTGCCGCGGGTGGTGGCGGTGTCGCCACAGATGAGGCTGGTGGAAGACAACCCTGCCTCAGTGTCCCTGCTGGATATCTACAAACAGGTACGTTCACTCCGATACATAGTTGTAGAAGACAGATCTCACTATCTGAGATGGGGTTAAAGAACTTTCATTAGTTTCAACCTTCTGGTAAACTGATTCACCTACGGATCTCAGCAGACACCTAACATGTTACCTGCGCCCTCAGCCAAATCGTTTTGTCACTGGTGTATCATGTGCACCCCAACTTTTTTTAAATCCTGGATCTGCCTCTGATTAGGACTCAGGGATAGAAATTTACCTGTAATGTCTACAAGCCCGGATAGTGATAACGTTCAGAACTATAAGAGACATTTTCACTTATTCTGTTTATAAGGGTTTGTTCTGACCTCACCACTCATTATGGAGACGACATGTGAAGATTCCGGGGTAGAATAGGTCTTCAGCAACCCATGTTTGTAAAAGGCGACTAACGGGATCGGGTGGTCAGGCTCGCTGACTTGGTTGATGCATGCCATCGGTCCCAATTGCGTGAACCGATGCTCGTGATATCAATCACTGGATTGTCTGGTCAAGACTCGATTATTTACAGACTGCCGTCATATAGCTGGAATAATGCTGAGTGTGCTGAGTAAAACAACAAACAAACAAACATTATGGAGACACAGATGAATTAGTTATATCTAAGCAGTATCTCTTCGGGATAGATATCACCTCGACTTTCAACAGTACCATTTAGATCAGCCTTGTCTTGGCAAGTTACCAGAACACAGGAGCTAGTGATTCTTCCCTTCTGTCCACAGCGCTGCAGCAAGAGAGGGATCGAGCACGACTCCCCGATAGCTCGGTACTATGAGCGTCTGGCAACAGTTCAAGCCCGTGGCTCTCAAGCCAGCCATCAAGTTCTGCGAGACATCTTGAAGGAGGTGCAGACAAACATGGTACCTCGAGGTCTTCTGAAGGAGTGGGCGCTGCACACGTTCCTCAACGCCACGGACTACTGGACCTTCCGGAAGACCGTAAGTTTATGGTTATCTTTTAGCATAGAATCATCACAAACATGTTGGAAGGAAATGATCTGCACAGGGCATATCTCTTATCCTGTCTCACACTATGCATTTCTTCTTTCTTCTTCGATCCTATGTGGAAACGTGCTTGAACAGAGTTTCCAGCTTCTGAAAAACAAGTCACCCAAACAGATGCCAGCATCACCATGGTCACCACCCAACAACTGGGTCACACACGTAATCATGTGCATAGCGACCTTACACGAATATACAAGTTATTTGAAAATTTCCAATTGTTTCATTATGGTAGTTGTGTGTCCAGGGATTCGAGAATATTTGCCTCTAAAAGGCCCAACCTTCTTGATTGTCCAGTACATTATGTCACCATTCTGTTATTGTAAATACCCATTTGTCATCAGAGTTTATTATCCCCCACCATGAAGATGAAGGGAATAAAGGAATAGGTTCTGTCTGTCCGCCTTTTGTCTGTCCATCAGGTTCTGTTTTCGGAGCAGAGCTAAAAAAACCATGAGAGATATCTTAACCAAGCTTGGCACATAGATAGGTCTAGTAGTGAACTGGTGCCTTTTGAAAGTTTGATTATGATTTTGATTTTGAAATTTAATTTTTTTGAGTTTCCATAGCAATGACTTTGACTTAGACTGAAAATGGCAGTAGTGCTTTTGAAAACCATACAATATTTATGGCCTTGTTTTGAGTGTGTTTCCAATGACATGTTACAAATAGCCATCCAATCAACTTACACAAAATATAAACAGTGATATCAACAGTTGTTGTTCCGTCTTGTGAGTCGTCTTCAATACAACTGGGAATATGTTGTAGCTTAACTAGTTCCTTCCTGTCTTAATACTCATGAAAACATCTTTCAGACTAAATATTCACTTTACTGGTATTTAACATGTCTATTTCTCATTCATATGAACACGTGATAATGGCAGTAATGATTTCTAAGCAATTTGCTCTTTTTTTAAATTACACTGGAACCTTGTTATCTCAAACGTACCGATATCTCAAACATACCCATATCTCGAACATACCCATATCTCGAACCTATTCTCTGATCCTGACCACCTCTCTATCATGCCTCGTTATCTCAAATCTCCGGAGATCTTGAAGTTATAACATGGTCCTGTTAAGGTCAAGATAACGGGATGCGACTGTATGCAGATCTTGTAGACAAAAAAGGCCCCTTTATCTTGTTCCTTTGTGGTGACTTTCATCTGAACTGTTTGGCTTGTCTCTTGTACTGAGACTTTCTGTCTTGACCCGTGAAGATCTGGGTAGAGAATAGGTCTTCAGCAACCCATGCTTGTCTCCCCCGTGAAGATCTGGGTAGAGAATAGGTCTTCAGCAACCCATGCTTGTCTCCCCCGTGAAGATCTGGGTAGAGAATAGGTCTTCAGCAACCCATGCCTGTCTCCCCCGTGAAGATCTGGGTAGAGAATAGGTCTTCAGCAACCCATGCTTGTCGTAAGAGGCGACTAACGGGATCGGGTGGTCAGGCTCGCTGACTTGGTTGATGCATGTCATCATATCCCAATTACAGAGATTGATGCTCATGATGTCAGTCATTGGATTGTCTGATCCAGAATCGATTATTTAACAAACAAACAAACATGTTATACAACTTTACAATTGAACCATAGTCCGAGATTGGACGGTTATTTACAGACTGTCGTCATATCGCTGGATTATTGCTAAGTGTGTCATTAAACAACAAACTTTCTGTCTTCAGTTGACAATCCAGCTGGCGCTGATGGGGTTCGCTGAGTTCATCCTCCACCTGTCCCGCATGAACCCTGACATGATGTACCTGCACCAGGACTGTGGCTATCTCAACATCTCCTACTTCAAGTTCGACATTGATGATCAGTCAGGTGAGTCAGTGCAGTGTCTGTTCCCCTTTTGTCCGTCCATCATGTTCTGTTTTCGGAGCAGAACTCAAAAACCATGAGAGATATCTTAACCAAGCTTGGCACATAGATAGTTCTAGTAGTGAACTGGTGCCTTTTGAAAGTTTGATTTTGATTTTGATTGTGAACATTTTTGGGGGGTTTCCATAGCAATAACTTTGACTTAGCCTGAAAATGGCAGTAGTGCTCTTGAAAACCATACAATATTTATGGCCTTGTTTTGAGTGTGTTTCCAATGACATAATCTTACAATCTTAACATGGGGGGCATGAAAATACATGTTGGGGACAAGTGATACTAGTACAAATATTTGCCCCCCCCCCCCCCCCCCCCATCAAAAAAAGTTAACTACAGCCTTGTGAGTCCAATGTCGGCCACACCTGTAGAGTGAGTGAGTGAGTGAGTGAGTGAGTGAGTTGGGTTTAACGCCACTTTTAACAGTATTCCAGTTATATCACAGCGTGTCAGCTTAATGTGGAAGGAAAGCCCAAAGTGAAGCAGGTCTCAGACGTTAACCACTTCGGTGAAACCCTCGAGCATGGGTATGGTGCTGACAAACCTAGAAACATAATCAGGGTGAACTGGAACTACGGCGCCTTAGACGACTGGGCCACCCGTGCCCCAGCACCTGTAGGATGTACCTGAGGCTACACTGAGGATGAGAATGGCCAGCATCTCAGGACATATGTGGATGCACTGGTCACTGGTTTGAATCCCAGATTTCCCCAAGTATGGGGTTTGACAATGATGATGATGACCTCGCTGTATGTTATTGTAACTGCAGCAACTGCTGGGCTAAACAATTTTAATATTGATCCTGGCACACTGCGGAGGAAATCAGATATCAGATATGTTCGTATGTTCATTCGTTCGTTCGAGTATTGTCTTACACCACTTTTAGCAATATTCCAGCAATATCTCGGTGGGGGACACCAGAAATGGGCTTCACACATTGTACCCATATCGTGAATCAAACCCGGTGTGACAAGCGAACGCTTTAACCACTAGGCTACCCGACAGTCCCACAAGTTGCAAAGAGTACTGAAATATTTGAAGTATTTGTGACGGTGAGATCTGTCTTGTGACCACTATGGGACTCTCTGAATGGTTAGTCAAAGTGTGAAGCAAGTTATGCCACATCAAATAGTGTGACATCATAATATCCATCATTACAACTGGTATGGGTTTTTAAAAGATGAGGACTTATCAGATAGCTGTTTTTCTTTTATGGGTAATGGTTGTATGTGACATTCTATAATTGTTCTGTTGGCTGTTTCAGGTGACCTTGATGCAAACCGACCTGTTCCATTCCGACTGACCCCCAATATAGCGGAGTTCCTCACCATGACTGGAGTGACGGGTCCGCTGACTGCGTCGATGGTTGCAGCTGCGAGATGCTTCGTGCAGCCACAGTTTAAACTGCAGAGCTTTCTCCGAGCCATACTCCGGGATGAATACATCACGTGGCACAAAAAGGTACAGGATCTTCCTTGGAAATCAGTGTTAATTTCAAATGCTGAATGGTAGACAAAGACTCGATACTGTCCGACTCTTTGTTGACACCCCCCATAACAGATGACTGGTCCCTAATGTCTCACGTTTTACTACCAGATTCATATCAAGGTCCAGATATTATGGGGTAAAACATTTGTCATTTAAACATCATCATGAAATCACGACTACAAATATCAAAATATAGCCACTTTTCCAGAAGCACGAGGAGACCAGCCCAAGTACCGAACCTGTCGACATGGAGGGGGAACAACTCATCGGCATGGTAACCAAAGCTGTCAGCGCCATCATGACACGCCTACAGAGTATGTATTGAAAGCTTTTTGTTTACTTCATTGCATTAAAGAATTTCAATTGATGCCAAAGTTGATGAGTTAGAAACATACTGGCCAGTCAGATTGCAAGATAATTGATGAAGAATATATCACAGGATGGTGCTCTCCATACATACCAGGTTCCAGCCTATGCTAATCCCTGAATCATGCACGCACAAATACGGTGTTAGTGTTGGGCGTCTTAACGTGCGTGATTCCCCTGCACCCTTTCGAGTTGAGTTGATTGGTTCAACTGTGTCATATGGCCCTGTGACGCAGGGGTAGCATTATGCAGATGGCTGTTACAATGAATGCTCGTTCCACCCGTGACAAACAGGTCTGGTTGTTGATGAAATATAGTGATAGCTAAATAGACAGATTTTTTATTCGTGCACCGATTGTCTTTAAATGTATGTCAAGTTATGTATGACTGTTTAATAATCTCATACCAACTTTGACTGGAGTAGGTCCGATACTTTTTCAGATATTGTAGTAAACTTCGGTACCCTTAAATTACCTTCCAGACTATAGTCCCTGACATAATATGTAAACATTCTCACATACATCTGCTGTTTTCCAGATCTGGCCACCTTTGATGGAGCTGAGAGTCGTGTGAGCACGCTAGTAGCTGCCGCCAACAGCCATGATAATCTGTGCCGGATGGACCCGGCCTGGCACCCATGGTTGTAAAGACTGCTGACTTCACACGCTGCTGTTATAGTGTTTGAAATGAAGCCTGAAAGTCAAGGAGTCCTTGTCATTGCCCTCAGGCTAAAAGTTGGAAGATTTAGAGGGTGTTGGATTCAAATACTACTGGAGCAAACCTCAAGGACCTCTCTTTATTTCGAGCACTGTGTATCCAACAATATACTAGCCAACTAGGCATAATCTGTGGGGGTGCACCTTCATCAGTGTCTAAGGGGCACGGGTGACCCAGTCGTCGAGATTCGCTGTGAAGAGTTGCGTCCCTTGGGCATGCCAAAAACCTATGACTGTGGGTTCGAATCTCAGTTATGTTTCCAGGTTTGTCAGCACCATACCCGTGCTCGTGGGTTTCACCGAAGTGGTAAAAGTCTGAGAACTTCTGGCTTTCCGCCCACTAAAAGGAGCGTCAAACCCAACTCACTCACTCACTCATCAGTGTCTTTTCAGCAATGGAGTGCTGACCAAAATAGTTGCTATACCACTCCGATATACATACAGCTAGTGTGAATTACAGAGTTGTGATAGCTTGGGGAACTTGTTTGGGAGCAAAGGCGGCACCTCGAAATGTTAACTCCGGAACTTTTTCCAATCCAGGTCTTCAAGAAGCTCTAATTTGGATGAAAACACCTGGAAACGGAATCTAACAGAATTTGTTTTCATTGCATTGCATTTGATACCATGAGTAGCGGAGCATGGTATCGGTGTTAACCATTGTCATTTCATGTCATTGATGCATGGCCATGGACCCACACCAGAACAAGTGTTTGTTCCACACACTCCCTCAGGCTCATGGGAGACGGGTCCCGACTCACCACATGACCAGATATCTATAAGATGCGACTTACAACAGCTATTTTAAGATGTTGTATCAAATTATGATGAATTTCTTTGGAATGTTTTTTTTCTTTTTCGCATCCATATTTGCTGAATGTCTGCTTCGTCTTGGTTTTGTGATTCAGTTGCCTTCATCAAAGGGCCAGACTGAACCTCGGACAGGACTCAGCTGACATGATTTGTATTCTGCATGTAGAACAGCTTGTGTTTCTGTTGGAGTTATGTTTGAATTTGTGTTGTTGATTTCATGTCTAGTTTCACGAGTCGTTAGGGGGCCCAGTCATCTAAGACGCCACGATTCGCTGTGCAGAGTTGCGTACCTTGGGCGCGCCAGAAACCTATGAGTGTGGGTCCGAATCCCGGTTCGCCCCGATTATGTTTCTAGGTTTGTTAGCACCATACCGTGCTTGTGGGTTTCACCAAAGTGGTATACGTCTGAGACCTCAATCACTTTGGGCTTTCCTACCACATTAAGCTGACAAGCCGTGATATAACTGCAATAATGTTAAAAGTGGCGTTAAACCCAACTCACTCACACTCATGAGTTGTTAATTTTCAAATAAGTTTTTCCAATGTATGGACAAGGACAGAGTTATGGGCCTTAGCTGTAGTGAGGTTCATTGGGTGTGGGTTTGAATCCCAGATTCGCCCCAACTATGATGCTTTGTGGTCAGCCTCATATCCATGCTAGATGCCAGACTGATCATGGGTTCGAATCTAGGTTTGTCAGCACCATACTCGTGCTTGTGGGTTTCACCGAAGTGGTAAACGTCCGAGACCTGCATCACTTCAGGCTTTCCTCCCACTTTAAGTTGACACGCCGTGATGTAACTGGAATACTGCTCAAAGCGGCAATTAAACCCAACTCACTCACACTCACTCCATGCTCGAGTTGCAGCTGAAATGGAAATGGTTCCGTCCTGCGTGACTTGTTTTCCTTCCACAATTCACAAACTCCTCCCAGGTGAAGGATCATATTGAGAGATTGTATGGAACATGGTTATTGGTGCTGTCTGTCCAGACATTTTGTTCATGAACCAATATGTTGTAAATTTGAAATCGGTAAAGAAGGCATTCTTTCCCATCTTCTTGTAATCACTTTCATCACAATGTATCGAGTTCATCATGTATGTGCTTTTCATTGACTCAGTGTATTTTGTACATAGATGTATTAATGTACATTGTTCTGAATGCAATCATGAAAATGTGAAAATTTCTACATTGTGAACACTGTCTCACAAACATTTTCAGTAAAGATGAAATGAGACTGCAAGACCTTTGTTGTTTATTCATCCAATATATGCCCGTGATATTTAATCTGTGAATCCCTGGTTCTCCCATTGGAAGCTGATTAACATGGAGATAATGTGCTCATGTTGTCAAATAGTGGTTTGTCTGGTCCAGGTTCACAGGTCGCTGATAAAGCTGACGTATTACTGACTGCTGCACACAATAAGGCTGTGGAGTGAGATAATCGCTGAGGTACTTGTTGACGAGACTTTAAAAGTTTAAAATCCCATTCAATCTAAGACTATGATTAAATTGTAAAGTTGTATAACATATATGTTTGTTAAATTATCGAGTCTGGACCAGACAATTCAGTGAATGACATCATGAGCATCGATCCACGCAATTGGGACCGATGACATGCATCAACCATGTCAGCGAGCCTGACCACCCGATCCCGTTAGTCACCTCTTACGACAAGCAGAGTCGCTTTTTACTGCAAGCATGGGTTGCTGAAGACCTATTCTACTCCGGATCTTCACGGGTCTGTATAACATGAAATATGTATCAAAATATAATAATAGTATAACAATATGGCATAATGGTTCCCCGGATTTCTGCTTTGCTCACACAATAACCATGGTTACAGAAAAAAAATCTATGTACATGCGACAGGAGGCAAGAGCGAGGTGACAAATTTGCTCAACAGAGTTATGTCCCTTAGTGGACTGCTGTCATGGGTTCGATTCCCATCATCACCCTGATATTGATCTTTGGCTTGTCCGCAGCATACACGTGTTTAAGGGATTTACCAACCTGGTAAATATCTTTGAACTTTGGGCTCTCTGCCAACTTCAAACTGATATGCTGTGATGACAGGAATTCTGCTCAAAGCAGCATTAATCCCACCTCACTCACACATGGTGAAAAGGTGGTCGTATCAGCTGACATAGGTAATGAACCCAATATGAAAACACTATCATAATACCCCCAACAGCAATTTATCAAAATAGATCAAGAAAATCAGATGAAAAACATATGATCATGTGGAAATTTATACATATATAGTGAAAAAAATCATTCAATAGCATATGCAAACTTAACAATTGTAAATATGGTGTAATTCACCATTGATTTTGTTTTATGCAAGATTAAAATAAAATTATTTCTGGCATTATTCGAAGTGTTAAACCACAACAATTTAGTACATTTTCATCTCTGCCTCTCAAGCAAACACCCGCATCACATCATTTTGTTGTCCCTATGCATTCATACAGATGAAGAAAATCAATGCTCCATTCTTTCATTACTTGATGAGAGAGAGTTAATATTTAACGTCACATCGGCAATATTTCAGCCATACTGTGATATTACTTGATGAAATGCACCATATCCATAGTGCTACAAAACATTCCCACTTCAACTCAATCACGTCCACAAACAATAACTGTATACAAATGGATTGAAATGTTTAAAAAAACACAAAATACAAACTTAAATGTCCGTTGCCTCACATTTTTGTTAAAACATGGATGAAATTCAAACTATTAATTTATCGCAACCTTATTCAACTTAAATATATTCTATGAAAACAGGAGTAGTTATCATGTATATCAACATAGGAAATATCACAAGATTGTTGGCGTCTGCATTCAATGACCATCATGTAAAGGTCTTGCTTAAAAACAAAATGATCGTTCCTACTTAGTGTCTGGAATTCTTCAGCTCGTGTTGGAATCAATCCTTGGGTATAAATTATTTCTCTGTAAGCTGATTACAGTCCAAAACTGGAAGATTACCTGCTCATATCATATGATGAATAAAGAAAGGTGTATTCTACAGGCCTCATGTTTTGGCAACGATAGAAATTGGCACTAGTCCTTGCCAAACTGCCCAATAGTTTAGGTATCATAAGGACTAGAATAATTCTGCCATTTTTAAAGGCTTTACTACGGTATGTGTTCATTATAATGACAAGTGGAATAAAAATTTTAGTTTGTATCGCTGGTAAATTGGGAAAAATTGTTTTGTCCAAAATTAGAATTTCTTTATGTTCTTAAATTCAGAGGTTATTTAGCATTTCATTCAATGCTATAATTGATTGAAATGTTTAAAAGAAGTTTTCAGGCCATTTTTTTTTCTTGGTCCTGTTATCAGAGGAATGAAAGTTGAGAATTTGTTAATTGTTACCAGCTTCTGCTGTACAGGGGGTGGTCGGGTAGCCTAGTGGTTAAAGCGTTCACTCGTCATGCCGAAGACCCGGGTTCGATTCTCCACATTGGTACAATGTGTGAAGCCCATTTGTGGTGTCCCCCCGCCGTGTTATTGCTGAAATATTGCTAAAAGCGGCGTAAAACCATACTCACTCACTCACTTCTGCTGAATATTTGAACCTTGGGTAGGATATTGGCCTCCGCTAGATAAGGCCTCGAAATCTCATATAATCAAAGCATAAAATGATTCGAAACTGTCTGATTGTCAGCGTCCTTCAAGGCACAGTGTGTACTGATTGGCTGGTGGAGCTGATCACAGCTTACTGGTGGTCTTCATGGTCCATTCGCTCATGGGTGGGGTCACCTCGAGCCTGCTCAGTCGACGAAGGAGTTCGCAGGGCATCCAGATACTCTGGTTGGCTGGAAACACACATCAAAGTGTATGATTGGAACAGTGTAATCATGAGGGCACGAAGTTGCATCAATGCCAACAGACGAAATAAAAGTAGTTTTGAAGATATTGGTATCTTGTTCAATGACCAGCATGGGTCTAAAAATGGATACCAATTGTGGCTGTACCAATGTTAGTCATGATTAAAGTATCCAAGAAGATTGTGTTTGTCCTTGGACTGGATGCCAAATACGGTGGCCCAGGCATCTAAGGTCCCACAATTTGCAGTACAGGGTTGTGCCCTTCAGGGTGCCATGGTTCATGGGTTCAAATCCCAGATTTGCCCTAGTTTTGATCATTGGTCTGTCAGCGCCATACACATACATGTGGGTTTCACCAAAGTGGCAAACATCTGCATCACTTCAGGTTTTCCTCCCATATCAAGCTGACACGCCAGGAAATAGTGTCAATAAACTCAACTCACTCACCTATCACATGAATACAGATTTCTTTTCAGCTGATTGTCTAATTTGTTCACTTCCTATTCATATTACTAGCATTTATATTGAGACATTGCATTGAAACGATAAAGAAGAAATTTTGGACCCTATTGATATACAACTGATGACAGACCAATTTCACCATGTTATCTTGAAACTTATTCAAACAAATACTTATTCATAATTTGTGGATAATTTGTGGTTTGTTATGTATTAATAGCTTTTTATTGACAAATTTCTACTCACGGTAGCGCTCATGAAACTGGCATATTTTGTCATACACACTGCGCAGACCAACTTGACTGGCGTAAAACATTGGTCCACCTTGGTACCGTGGAAACCCGAAGCCTAGGAGCCTGAAAATAGCATTATCATTTTATATAGTCGAAGACATGCGGTCATCTTGTACCACAAACTGGGACAACAGTCTGACTACACTCACCAGCAGATGGCTGCAAGAGGACAACTGCTCTCGGTAGGAACGATCATACAACACCAGCTGACATCTGAGAGGGCATGTCTGTTTTGGCAAAGGACAGCAGTATGACAACACTCACCAGCAGATGTCAGTCTGACTACACTCACCAGCAGACGTCAGTCTGACTACACTAACCAGCAGACGTCAGTCTGACGACACTCACCAGCAGACAGCAGTCTGACTACACTAACCAGCAGACGTCAGTCTGACTACACTCACCAGCAGACAACAGTCTGACTACACTCACCAGCAGACGTCAGTCTGACTACACTCACCAGCAGACATCAGTCTGACTACACTAACCAGCAGACGTCAGTCTGACGACACTCACCAGCAGACGTCAGTCTGACTGCACTCACCAGCAGACAACAGTCTGACTACACTCACCAGCAGACAACAGTCTGACTACACTCACCAGCAGACAACAGTCTGACTACACTCACCAGCAGACAACAGTCTGACTACAGTCACCAGCAGACAGCAGTCTGACTACACTCACCAGCAGACGTCAGTCTGACTTCACTCAGCAGCAGACAACAGTCCGACAACACTCACCAGCAGACAACAGTCTGACTACACTCACCAGCAGACATCAATGTCCTCAGGTTTAGCTGCCACTCCGTCCTCCAGGCATCGGAAGCCCTCGTTTATTGCTGCGTAGAATGTCCTCTCTATCACCTCCTGCATAACAAACAGCAATTACACATGTTCCATTGTATTTTTCAAGACACTCTGTTACTATCTGTTCTGGTTCTTAAGGATTTCATCATTGGACTAATGACCATTGAATTCCATTATTTCTGGCATTTTCCTCCTCACATTTTCCAACCAATCTTTTCTTCCCGATTTCAGTTCACAGCAAGCAGCAGGTAACGCTCAACTCTTCACTAACACTGCAGTTTGCACAAACTTGTTATGTGTGAGTGGAATGATGTCCCTTTGAACACAGAATACCAGACACCTCCGCCATATTGGTAAGTAATGTGCTCCTTATTAAGGGTTTCTGTGTTTCTTTTCACTGCCTCGCTAAAATAACAGAATGTTTGGGGGGCATACCCTCCACACAACGACTTGAAACATATTCTTCTTTCATAAGGAAATGTCATTTTTTATCTTCAAAGTTATGAGTTTGTGGAAATTTGTCTTGATGGATGTCACCGATGAGGTTCCGGCCCACAAATAATTTCAAGTAATATTTCAATGTTGATTTCCATTTTTTCACGTTTATGAATTGCTTTGATACTCAATTTTGAGGTTTGATCATACTAAACCATACAAATGCAAGTGGAGTCATCCTTTCTGCTTATTCTGAGCTTCATCATCTATTTTAAACTTAGTCACGATGTCCCATGCTGCTCTATTACTTGGATCAAACAAACATGGTGGATGGTGTCTGTAATCTGTAGGTGTGTACCTTGAACACTACTTTCAGAAACATGATGTGAGTGAGTGAGTGAGTATGGTTTTACGCCGCATTTAGCAATATTCCAGCAATATCACGGCGGGGGACACCAGCAATATCACGGCGGGGGACACCAGCAATGGGCTTCACACATTGTGCCCATGTCGGGAGTCGAACCTGGGTCTTCGGCGTGACGAGCAAACGCTTTAACCACAAGGCTACCCGACATGATGGCATGACAGATTAAGGTGGCCCATAATTCTGCTGGTCTATGATGTACATCAGTACCTGAGTGAACAGGACTTCACAAGCATATATCCAAATCTTATTGGTGTGATACGAATCATATTCTGATAAAGCACTTTCATTTAATATGTTGCATTTCTTTCTTTCTGCAGTTGAATCACAACCCTGTATCATATTTCTTCAATTCAGATATAGAAGATGGGACTTTGTAGGGTAGAAATACAGGCTAGAGGGCACTAGGGATGTTATGCTATTAATAGACCACCGGGACATACTAGAGAATATGCGTAAACTGGTTGTTGTATAGTTTCTGTTACAATTTGGGTTGAGGTAGCCTAGTGGTTAAAGCGTTGGCTCATCACGCCGAAGACCCAGGTTCGATTCCCCACATGGGTACAATGAGTGAAGCCCATTTTCCGGGGTCCATCGCCGTGATATTGCTGGAATATTGCTAAAAGCAGCATAAGAGCATATCCACTCACTCACTCACTGTTACTATTCACATGTTTTTACATCAAACTAATTTGTGAAGTCATGTATCGTATGTATCACGATACAGGGGGTGTAAATCAATGTAATGTACCATGGGCTTTCTATTGGGATACAATACTGTATCAACGTATCGTGTCACCACTTTTCACAAGTTTTCTGCATGTTTGGAGAAGTTATGTTTGTGTGAAATTTAGGTCTAGATCGTGCCCACCAAAAATTGTCTTTCACTCAAGTCAAGTCTATAGATATTTCTTCTGCAAAACAGATTCATGTTGCAGCAAGTCATATACGTATAAAGGTGGAAAATATACATACTACTCAAAAGAAGTTAAGGATCATCCAATTCTTTAATATTACTATAGTTAATCTGCTACGCCAAATATTGCATCTACGTGCATAAAAATTGTGAATAAGTACACATAATTTAAACTGTAATTAGATTCAAGAAAGCATCACATACTGAATCATTAAACTTTAAAAATTAAAATTGTACAGCATGTCATATATATACATGAACTGCCAATACAAAATTTTTATGGAGTATTGCGACACACTGAACATTCACTGGATAATGACACCATTTCTTGCTTGGTGACATTGGGCAACCACACTGACTCTTGGCTTACTGGGGGCACGGGTGGCCCAGTCGTCTAAGGCGCCGCGATTCGCTGTGCAGAGTTGCGTCCCTTGGGCACGCTAGAAACCTATGATTGTGGGTTCGAATCCCGGTTCGCCCCTATTAGGTTTCTAGGTTTGTCAGTACCATACCCGTGTTGTGGGTTTCACCGAGGTGGTAAACGTCTGAGACCTGCATCCCTTCGGGCTTTCCTCCCACATTAAGCTGACACGCCGTGATATAACTGGAATACTGTTAAAAGTGGCGTTAAACCCAACTCACTCACTCACTCTTGGCTCACTGATTCCAGGATAAGCCTGAAACCCAAGCACAAAACCCTGCAGAGGAGTTTGCTGAAACAATGCTAACCTGTGGTGAAATACTGCGCCGCTGTATGCCAAGCTCCGTGCAGTGATCCAGTATTATCTGAGTGACCTCTGGGTCAGGGGTCGCAACCTTGCCACCAGATTTTTCGTACTTGTACCAACCTTTGCCTGAAAAATCCGCTTATCTTTATCACAGAGTTACAACTAGAAAGTGTTTTTAATCGTAAAAACATATGTCTCCCCCCACTCCCCTAACCCCCATTCATTCGTTTACTTCACGTTAAACCCCATCTGTTCATTCCCACAAAAATAATTCACAATATTTTAATTCTAGAATTGCTTTGAATTCAATAATATTGAAAAGATCAAATTCTTAAATTTCATTATAAGCAAAAGACACAGAAATATTGAAGGGGTGTTGAGTTTAGTTCTGGAACAAAGCCCATCCCAATACAGAGTCTGAGTTAAACTTGTCTCCATAAACAAGAAAAAATAAAATGTGAAAAACTTCTAAATAGCAAGAAGCACCACTTCAGGACTTGGTTAATATGTTACAACTTCATGAAATAATATTGAACAGTTTTTGAGTTATGGTCCGGAAACCAAGCTTACCCCCATTCAGAGTCTATGTTCAAGTTATCTCCATGGAAACGAGAAAAAATAAAAATGTCAAAAATCTCTAAATAGCCAAAGGCACCACTTCAGTGCTGGGTTAATGTGTATACAAAGTTTCGCGAAAAAATATTAAACGGTTTTCGAGTAATGGTCAGGAAACAAAGCTTACCCCCATTCAGAGCCTATGTTCAACTTATCTCCATGGAAACGAAAAAAAATAAAAATGTCAAAAATCTCTAAATAGCAAAAGGCACCATTTCAGTGCTGGGTTAATGTGTATACAAAGTTTCGCGAAAAAATATTAAACGGTTTCCGAGTTATGGTCCGGAAACCAAGCTTACCCCCATTCAGAGTCTGTGTTCAAGTTATCTCCATGGAAACGAGAAAAAATAAAAATGTCAAAAATCTCTAAATAGCAAAAGGCACCACTTCAGTGCTGGGTTAATGTGTATACAAAGTTTCGCGAAAAAAATATTAAACGGTTTTATGAGTTATGGTCAGGAAACAAAGCTTACCCCCATTCAGAGTCTATGTTCAAGTTATCTCCATGGAAACGAGAAAAAATAAAAATGTCAAAAATCTCTAAATAGCAAAAGGCACCACTTCAGTGCTGGGTTAATGTGTATACAAAGTTTCGCGAAAAAATATTAAACGGTTTCCGAGTTATGGTCCGGAAACCAAGCTTACCCCCATTCAGAGTCTGTGTTCAAGTTATCTCCATGGACACGAGAAAAAATAAAAATGTCAAAAATCTCTAAATAGCAAAAGGCACCACTTCAGTGCTGGGTTAATGTGTATACAAAGTTTCGCGAAAAAATATTAAACGGTTTCTGAGTTATGGTCAGGAAACAAAGCTTACCCCCATTCAGAGTCTATGTTCAACTTATCTCCATGGAAACGAGAAAAAATAAAAATGTCAAAAATCTCTAAATAGCAAAAGGCACCACTTCAGTGCTGGGTTACTGTGTATACAAAGTTTCGCGAAAAAATATTAAACGGTTTCCGAGTTATGGTCCGGAAACCAAGCTTACCCCCATTCAGAGTCTATGTTCAAGTTATCTCCACGGAAACGAGAAAAAATAAAAATGTCAAAAATCTCTAAATAGCAAAAGGCACCACTTCAGTGCTGGGTTAATGTGTATACAAAGTTTCGCGAAAAAATATTAAACGGTTTCCGAGTTATGGTCCGGAAACAAAGCTTACCCCCATTCAGAGTCTATGTTCAAGTTATCTCCACGGAAACGAGAAAAAATAAAAATGTCAAAAATCTCTAAATAGCAAAAGGCACCACTTCAGTGCTGGGTTACTGTGTATACAAAGTTTCGCGAAAAAATATTAAACGGTTTCCGAGTTATGGTCCGGAAACCAAGCTTACCCCCATTCAGAGTCTATGTTCAAGTTATCGCCATGGAAACGAGAAAAAATAAAAATGTCAAAAATCTCTAAATAGCAAAAGGCACCACTTCAGTGCTGGGTTAATGTGTATACAAAGTTTCGCGAAAAAATATTAAACGGTTTCTGAGTTATGGTCCGGAAACGGTGGGAACGCCGATGCCGACGCTGACGGGAACCGTGCCAAAAACAATATGTCTCCCTCCATTCTGGGGGAGACATAATTCCAAAGAAAGCCGTGGCCATGTTTAGCGTCCCTGCCACAGATTCTTTTCAACAGGGTCAATACATAAATATAGATTACTGTCTTCAAGTGCAGCCCAAAATGTGATCTAGCTACACAGCCTTACTGGTAGTAATTTTACTGATCTCCATTAGTCATCAATATATTCAAGCTGTGATATAAGTCACAATAAATTAATTGCCGTATTCGACGTAATAAGCGCCCAGGGCACTCTCAAAATTAGAAATAGGGGGCTCTTATTAGAATATTATTTTGGTGAAAAAAAACAGAGTTGAAAGATAAATTTTGTGGTTTATGCTGACAGCCTGAAATGTTTATGTACGACAGATATATTCTTCCAGGATTTAATTGCCCGTAATTAAGGGTGCATATAACACACGAGTGCGTATTATGCAGGAATAAATAAGCCTTGTGTACATTGATCAATCAGAATGGGTGCTAATTGGGATTGTTCACTAGCCAATATATTAGCAAATATCGACCTGGGCACTTATTAGAGCGGGGCGCTTATTACGTCAAATACGGTATTTTATTTTCATCCCTGTCCGCCTAGCTGTCAAACACTCTACCAGTCAGGAAAACTTGCTGCTGTGCAACAATGTCCATGTTACAGTATGGAAGTTTCCTTTAACATATCTGTTTGTTGTTTAATGCCACACTCAGCAATATTTCAGCCGTATGACAGCGATCTGTAAATAATTGAGTTTGGACATAATCGAATCATGAACATCGATCCACACAGTTGTGATACGACAAGCGAGACAATCAAGCCATTGACCTAATGAGCATCAATCCACGCAATTGGGATTGATTACATGCATTAACCAAGTCAGCCAGTCTGACCACCTGATCCCTTTAGTCGCCTCTCACAACTAGCATGGGTAGCTGATGACCATTTCTAACCCAGATCTTCACAGGGGCAGTATGACTGTATGGAATTGATAGTCATCTCACCATGCTGAACAGAAATAGGTGCTAACTCTCATTAGGGAGGAGGGGCGGTCGGGTACCGGTAGCCTAGTGGTTAAAGCGTTCACTCGTCATGCCGAAGACCCGGGTTCGATTACCGACATGGGTACAATGTGTGAAGCCCATTTCTGGTGTCCCCCGCCATGATATTGCTGGAATATTGCTAAAAGCCTTAACCACTAGGCCACCCGACCACCCTGTGTCCCTTCAAATGTAAAGCACCTTGAAACAGTAAGATGTGGCCATGTTGTGATGTGTCATGTGACAATCATGTGAATGAGATTTTAATTCCTTCCAGATCTTCCTCAGGGGTGTGTTGCAAACAGCCAATCGCTTGCAAATGATGTACAGCGATTCACCTTACAACGGAGCACTAACTTTCAGTCGCTTGCAATTCCACCAATCGCTGGCTGATGTCGTTTCGTTCTCAAACCAAAATGGCGGCTGACTGAAATTTGAGTTTGACAGTAGAACAAGAAATTCTTGTCTGAATCAACTGCGAAATGGGCAAAGGCAGCTAACATCCCCCAGCATACCCAGTCATCAATAGTCATCAACTCATTGGCTCGTCACCGAGCCACTTCTATTACACTCTACATTAGGGCAAGGCAACCAAGCGCTAGTCGCACCGCCATTTTGGAAGAGTTTGCAAGCGCTTCGAGCTCTTGCACACCCTGGGGTGAGCGATTAATTTGCCGACTCTAAGCGAATCATGGCTTGCAACATGCCCCTAATGTCCTACTGTATAAGTTGTACTGAATGTGCACACACAGAACCCAATCATGTACTTGCCCACTTTCCGTCCAATACGACCTTTCTGGACCAGTCTGTCTGACAGAGAGCTGTAGCGGTCGCCGCCCATGAAACGTGTAGCAAAGGTCAAGGTCATGCCCTGTGCCTGAGCTATTTCTCTCCGGATGTTCCATCCTATGTCCAGACCTGAATACAGATGCACAAAGTCACTGTTAGCTTAAGTCCTTGGAAAATCAGTAACTCCCACATTTTCTCTACCAGAAGTCACAAGTCAAAATGCTCACATCTAAAAGTTCATGTGAATGCAGTAAAATATCCTCAATAATCAAAACTATAAAAAAAAAAGCTGACATGTGATCGGCTCAAAAACCTCACATCTTTAATTTTGATTGGTGAATAGAGCGTCTCTGCACAGAGCGGAAGGTCAGTAGTTCAATCCACTGGCTGTATCATACCAAGAGACATTAAAATTGGTACTTGTTGTTACCCTGCCTGATGCTAATTAATGTGCAAAAAACAAGGACTCGTCAGCTCAGTGGGGTATTCATGTTACAATGAGGTATGATAGTAGTGGGCTAGTACTATAAAACCGGCATTAGTCCTGACTAGTACAAGCAGCCACATGCATGGACACACGGACAGACACATGCAGACATGCTTGTGTCCCCGGGCAGGTAAGCACATCGCTATATAAGTGCAAAATCTTGAACACAACATTAAACGCAATTTCACCTCACCTTATCACTTTTTGATTGGGCACTCAATGTCTCTCAGCGATCATAAGACCTGACTTCTAATTGAGTATTTGTCAGAATGTGACAGAGGTATCAGATTAAGATAGACTGCAACAGATCATGAAAGACTGTAATGATTCCTCAGTCACCTGAAAGGTCTCCCACAGCAAACGTCCCCATGGGCATCCCAAAGTCTGTGAGGACCTGGTCCACTTCCTGCGGCAGGCTTCCTTCCTCCACTAGAAAGGTTGCCTGGCAACACAAAATAACTCCGCATTGCTCATTGGTCAACAAATATAAATGAAAGACCAGTATATCTCAATGTCTGACCTAGATTGTGTTTGCATGTGAGTTTGATTTAACGTCGCTTTGAATATTCCAGTTACATCCCGGTGTGTCAGCTCAATGATAGCTCATCTGGGGAGGTTGGTTGGTTTGTTGTTTAACGCTGCACTCAGCAATATTCCAGCTATATGACGGCGGTCTGTAAATAATCGAGTCTGGACCAGACCATCCAGTGATTGACATCATGAGCATCGATCCACGCAATTGGGATATGATGACATGCATCACCCAAGTCATCGAGCCTGACCACCCTATCCCGTTAGTCGCCTTTTACGACAAGCATAGTCGCCTTTTACGGCAAGCATGGGTTGTTGAAGACCTGTTTCTACCCCGGAATCTTCACGGGCTCATCTGGGGAGGACATACAGTATTACCAGATTTTACAATGCACATTATGATCACATTCATGAGATAACTTGGTGCAATAGGACGCACAATCCAAGTTAGCAGCTACAATAGAGCTAGACTATTGATAACCTCGAGAATCATATTTAGTTTCTCTGGTCACATTTACATTTCTTCATCAATTTATTAAAAGGTGAAGTTGAGATGCCAATATTTTGATCTGAATTGCTTCATGAATCATGAGTCCACATACTACATGAAGGGACATTTACACATTTAGTTAATTGTTTATATTCCACTGCACAAAACCTTCTGATAACAACACACACAACTTTTTACTAATTGGGGGAAACAGGCTATTGTGAAGGTAAGTGACGTGTCACACCCCAAGTTCTTTGTCCACACATTCATTTGTATGTTACCATCTTCCCGAGGCAATGAGTTAACTGACTATAAAAGTCCAGTTTCCACCCTTGCCAAACTAGGCTGGTATTATGGAGTTACATTTTGGCTGGACTAACGAGTCTATGCATAGTCCAATCAAAATCACGCACCGAAATCGAAATCCGGTTCGTTAAGTGTCATGCAGATTTCGGTCGACTGCAGCATTTGCAAAACATGTGCACCGCTAACTCGTTGTCAACAGATATTTTCTTAATCTATTCATGTTTTTAATCAAAGTGCTCACGTGATTTGATGCACTTTGCGATGTGAGACTCGTTTTATCACAATATAGATCTTGATTATCGATCAGATCATCTTGACTGGGCGCCACTGTTTTTTTTTAAGCAAATGCAAGTGATACGAGAGGTTGAATCTTATTGGTCTGTAGGAGAGGCATAGAAAGGACATAACTCTCAATAGCCACTGGTGGCGCTACGATCGAGCCCAGTAATTACAGCCTAGTTCGGCAAGGGTGGAAACTGGACTTTTAAAATGTTCTTTGCTTAAAGCCACACTCAGCAATATTCTAGCTATATGACATCACTCTGTAAATAAATTGAGCCAGATCATCCAGTGATTTATATTGTAAGCAACGATCTACACCGTCAGGGTACGATGACATACCATCACCCAAGTCACCCTGGGTGACCTCCCGATCCAATTGGTCGTCACTTACATCCAGCATAGTTGCTGGGGACCTGTTGTACCTTGGAATCCGCACAGGGGACAAGTGCCAAATGATTTGTTTGTTTGTTGTTTAATGCCGCACTCAGCAATATTACAGCTATATGATGGCAGTGTGTAAGTAATCGAGTCTGGACCAGATAATCCAGTGATTGACATCATGAGCATCAATCCACACAATTGGGATATGATGACATGCATCAACCAAGTCAGCGAGTCTGACCACCCTATCCCGTTAGTCGCCTCTTACAACAAGCATAATTGCCTTTTAAGGCAAGCATGGGTTGCTGAAGACCTTTTCTACCCCGGATCTTCACGGGTCAGTGCCAAATGAGACAACATACCTAACTAGCTGTGCATATCTCACCTGTGTGCCGTACTTCTGCATGGTCCTGTTGGCCACAAAGGAGTTGCAGGTGCCGACCAGCACAGACACCTGACAGACAGCGACAACATGTCAACTTCAGACACACCAAGCAGTGCATTATCACAATCAGTTTTGTTACAATCAGTATCATACCAGTGATTTATCTATACGTGGGCCCTGTTCCACAAAGCAATGTACCGCTACAACTGTCGTAAGTCTATCATGTATGTTGAAGTGTAAGTGTTACGATCGTCTTAGCTCTATGTTTGCTTTGTGGGCTTGAGCCCAGCTCAGAGGCTGATATTCGGATCTTAGGGGAGATTTGAAGTAATATTTTCATCAAGTTTTAATAATATGATTTTAAATAATTTATTCTTAATGATAGCAAAAGTAAATCTTATTTTCTTACATTTTACTTATTTCTGGTCAGCAGAATTAAAAAAAACAACAATGGTAATAATTTTTTAACATTTCAATTTCAGGGAGTTGGCAGATTCCTAAACAAATTTTCCAAAAAGTCGTGCCTAACTAATGACATACCATTCCAAGCTTCTTCCCCAACTGCATGATGGTGGCGACTGTTGTCCCTGACGTTGCTTTTCCATACACATTCTCCAGAAGTCTCATCACATAGGCCGGCACAAAGAAATGCATCCCTGCAACCCTGTCTGGGCGATCTGTTGCAGACGCAATCTGACAGACAACGAAAGAATCATCGATATTTGACTCAAACGGAAACTTATGATTAGGCAAACTTTCCACCTGATAAACAACTGAACCAATATCAGTAATATGAGACACAGTGCCTTATCTCTGTCACTCATCAGGCAGCCCAGTTGTAGCACCCTGTAACATTAACGTGAGATAACTGTAACAGACAGGAATTCAGTTGTAGCACGCTGTAACATTAACTTCCTTTTCAAACTTGTATGAACTCTTAACCTACCTGCAAGATGCAGGTACCTACCCAATCACTTACCTGCAAAGTACTCACCCACTCACTCACCTGCAAGGTACTCACAGACACCTGCAATGTACCCATGCACTCACACACCTGCAAGGTACCAACCCACTCACTCACCTGCAAAGTACCCACCCACTCACTCACCTGCAAGGTACCCACCCACTCACTTACCTGCAAGGTACCCACTTACTCACACACCTGCAAGGTACTCACACAAACCTGCAAGGTACCCACTCACACATACCTGCAATGTACCCATGCACTCAAACACCTGCAATGTACTCACCCAATCACACACCTGCAATGTACCCACCCACTCACAAACCTGCAAGGTACCCATGCACTCAAACACCTGCAATGTACCCACTCACACACACCTGCAATGTACCGACCCACTCACACACCTGCAATGTACTCAATCACTCACACACCTGCAAGGTACCCATGCATTCAAACACCTGCAATGTACTCACCCTCTCAAACACCTGCAATGTACTCACCCACTCAGACACCTGCAATGTACTCAATCACTCACACACCTGCAAGGTACCCATGCACTCAAACACCTGCAATGTACTCACCCACTCACACACCTGCAACGTACCCACTTACTCACACACCTGCAATGTACCCACCCACTCACACACCTGCAATGTACCCACCCACTCACACACCTGCAATGTACCAAACCACTCAAACACCTGCAATGTACTCACCCACTCACACACCTGCAAAGTACTCACCCACTCACACACCTGCAATGTACTCACCCACTCACACACCTGGAATGTACCCACCCACTCACACACCTGCAATGTACCCATCCACTCAAGCACCTGCAAAGTACCCACCCACTCAAGCACCTGCAAAGTACCCACCCATCCACACACCTGCAATGTACCCACCCACTCACGCACCTGCAATGTACCAACACACTCACACACCTGCAATGTACCCACCCATCCACATACCTGCAAAGTACCCACCCACTCACACACCTGCAATGTTCACACCCTATCACACACCTGCAATGTACCCACTCACTCACACACCTGCAATGTACTCACCCATCCACATACCTGCAAAGTACCCACCCATCCACACACCTGCAATGTACCCACCCATCCACATACCTGCAAAGTACCCACCCACTCACACACACCTGCAATGTTCCCACTCACTCACTCACCTGCAATGTACTCACCCACTCACACACCTGCAATGTACCCACCCACTCACAAACCTGCAATGTACCCACCCACTCACACACCTGCAATGTACCCACTTACTCACACACCTGCAATGTACCAACACACTCACACACCTGCAATGTACCCACCCACTCACACACCTGCAATGTACTCACCCTCTCAATCACCTGCAATGTACTCACCCACTCAGACACCTGCAATGTACTCAATCACTCACACACCTGCAAGGTACCCATGCACTCAAACACCTGCAATGTACTCACCCACTCACACACCTGCAATGTACCCACCCACACACACACACCTGCAATGTTCACACCCACTCACACACCTGCAAAGTACCCACTCACTCACACACCTGCAATGTACCCACACACTCATACACCTGCAAAGTACCCACCCATCCACATACCTGCAATGTACCCACCCACTCACGCACCTGCAATGGACCCACCCACTCATGCACCTGCAATGTACCAACACACTCACACACCTGCAATGTACCCATCCACTCACAAACCTGCAAGGTACCCATGCACTCACACACCTGCAAAGTACCCACCCATCCACATACCTGCAAGGTACCCACCCACTCACACACCTGCAAAGTACACACCCATCCACATACCTGCAATGTACCCACACACTCACAATGTACCCACTCACACACACACCTGCAATGTACCCACCCACTCACACACCTGCGAGGTATCCACACACTCACACACCTGCAAGGTACCCACGCACTCACACACCTGCAATGTACCCACGCACTCACACACCTGCAATGTACCCACCCACTCACACACCTGCAAGGTACCCACACACCTGCGAGGTACCCACTCCTCAACTCACCATGTTGATGTCCAGGGAAGATGTGTTGCTGCACAGGATAGTCTCAGCTTTACAAAGTTTGTCCAGCCTCCCAAATATCTGCTTCTTCAGACTGAGACTCTCAAAGACTGCCTCGATCACCTGGAGGAAAACATGGAACCAAAGAAACAGGGTGGCTGAATGGAGGGATAAACAGATGGGTTATTTGTTTACTGTGTAACACAGCAGTCGGAAATATTCCAGCCAAATCATAGAGGCCTGTAAGAATCAAGATTAGACCAGATATACCAGTGTTTGATATCATAAGCAGTATCCCAGACTGTTTGAATCAACCAAATCAACAAGCCTGACCACACAATCCATTTGGTCGCCTCTTACGACAAGCATAGGTTGCAGGGGACCTATCCTAGGTCCCCCAGGGACAGATGGGTGATATGTATAGAGGAAGAATCCTACCAAGTCGACATCCCGGAGATCGTCCATGTTGACTGTGGCTTTGAGCAGAGACATACACTTCTGCAAACCCTGAGGACTGAGTTTCTTGAGGCGGACACTCCCTTCTAGCACCGACTTTATCATCGCAACTCCCCGGTCCAGGAACTGCAAACAACAGAAACATGTACTGGAAGATTCATCTTCCCGAGGCAAGCGTGTCCACTAGTCTATATCAAAGCCTAGTTTCTACCCTTGCCACATCAAGGCCACTTTTCTTGCCTCGACCCTTGTGCCATCTCACGTACATCACAAGTTGTGCCCCTTGTTATGAAAACACGATATCCAATCAGATCGCTGTTATCTTGTATAGCTTCACAAAGATGGTGACTACCAAGTCGCTCAGATAACGATTTCATCCCTGACACAAAAACATACGCAATTGTTGGGTGGTTTAAAAGATGACAAAGACATATTCATGTCAACAAAGACAGGCAGTGATTAATCACTTTCATACAAAGGTGTACCAGTCGTGGATGTTGATTTATTGAAATGTTCTCTGATTGGACTATCCACATGTGCGATAGTCCAATCATATTTAGCACAGTAAAGTGGGCTTGATGTGGCAGGGGTGGAAACAAGACTTTGATGAAAAGGTTAGTGGATGCTCTTGCCTCGGGAAGATGTGGAAGAGAAGAAAGCACTTCAGCAAGCACCTGTTGCTGCCATTATCGTGCCATGATCACGTGAACGACATTTTTCTCTCACTTTCAAACCTAACACATAGCCTTTCAGTCCAGGTGACTCATAATGCAGCTGAGATTAAATTTGTTTTAAAGTTTTATCGTTTTAAAATAAAAGTGTTGCCTTCTAGTATGGAAACAGACAATGTTAATGTGACAACAGAATTGACACTGCGTCACTTCAACTACAAAACACAGTAACATGTAAACTCTCCTGCAGAAGGGTGTGTAATAATTGTTTGTTTGTTGTTTAATGCCGCACTCAGCAATATTACAGCTACAAGATGTCGGTCTGTAAATAATCAAATCTGGACCAGACAATCCAGTGATTGACATCATGAACATCGATCAACGCAATTGGGATACAATGACATGTATCAAACCAAGTCACTGAGCCTGACCACCCGATCCCGTTAGTCCCTCTTACAACAAGGATGGGTTGCTGAAGACATATTCCACCCCGGATTTTCACGGGTCGTATAATAATTAGTAGTGCAACCTTCCTATCTTGTTCCACCAACGTCACAGGCAGGCCCGCTCTCAACACCGTCACCGCAATGCCACTTCCCATGGTGCCAGCACCGATCACACCGACCGTCTTTATGGGGAGAGGTTTACATGTCCGATAGCTTTCCCCTGTTGGGAGTTGCCACTACAAACACAGGGTAAGGAAACAAAATAATTTCTGAGTCTTCAAAGTTTAAGATTGTAATTTATTTTGTAATAAGGTATTGTTGTTTTCTTTTATAATCTGTAAAGAAAGAAAGCACATGATAAAGAGATATTGAGTTCAGATAGAGCAGATCGTCACATTTAGGGTGTCTGCTGACATGTTTTGTGTTCACTATATCCATGAATTGATTTTTAAGTTGTTTTTTTCCTCGAGAAACTAATGAGAAGCTTATTGTACTATTGATGAGAGTAGTATGTCATAGGGGGGTCTCTGGACAACCACCCCCATACACACACACCTTTTGAAAACCAAATGTAGCACTATGTTGTAAAATTGATTAAATGTACAAGCTCTAAAACATTTGCCCATGATGACTCTGAATAAAAGCCGACCTTGGAAATGTCGGACAAGTCCATTTTGCGTTAATCTTTTTATTTCTCACAATCTTCATGTCAATTATTATCTGTACCTTTTGTCCTAATAGCACTTGTCACATTGGATGTGATTGTTCGGCCACTGCGTTTATCTGCGTAGCCCAGCTACAAGGGGAACAACTCACTGGACACTTCCCTCTCAAAACTCACGTCGTCCAATATATGACGTCATCAGGTTGTGAACGCATATTCGAATCACCAGAAATGACGCCATGATAGAGCAGTTTTTTATTGTGAAATAAAACATGCTTTGATCTTCATTGTTCTTTGCGAATTTTTTTAGTTTTTAGTAGAGTGAGTGAGTGAGTGAGTATGGTTTTACGCTTTTAGCAATATTCCAGCAATATCACGGCGGGGGACACCAGAAATGGGCTTCACACATTGTACCCATGTCGGGCTTTAACCACTTGCCTACCTCACCGCCCGTTTTTAAGTAGATATGTTATATAAGAGCTTATAGGATTCACAGTGACCCCAATCTTTTTTCATCTACCCCTCTCACAAAAAGTACAAAACATACCACCTGACACACTTATATTAAAATGAGTTACCCTTGCTGTTGCTCGCTCAGCAAAGAATGCATACTGCAACGCCCGAGCCTGCCCAGATCTCATCAGGTCCGTGAAGAGTCTTGATTCTTCATTTACACCTTCTTCATAGTTGACTGCTGTTACTGCCGCCTTCACAGCTTGTAAGCATTTCTAGAAGGAAACCATTATGAATTAACAATTTTAACTAACACAACACTCAATAATATACTAGCCATATGATGGCGGTCTGTAAATAATCGAGTGGGCCAGACAATCCAGTGACTGACGTCATGAGCATCCTTCTATGCAATTGGCATACGATGACATGGATCAACCAAGTTAGTGAGTCTGACCACCCAATCCTGTTAGTCGCCTCTTCCGACAAGGACGGGTTGCTGAAAACCAATTCTAACCGGGATCTTCTTGAGGGAAGATCTATTAATATTTCTAGTGGATAACCAATGTTTTTACATGAACATTTAGCACTCACTGATACTTGGATCAATCCTTACACTTGATTGGAAGCCCACAAGAATACCTACCACTGGTGCTATGAAGCCTTTAAATCGTCTTGTTGCCTGCGCTAGTGCAGCTGAAACAAGAAAGCCGAGAGTATTTCTCAAATCACCATGGCTTTGCTTCCCCATGGCCCACTCCCTTGTCTTGCTGATGTGGAGCGGTGGGGTTGCCGAGTGGTTAAAGTGTTTTTTCGCAATAGATAACAGTTCTAAATGTCAAAACCAATTATCGATTAATCGCTCTACCTCTAGCTTTAACATATTTCAATCCATTGATGGTATGAAGTGAGTGACTGAGTATGGTTTTATGCCGCTTTTCCAGCAATATCATGGCGGGGGACCCCAGAAATGGGCTTCACACATTGTACCCATGTGGGGAATCGAACCCAGGCCTTGGGCGTGACAAGCGAACCCTTTAACCACTAGACTACTCAACCTCCCCCTTAAAAAAAATGATGGTACGAAGCGATGCAGCGAAGAATCATAGAAGCAGCTGAGCATCAAAGTCAAATCGCCAAAAATACTGTCATAATCATTTGCTCATCACGCCTTCAATAGGCATAATGTATGAATGTGTTTGTTGTATCCAGCAGTAATATTTCCTGAATATTGCATAAAATGGCATAAAACCTCATAAAACCTTATGTTCCTCATAATAAAGAAGTTGACATACATATATTCTCTTCCTTATGTGTATCACTTCTAAATGCCCTTCAAAGACCTGGCATAAAACCCTTCTCACTCACTCACACTTATGCTGTGTAAGTGTAACTGAACTTTCCACTTGTCTTGATTTCTACTCATCTATTTAAAGTTCTAATGATAAGCTCCATTAACTCTGCAGGGTTGTGTCCCTTAGGCATGCATGGATCCTATGACTGTAGGTTTGAATCTCAGATTCACGTCGATTATGAATCCTGGTTTGTTAGCATCACGTCTTTGCTTGTGTTTCCTTTAAGTCGTAAACATTCAAGACCTGACTGCCTCACACATGAAGCTGACAATGCTAAACTAAAATGCTGCTCAAAACAATTTGAAAGCAAATTCACTCACTTACTCTCATAAGATATGTCTGCTGTAACAATTCTTATACATACACGAGATATTTTTAAAGTAAGCTGAATCTGAATATCTGTAGGGAAAATGTTGACACATAAATGGCTGTGTAACAATTCAATCTCCTTTGCTGGTCAACTCGCCCGAGACTACTAAATTGTACTGAGGGCAAGTAAAATCCTAATGACCCAATGATAGTTGTCCTCATGGACTAGTAAGTGAGTGAGTTTGATTTTACACCGCTTTTAGCAATATTCCAGCAATATCACGGCGGGGGACACCAGAAATGGGCTTCACATAATGTACCCATGTCGGGAATCGAACCCAGGTCTTTGGCGTGACGAGCGAACGCTTTAACCACTAGGCTACCCGACCGCCCCTCATGGACTAGTAGCATATGAGGGTAATAATTCTGAACCAGTTCACAATTTTTAAAATTTTGCTACAAACACTGCGGATTAGTGCAATGAGGCTCACACTAGCCCTTTGGACAAGTCTTGCAATAAATGAATTGAAGAACATTTGGCATTACCATCATAGACAGCATTGAGGTTTTCCACAGGTGTCACAGGCCTGTTCCGTAACCTGCGATCATGGAGCGGTTTGCCGATGATGTTGTAGGCCAGCTTCATGCACTCTGACGACAGATCTTTATCAACAACCTGCAACAGTTAGGGTAGAACAACAGATATATTTTCCAGAATATAATTCCCCATAATGAAGGGTGCATACAACACACAAGTGCATATTATACACGAATAAATAAGTCTTGTGTACATTGATCAATCGGAGTGAGTGAGTGAGTTCGGTTTTACGCCGCTTTTAGCAATATTCCAGCAATATCACGGCGGGGGACACCAGAAATTTGCTTCACACATTGTACCCTTGATCAATCGGAAGGGATGCTAATTGGGATTGTTCACTAGCCAATATATTAGCAAATATCGCCGTGGGCGTTTATTAGAGCGGGGCGCTTATTACGTCGAATACGGTACTATTGAATGAAACCAAGATAATTGTTTGGATTCATTGTTAGAACAAAGATATTTACTCATATTTATCACCATTTCTTATGAACTGCAGTGATGAAATCACATTGTCGCTTTCATTTCACTGATTTCATGTCAAATCAACTAAAAATAAAAATGTTGGTCGGTCTCTTAAACCAACTAAAAGGAATTATTAGGCTTTATGTTCTGTTTGACCTGGATATTTACTGCACAACATCACTGATTAACAGAGTTCCACTGCAGCTTAGTGAACAGTTGACATCATCGCATACCCTGTCTAAAATGCCATATTTCAAGGCATCTGGAGCTGAAACATGCCGTCCACTGGCTATCATTTCCATGGCAACTGGCACCGTGGTAACCCTTGGCAACCTCTGTGTTCCTGCAGCTCCAGGCAGTATGCCTATGAGGACTTCAGGAAAACCCACTCTGCAAATTAAAGTTTCTTCTTTTATTCCTTCAGTTATTTGATAACATGTACCAATTTTTGATTATGGTGCACAGTCAAGCATTATGCGCTCCCCTCTAGCGGATGCAGTGTTTTGGGAAAAGCGTTTTTTTTTAGTATAATGCACAGTAAACAACTACACAGAATCACCTGAGGTGAAGGAACTGGAAATAATAAACATGGTCAATGAAAATTTGCAATAAATCATCAAACCTCCTTGGTGATGATGATGATGTTGTAGATTTAACGAGCGCTTCCGGTGTTGCCGATTTCAGGAGTTTACCTGGGGACTCAAGGTAATAAATTTGAGTGGTCCCACAAATTAATATGGGGGTCTCTGGGTGACCACTGTGCTAACAGCAAATATAATATCAACTAAGTGTGCGGTCTAATAGGGCTGGGATGAGTTGACATTTACTACCTGACCCCCTATTACCTGACCATATACCCAGGTACCCACTGTAAGTCTCAAGAGTTGGGTACAAAATGTGTAATTGAGAATTGTTTTACCACAGCCCTGGCAGAAACTATTTAGATACATATATCAAACAATCAGATCATGCGTACAGTGAAGTTTACTGAAGCTTTATCTTTACTCAAACATATACAAGTCAAAGGAATGTGTGCATTGTCAGAAAGAAATGTGAACATTAGCGACTTGTAGTGTAACCACTGATCTATAGTGTGTTTTTGTCATTTAACAATATATCATGTGACTAACCATGGGTCCAGGTAGTCCTGTGGGTATCCGGGTCCTCCTAAGGACCGACCCGACCAAAGTACCCGAGTTACCCGTCCCAGCCCTTCTGCTTATTACAAAAAGGGATTTCCTTCTTTGTATCAAAACTAAGTGAGCGAGTAAAAAAGGTCCTACATTGGCTGCTTGAACATTGATTTTATTTCTTAAAAGAATGGAAATATCCGATAAATATAATGACCATGTTTTAAATACACTAGATTCACTCATTCCAACATCCATTCTATTGTGTTTAATGGGACTCGCAGTGGATATTATTTGCATCAATTCTTAATTTTAAATGCAAATAGGATGCAAAGTTTTCTAAAATTTAAACTGTGATTCCAAGTACAGGACCCATCTTAACCAAGGCCCCGTTCCACACAGGGATCGTAGTGCTAAGGTGATCGTAACTCCCATACTTTACGACCATCGCTTTGTCGAACAGGGCCCTGGTTAAGTTGAGTCCAGGGTCCCCTTCCACAAAGTGATCGTAGCGCTACGATTGTCGTAAGTCTATGTTAAAGTATGGGAGTTACGATTGTCTTAGTGCTACGATCGCTTTGTAGAACAGGGTCCAGTACTTGGAATCAGAGTTCTTTTTCTTACGCCTCTTTACCAAACAAATAACAGCAGTGATACTGATATCATATGAGATAAATAAAGACTGGTAACAATAAATTCTAATATACAAGGCATCTCATTATTAATCAGTCCCAAACGAATTCTGCGGTAGAATTATCCAAACTCTGCTTTAAAATTACTGAAATTCTGCAGCTGAAATTTCATAATTCTGCTGTAAATTCTGCATTAAAAAAAAACATTTCCCCCTAAAAAATTAATACCAACTCATATGCATCATGTCACTCATATGAGAGTGAGTGAGTGAGTATGGTTTTACGCCGCTTTTAGCAATATTCCAGCAATATCACGGCGGGGGGACACCAGAAATGGGCTTCACACATTGTACCCATGTCGGGAATCGAACCCGGGTCTTCGGCGTGAAGAGCGAACGCTTTAACCACTAGACTACCCGACCGCCCCACTCATATTAGATGTAAACCTAGTTTATGTAGTCATAATACCACAAGAACTTCTAAAAATGATAATTATTTGTTTTAAATTTTAGTTTATTGTAGGATTAATATTTTTTAAGTTTAAATCACATGTCAAATGTGTGGGCATCACTCAATGCAAAATTGTATAAGAAACTTTGTTGATTTTAAAAAGGCTAAATTCTGCGATTTTTCTGCAATTCTGCAGGAACTCACATTTTCTGTAAGTTACATCTTTCCAGGATTGCGGATTCGCAGAATTCATCTGCAACTGATTAATGAAGAACAAGTATTTAGCTCACCTTGCACTTTTCAGTGCAATCCTGTAATGAGAAAACAGGGCTATTTCAAGTCCCCCACCTAGGGCATTGCCATGGATACCAGCAATAACAGGCTTCTCACTCGCCTCGATGTGTTCACCCACTGCAGTTAGCCATGGCCCTGTAAACATACAAATAGATGACGGGAAATGAGTCATTACCAAGCAGTTGTGACACATTTAATTTGGAGTGAGTGAGTGAGTGAGTGAGTGAGTGAGTGAGTGTGTGAGTGAGTGAGTGAGTGAGTGAGTGAGTGAGTGAGTGAGTGAGTGAGTGAGTATGGTTTAACGCCACTGTTAGCAATATTCCAGCAATATCACGGCGGGGGACACCAGAAATGGGATTCACACATTGTACACATGTCGGGAATCGAACCCGGGTCTTCGGCGTGACTAGCGAATGCCATTTAATTTGGAACCGAGCGTCACAGTCATCAAAAGAAAAGCATCAGATATCAAGCTCTCAGTTGGCCAAAAATCTCAAAGGTGACTTCTATCAAATCCTTTTGCCGAAAATGTATTGTCACACACACTTTGAATTTTGCAGTAGCAGTAACTCTGCATTTTGTAACCTATAATTGAACGTAAAATTATCTAAAAATAAATACACTTTGTTTGGGGGCGGAGGGGGGTGCGGTTGGGTAGCCTAGTGGTTAAAGCGTTTGCTCTTCACACCGAAGACCCGGGTTCGATTCCCCACATGGGTACAATGTGTGAAGCCCATTTCTGGTGTTCCCCGCCGTGATATTGCTGGAATATTGCTAAAATTGGCGTAATTCCAAGCTCTAAACTCACTCTCTGTTTCTTGGGCTCAAAGTGTCAGGTCAATAGCTTGAACAAATATATTTTTTAAATATTCAATTTCAGGTTGTTTTATTCATTACCCCAAAATTTTAAGTAGGTAGAAAAAAAAGTGTGAGAGGGAGGAAAATGTTTTTTTTCATAATTGATAATTGCATTTTGAAGTTTCAAGATAAATCAAGAAGCTTCAATTCTATATAAAAAAAAAATGATTTATCTTCATAGTGACAGCACATGAGTGTTTTATCAACATCATAAACATCTTGCTTATTTCTGGACAGCAGTATAAAAAGACATACTGCTTTTCAGTTGAAAAAAGATCATACCGTATTCGATGTGATAAGTGCCCAGGGCGCTCTTAAAATTAGAAATAGGGGGCTCTTATTAGAATTTTATTTTGATGAAAAAACAGAGTTGAAAGATAAATTTCATGGTTTATGCTGACAGCCTGAAGTGTTTATGTACGACAGATATATTTTTCCATAATTTATTAGCCCATAACTAAGGGTGCATATAACACACGAGTGTGTATTATACGCGAATAAATAAGTCTTGTGTACATTGATCGATCGGAAGGGGTGCTAATTGGGATTGTTCACCACCCAATATATTAGCAAATGTCGCCGTGGGCGCTTATTAGAACGGGGCCCTTATTACGTCGAATACAGTAATTAACATTTCAATTTTTTAGAGACGACAGAATCATAAACTAAGTTTTATAAACAGTCTGACCTCAGACATCTGGCCCACTGGGGCCTTCCTTTCTGGTTCTAACTGGTGTCTGTGAAGGTTCAACTAGTCCTGTTAGCTTACAGTAGCTAACTCTCCATGACAATACCTTGCATAGGTTTCCCAAATTCTTTGATATCTGCACCAGATATGAAGGTCGATCCTTTTCCAATAATGACGATGGCCTTAACAGCTTTTTCCTTGTTGGAGTGGTCAAGGCCTTCCACTAAGCCAACCCTCACTGAATGACTGTAGACGATAAATTTTACATTTGTACATGCTTATCAGGTAATTATTTCTGAAAATCTGATCTGAACAGATAAGAGGTGGACATGTCAAAAGAGTTAAGCCTTACTTTATCATGTGATTTCCTGAATAATGTAACAAAAAAAGTCTTTATTTGGATGGGTTTTTTTAATATCAGAAAGAAAGAAAATCTCAACAATTTACAACTTCAACCTTGCCCCTTTGCCATAAGAAATATATCACAAATAAGAAGACAAACATATTCAAATCAAATACAGATTCATTGTACGAAATGCCTTAATTAGGCCCATAATTATATAAGCTGCTTTATGCAATTCCACATTTGGACATAAACATAATAATTACATACATGTTATTTACGTCACATGGATCAAACAGATTTCAGTTTAACCCGAAATGTGTTTTTAGACATACACGTATTAAACACTGGTTATGCATACAGTAACATTGACTGGAGTTTTTGTTTATTCAAACACATATAAAGGTCAGAAGGAATGGGTGCATAGTCAGAAAGAAATACGAACATTAGTGAATTGTAGTGTAACCATAAAGTTCTAGATTTTTTTTTCTCCATTAAACAATATATCACGTGACTATAACCACTGGTCCGGGTAGTCCTGTGAGAACCTGGGTCCTACTCAGTACCAAATCGACCCGAGTTACCCGTCCCAGCCCCAGTAGACTCGATGCAAATATTAAATGCAAAATAATTCTAGAGACATGATGCAATGAATGTGCCGTCACGGAGATAGAAAATTGACAAATTTCTGTCTTGACGGTTCGTCTGAAAGTTCCAAAATAAAATTCTAATATTTTATACAGCTCAGTGGGTATGCATTTTTGGTTTTACATTTATTATTGCCACATAAAAAACACGAACCTCAATGCATTGACAGGCGGATTGTTGACTTCCAGAAATGCAATGGACCCAACTACTTTATAATCAACCATTTTTTTATGACTGTCACTTCAAAGTAACAAAGCATAGAAAATGTATGTCACTGTAGTAATTTTCAACAAGCACCTGTCTGCTAGAAAGTGAACTTTGAGCCAGATAAGTAGAGCTAACCCTTCAACTTCATTTACTGGACCAAAGTTCTCGCAGACAAACACAACAACAAAACTCCCTTTCAATTTTTTAATTAATGTCGATATTGTTTATGATGTTGTTATGTTAAATAAGCTAAATTAGCACTTGTGGTAACTTTTGTTTTGCAATTTCATGTTTATACGAAACTAAATATTTCATATTTGCATTTTGTTTACTTCCGTTTACAACATGGCGTCGAAACAAGACGATTCTCTCAAACACCTGCAAGATTTAAATATTATTCAGCACTACGCCAAAGATGTGGTTGATTTCAGTTCACAGTACGGAAGTGAAACAAGCATCTCTTACACTGCTTGTAACTTGGCCGGAAAATCAAATATTTATCCAGGCTATGGAGATTTTACTCAAGCGTGCGTGTTTGTAAGTAGACAGCTGATATGTTCGGTAGTTATCGTGGAAGTATTTTTGTCATAAATCAAGTCAACCATTTTGAGCCAGGCCCAGTGTTTTCCTTATTTGATCCATGTTCCAAGAAGCAGATGGTCTCTGCAAAAAGCGATCTTAACCGTGGGCGGATACAATGCTCTGACATGTCAGATGCACTAATGCAAACACACTCTTAGGCATGTTATGGGTTGATGGGGGTGAATGAATTGGTCAATTTCGTGAATGTATGAATCGGAGCCAATCAAAACAGACAAGCCAATTTGGTCTGAATGGCTATTTTTTGTTATCATTGGATTGTCAAGAGTGACCTATGAAATATCTGATTGAACCCAAATACAATCGTCGGATCATCATGATCATATGTTTTCTAACATCATACATTTTCCCATGACAATTTTTATCGTGAGTACTCCCACAATAAGAAGGGTTGTGTCTTCACAGAGACATTGTAAATACTCAGGTGATGGCATGTTTTTTAAGATAAAGTTGTCTTTTATAAGTGAGTGAGATATTTTAGGTTGTTCTTGTGACTAGCCAGAAAACTATGACTGTTTCTTAAGCGTCTTAAAACCCATAACATGGGGATATATCATTGTTTGTTTAATTTGTTTGTTGTTGAACGCCGCACTCAGAAATATTCCAGCTATATGATGGACGCCTGTAAATAATCGGGTCTGGACTAGACAATCCAGTGATTGATATTGTGAGCAACAATCCACACCGTCTGTTTACGATGACACACAATCCCAAAAGTCACTGAGTGGGACCACCCAATCCACTACTGACCAACATCGGTTGCTGGGGACCTATCCTAACCCGGAATCCCGACAGGGGCCACATCTTTAGTCATATCTAAACAAATTCATGAATGGCAAGGCACAACTTCAATGCATGCCAGTTCATTCATTTCATGAAGAAATATTGAACAGTTTCTGAGTTATAGTCTGGAAACAAAATGTGATGGACAGACAGACACTAGACAGAACCTGTTTCTATATCCACCACAGAACATAGTTTGGAGGGATAATAACATCAGGAACTCTAGCCAAAATGATTAAGATATAGGGCAAGTAATCAGGTAATCATGGTAATAGGTAATTAATCAGGGTAATACTTACCTTGTGCCTGTTTTGTCCAGTAAACTTATTCAACAATGTAAAACCTAATTATGACTATGAAACATATTCCAAATCTGCGGATGTTATCATCATGATCATAAATCCTTTATTATGATTATTTGCCATTACAGAGGACATACGGCCCCTGGTGGCGTCAAGCTCCAGCATCATGTAGAGTCTACAAGAAGACACCTAGAGCATACTGCAGTATGGATTTCATAGGTAATAGATTAGTACAAATTACCAACCTTTAATTTTAAACAAAGTTACAAGAATGAACTTAGTTTTCCAATCATAGATTTTCTTCTTTGTTCTAATTTTTAGGCAATAGAGGACTCCTAACCAAAGTCCTTACAAGACTGGTCTATCAGCTGTCTATATTCAAAACTAAAGATAAATATTTTGGTCATTTGATACCGATCATGCTGATGTCTGGAAGCTTTTTGGTATGGCTCACTGGTTACCTTTAAGTTTAATTATATATTATCTGTTTCAGAATTATCATTTGAGCAGAAAGTGTATCCAATCCGACTGGATGTGTATGAGACCTACCACCCTGGAGCAGTTGTCAAGATAATGGCATGTGATACTACAGCTGGTACTGATGTAGACACAGGAAAAGTAACGTAACTATGACAATGGTTCTTTCCTCTTTCACACCTGTTGTTCTGAGTATACAATCAGAGAGGTTGTCATGGATCTAAATGTATATATTCATGAATTGACCTTTACTTTGTGTGAGTTCATTGGAGTATGGACCTTCATAGAGTGAGGGCCAAACTATATGAACGTCGAAGCTTGCGACAACGTTCATACAATGTTTGGCCCTCACTCTATGAAGGTTCATACTCCAATGAACTCACAGAAAGTGAAAGTCAATTCTTATAATTTTTTATATCACTATATTATACCTCGAGGTTTGTAGCATCTATACCATGCTATACATGTGAGTTCATGTTTACACTGATAGCCATACAACAACAAGCTGTGCCATGGAGTACGATAATTACCCCAAAAGAGAGGTGACATGAGCATATGTATGCTCAACTTGCTTTACAGGAACATCTGTCATTGTTTGTTTACAAGAAATGTATTCTAATAATATCAACACTGGGTGAGAAAGATCTGTTATGTTAAGTCATTATAAAGATGTGTCAGATAGATACTAAGGTAAACTCATTGATTGCTGTAGACCGTAACTGTCAGTCTAGACATGGATCGAGTCGATACTACGATAGTGCATGTGCATTTCTATGTTTTGTTCACTAGGGTGGGTCGTAGTGAGAATATTTGTGAATGATCATGTAGTCAAACTCTCCGACATTTCTCAATGTATGTTAAAAAGTTGAGTTCAAGATGAAAGGGTCTTAATGATCAGAAAGAACGTTTTTGTATATTTCCGAGAGAATTCCCAGGGGTTTCCCCAGGAATGTGGAAGTAGTCCGTCTCAGTGTTTAAGTTATTTCCAGAACAGTCTCATGAAAAAAAGTATGAACGTCAAATTAAGTCGTTCATACGCTTATGAAAGTCAGTTTCTAAGTCATGTGATTGGCCTCTCTTCCAGTGAAAAAGCTTTATATCGTGTAAACTTCAAATAAGAAAATTATTTCAGTATGTACAGCTATTAATGCATCAAGCAAGAGTCCTAAGACATTGTGTATTCTCCACAGCTATTAGAAAGGCAACATTCCTCATGGTCATTCTTTTGGTAAAAAAAAGAAGTTGTTGTCAGAGAATATCTGTGGAAGTAAGTCAGAATGGGTAGCCCTGTGGTCAAAGGCCACAGGACCTCTGTGCAGAGTCGTCTCCCTTAGCGGCGAGGATCTGCTGTATGTTGTTTACCATTCCAGATTAATACCAGTTATGATCTTTGCTCTATCTGCTCTTTCTGATGAGTTTTGTCAGCGTGGTGAATGTCTACAACACTTTCATCTTTCCAACCTCATCAAGTCGGAACATAATTGATATGACTCAAATCATGCAAATATTGTTCAATTTGTCGTTAACCTCAATCAATCAATCCATCAATCAATATGAAGTGTCCATCTCCATGGTCTAGTGGAAAGAGCGTCTGTCCAGAGAGCGTTCGATCCCCATCAGCACCACACAAATAGACTTTATTAGATGGTACTTTTTATTTACCTGCCTGGCGCTAGGCATTAATAGAATAAAACAAGGACTGGTCGGCTCGGAGTCAGTATACTGTGTCTGAGTGGGGTATTCATGTTAAACTGCGACATGGTATCTCAGTTGGCATTAGTTCTGACTTGTACAAGTATAAGGGCAATAATCTTGAACATGACGTTAACCCAATTTTACCTCACCTCACTATGAAGTAGTGTTATGTGGTAGAACTTCCCGGGACCAACATGCTTCTGATGCTTCATGTGTTTGTTTTGTGCTTCCTGATTCCAGATGGGTGACCCTGTGGTCCGACACTCCCACACAGATAGAGATGAGGCCGCGAGTCTTCTCCCCACCCCTCAACACTGTCAACTTTGCTACCGAGTAAGTAGAGAACATAGTTTAATGCTATGTTATCATGGTTATAATCTGCTGCTGTAATACTGGTCCTGGTATTTGTCCAAGATCTGACATGTTGGTGATTTAGATTCAAGGTCTATCATATTGGTCTTGGTAAGGGTCCAAGGTCTGTCATATTGTCGGTGATTTAGATTCAAGGTCTATCATGTTGGTCTTGGTAAGGGTCCAAGGTCTGACATATTGTCGGTGGTTCAGATTCAAGGTCTATCATATTGGTCTTGTTAAGGGTCCAAGGTCTGTTATATTGTCGATGGTTTAGATTCAAGGTCTATCATATTGGTCTTGGTAAGGGTCCAAGGTCTGTCATATTGTCGGTGATTTAGATTCAAGGTCTTTCATGTTGGTCTTGGTAAGGGTCCAAGGTCTGACATATTGTCGGTGGTTCAGATTCAAGGTCTATCATATTGGTCTTGTTAAGGGTCCAAGGTCTGTTATATTGTCGATGGTTTAGATTCAAGGTCTATCATATTGGTCTTGGTAAGGGTCCAAGATCTGTCATATTGTCGATGGTTTAGATTCAAGGTCTATCATATTGTAAAGTTCCAAGAATCAAGGTCTGACATATTGTCGGTGATTCAAGTTCTATCATATTGGTCTTGGTAAGGGTCCAAGGTCTGTCATATTGTCGGTGGTTTAGATTCAAGGTCTATCATATTGTAAAGGTCCAAGGTCTAAGGTCTGATATATTGTCGGTGATAGAAGTTCTATCATATTGGTCTTGGTAAGGGTCAAAGATCTGACATATTGTCGGTGGTTTAGATTCACGGTCTATCAAGGTCTGTTTATGTAACTGAGTGATGTATGTCTGTTGCAGCCTGGTCCGCCTGGAGCTGTGTCATGAGAAGCTGCAGTACTACACCGAGCTGGATGCCGTGATTCTGCAGGGGCTGACCGACAAGGACCAGTACCAGGCCTGGGCAGTTACCAACAAGACTCTCACACAGTCCCTGGAGAGGCTGGAACTGAGAGACACCCATCCCCCAGAGACAACCAACAAGGACTGGAAGCCTGTTGTGAATGGATACTTTGGCTGTTTACCTGTAAGATTTAGACAAGACTTTGTCCATCTAATACTTTTCATATTATTCGGAACTTGTGAAGATCTGGTTGAGAAATCGTCTTCAGCCACTTTCCTTGTCATAAGAGATGACTAATGGGATCGGGTTTTCAGGCTCGCAGCTTGGTAGATGCTTTTTGTTATATCCCAATTACGTAGATCAATGCTCATGATGACAATCACTGGATTGTCTGGTCCAGAAATAACTCACAGGACGGCTGTAAGGGCAAAGATGATGTGGGTCTTTTCCCGACTTGGGATGGGAAGTCATTCATCAAAAAATGTAAACAGCAGTAAGATTACCAGTATAAAATGTTAAAGCATAACACGTTACTAAAAAAAAGTAAATACAAACACCCAAACACAACCACAGTGTGGAGAGTGCCTGGTAGACAACAGAAACATATTATGCCTAAATAATAGGAAATATGTAAACTGAAAGTCATTTACAAGAAAATATATGAGAGATTAACCAATAGTTTATGAAACTATAGCAAACATGACACAAGGAATGTGAAAAGCAAGATGGTGACCAAGGCGCAAAACATGCAAAGTTACGTGGTCGTAGGAAAAAGTAGAATTAAACAAGAAATATGCCTCAGATAAGTGGATATATGTACCAGGGAAAGGATATATGGTTGCAACACCATCAGAAAACATAAGAAACTTATGAAAATGTCGGGACGATACACGGATGCATCGGTTGATTGTGATTTTTTACTTCTCGATACCAGTATCGATCACAGTCACACACTAAGTACAAAATATCGATTCTGACCTTAAATGTTTACTGTAATACCTGTTCCACTAAACACTAATCAGTAGTGCAAGTTAATAGTGAAAACATAAATATTTTCATTTGTTGTGCCATACCTGACACTGCCAACTGTAAATTGTCAGTTTGCAAGGTATTTGGCCATCCTGTCTATGAGAAAGATGGCTTGCACACCACAGATAAGAGCACATGCAAGTATCGTGATACATATTGGATCGTCAGTAAGGTATCGTGATACATATCGGATCTCACAGTTGGTGTATCATCCCAGCCCAAGTATGAGTATGAGGCAAGGCAAGGGCTATAGTCTGTTTCAACTGTCTCTCTGTTCCAGTACTGTAAAAGGTAGGGAAGCTAAGGCACTGTGTAGCATCAGGTAAGGTAAAACATTATATTTGGGTGATAAGGTAGCCTAGTTGTCAAAGAGTTGGATCGCCTTGTTGGGGTTTGATGTGTTAACCCCAATCTTGGTAACAACTGTTTTGTTTGATTGTTTGTTTGTTGTTTAAAGCCGCACTCAGCAATATTCCAGCTGTATGACGGCGGTCTGTAAAATAATCGAGTCTGGACCAGACAATCCAGTGACTAACATCATGAGCATCGATCCACGCAATTGGGATCGATGACATGTGTCAACCAAGTCAGCGACCCTGACCACCCGATCCCGTTGGTCGCCTTTTACGATTAGCATTGTCACCTTTTACGGCAAGCATGGGTTGCTGAAGACCTGTTCTACCCCGGAATCTTCACGGGTCTTGTAACAACTGTATGGACTGGGTTAAGTCGGCTTATTTGTGTCAGGGGGTCAGGCTCTATAGCTGGACTGATAGCGTGTTGTGACCAGATGACTCTTGATGCTTTCTGATTCAGACTTGTTTACAAACAAGCGTGGTATAGGTGTGTTGAGAATTGCTGACTTTGACATTAAAAAATAGCCTTCACTTCAGTACTGATTTGTAGATGTGGTCACTATGTTCTTGTAATGGTTATAGAAAATGTGTTTCTTGCATCTTTTTCAATGAGGTATTCCATGTTTAGTTTGTTAAGATTATTATGAACATATGTTTATATTATATAAATTGTTTATCAATTTCAGGAGGAGGTCATTCAACTCATCCTCAGCTATCTGGATACACCCTCTATATGTTGTGCCTCCCAGACATGCAAGTAAGGCCACAAGGACACAATTGAGAGAGAAACATTATGTGTTTACCATGTTTATAGATCTGCTTGTCTTTTTGTAAAGGGGCGGTGGGGTGGCCTACTGGTTTAAGTATCACTTGTCACGTCGAAGACCAGGGTTTGATTCCCCACATGGGTACAATGTGTGAAGCCCATTTCTGCTGTCCCCCGCTGTGATATAGCTTGAATATTGTTAAATGCAGCGTAAAACCTTGCTTGCTTGCTCACTCACTCACTCACTCACTCACTCACTCACTCACTCACTCACTCACTCACTCACTCACTCACTCACTCACTCACATATAAAACAATCTGGTCATGCATACACTGAAGTTGACTGAAGTTTTATCTTTATTCAAACATATAGAACTCAGAAGGAATGCATGCTTAGAAATAAATGCAAACATTAGTCACTCATAGTGTAACCATGGAGTTTTAGATATTTTTTTGTAATTGAACAATATATCACATGACTAGCCACGGGCAAGGGCACAGGTCCAACTCAGTACCCACCCAACCCGGGTACCCAAGTTACCCATCCGAGCCCAAATAGGTGTTGACTAACTTGACTACGATTGGTTGTCTCCATGTACAGGTTGCTGCGCCAGCACTGTTACGACCCCCTGCTGTACACCCAGGTCAACCTGCAGCCACACTGGCCTCAGGTAGCTATGGATACTCTTTCAGAAGAGTCTTTCGTTTTGTAGCAGTCGTAATTTATACTTGACAGTAATCAATCCCTTTACTCATTTATTTCCAGGGGGCACAGGTGGCCCAGTCGTCTAAGGCGCTGCGATTCGCTGTCCAGAGTTGCGTCCCTTAGGCACGCCAGAAACCTATGATTGTGGGTTCCAATCCCGGTTCGCCCCGATTATGTTTCTAGGTTTGTCAGCACCATACCCGTGCTCGTGGGTTTCACCAAAGTGGTAAACGTCTGAGACCTGCATCACTTCGGGCTTTCCTCCCACATTAAGCTGACACGCCGTGATATGACTGGAATACTGTTAAAAGCGGCGTTAAACCCGACTCACTCACTCACTCACTCATTTATTTCCAAGCAAGCTGATGGATCCTAGATCCCATGTCACAAAGAGATTTTAGTCCTTCTCAAAGTATAGTAGTTAGGACAGTCATAGCGCTACAATCACTTTGTGATATAGGGTTTGGTTTGGTTTGTTTGTTGTTTAATGTCACACTCAGCAATATTCCAGCTATATGACTGCGGTGTGTAAATAATCTGGTCTAGGGACTAGTTTGTAGGATGATAGAGGTACTTATCAACCTGGGTGCCGTTGTACAAAGCGATCTTAGCGCTACGACTGTTGTAAGTCTATGTGATAGTATGGGAGTTACGATCACCTTAGCGCTAAGTTCCCTTTGTACAATGGCAACCTGTTGCAGTTTTATTGCAATAGCTGTATCAGTATTGTAAATTTTCATGTAATGGGTAGGTTACCTTTCAGGATAAAGCCAGTGGGTAAAACTGGTTGGGGAGCACCAAAATTCATCACAATTATGGGGGCATGAAAAAATGACACCGTTCTATTTTTTAAAATAAAAAAGGAATAAATTTGATTATTATTTAGGGCCTTATTGTAGGGAGGGGCAGCCATGTTACACTCCTAAGACCAATCCCACCAGCCCACCCACCCCTATAATAAATGACCAGTCCCTAATATGGAGAAAGTAGAAATGCCCTTGACAGGCTCCCTGACTGAATCCGTGTGAGAGGAGTAACATGAAGCATCTGTTTCAGATATCAGACGAGGTGTTGGACAGCCTACAGTGTCGGTGTTACATGATACAGAGGCTAAATCTATCCTGGTGTGGCAAGAATGGTCCCATCACAACTACAGCTCTTACCAGGTCAGACAACGACTTAAGCATACAGTCTGACATAGGGAATAAGTCTCGATCAGTCTTGCTCAATTTGTGAAAAGTACTTGAAGTAGATTGAATATGATTTTTCCTTAAACAAGCTTCCTGATGTGAGTTTTGGAGTCGTTGTTTTCTTCTATGGACATAATGGAGAAATTAGTCATTTTAGCAACATACATTGAAAAACTGATAATCCATGCAAATGCAAAAAATCTCCTACCATGATTACACCATTGCCATTAATCCTGTAGTTTGACCGTCATCACAAAATCTTCACAGTTTCAACAGAAGTCCTCTTCACTGTCAACTATCTGTAATCAGTTGTGCAAGTAATAGTACCTTGCTGCCCAACCCTCTTGCACATGCGCAAGGCTGGAATCCCACTTCTTTCCTGTGTGTTTTATCTAGCACATTATTAGTAGCTTGTCAAAAGGATTTATTACCTGTAAAAATATATAAATGAATTGAATGAGTCAAGGGAGAAAGAATGTCTTCCCTCAGCAATGGTGTGACAAAAAGTGGCATTTCATAATTACGTTGAATAGAATGGCACAATATAATATTCAAACACTGTTACTTTATATACTACAAATGCAGCAATAAATGTTTTGGGCGGCACACGTTAGGTGTGACGTCACAACAATAAAAGTAACATTTTTAATGATCTTTTATGTATTGATCAAATATATATACATGATAAACAATGGAACTTAACCAGATCTTTCACTCACAATCTTACTTACGGGATGGTGCTTTAAATTTTGAATTAGTTTTCTCGTGCAACGCAGTGCCTTTTTAAGGAGAATGATATTCACAATTTATTACATTTATGATTAAGTTTCTACAGTCGCGTTACCTATTCTATTGACTAGATTACCATAAAGAAAGTAGATAGATAAGGGTACATACCTGTAAAAAGATATAAATGACATCAACATGAATTGATAAGTCAAGAGAGAAAGAACGTCTTCCCTCTTCAATGGCATGAGATAAAGTGGCATTTGAAAGTGTTCACGTCACACCCCAGGTATCAAACTCCTTCCCAGCGTGTGACACCTTCGTTACACTCTCGGTAACATCGCTGCCACCAGTGTGGGCGCGGCCATTACAAGAATCTTGAAATTTGCCCTCTAACCCCATATGTAGTAACGTTTATACTTTTGTTTATGTCTTTGGCAATGCCATGATATTTCAATTTGAAAAGGTTTACGACTGACCATGTTTTCCAGATGAATTTACTTTGTTGTTTTGATAATCAGATTGGTTCGAGATTGCAGACTAACGGAAAATCAACCAACTTCTCCCTTACATTTTTACTATATAAATAACACGATAGTTTTAATGAAACAGAAATTCAAATTGACAAACGAAGAAAGTAATTTAGCAGCGATAAGTGTATTCGGCGTCATGACAGTCGTCACTTATTTGTAAACATAACGGTCATTCGGTTGCGAGTTCAAGCATGGTTGTGGCCACCTATTCACAGTGGGGAGTTTTGACTGGTGGCAGCGATAGTATAGAGAGCTCCGGGAACGTACTATCGCTGTGAGGACCTTTCCCAGGTATGTGCAGAGATACTGCTGGTAAGACAACCAGGAGTAAGATTGCGAGATAAAGCGTCGTAAAATGAAACAGAAATAACTCTTGGCAACTAACCCTAAATATAACCGGCGACAACTGGAAGAAACACACCACATACTTAGCCAACCATATATTCATGCTTCATGTGCATCCCATCTGTCAACAGTTAAAGGTTATGTTCACAGATGCCTGAACCGTTTGTTTTTGAAATACATATAAGAGATTAAATGCCTCCTGCCTCATATACACCGCCTCCGTGGTCTAGTGGTAGAGTGTCCGCTCGGAGAGCGGAAGGTCCGGGGTTCGATCCCCAACCACGTCATACCTACAGACGTTAAAACATGGTACTTGTTGTTACCCTGTCTGGCGCTCGGCATTAAGGGGCTAAAACAAGGACTGGTCGGCTCGGAGTCAGTATACTGTGTCTGGGTGGGGTATTCATGTTAAACTGCTGCATGGTATTTCAGTGAGCTAGCACAATAAATCGGCATCAGCCTGGACTAGTACAAGCAGCCACACAAACATACACACATACATGCACATCGCTATGTATATAAGTGCAATAATCTTGGATGCGACATTAAACTCCATTTCACCTCACCTCACCTGCCTCATATTTGTTTGAAAAATTGGTGAAAATTTTGTGTTCAATATATTGTGTCCTAATGACAACTATTTATTAGATTTACTAGGCAACCCTAAATGTCCAATTTAGCAATTATATTTTGTTCTTTATTCTATATTATACTCATCTATTTCTTAGATTTCTGGGCGTCTGTGGTCAGACTTTGACCTGTTTGGGGCTGTCTTGCTGCCAGTTTGTGACTAGGGAATATTTGAAGCTGATTGCAGAAAACTGTCCACAACTGACAGGTAGTCACACACACACAGTTCATACCTGATGGTAGCCCACCTCTGTGGTCAAGTAGGGGGCACGGGTGGCCCAGTCGTCTAAGGCGCCGCGATTCGCTGTACAGAGTTGCGTCCCTTGGACACGCCAGAAACCTATGATTGTGGGTTCGAATCCCGGTCGGCACCATACCCGTGCTCGTGGGTTTCACCGAAGTGGTATACGTCTGAGACCTGCATCACTTTGGGATTTCCTCCCACATTAAGCTGACACACTGTGATATAACTGGAATACTGTTAAAAGCTGTGTTAAACCCAACACACTCACTCACTCATTCAGGGGCTAATACAAGGCTGTTCGGCTAAGCACTATGAAGGCGGTAGTAATCTGGACTAGTACAAGCATCCACCATACACATGCTCGGTCGTTTCCAGCTGGCTGACTTTGATGACCTCATGGTGTCCTGGATTGATGCTTATGCTGTCAACCACTGGTTGGCTTACCCCAAAGTTACAGGCTGCTGAAATATTGCTGGACTGTGGTGTTAAACAATATTCACTCTCACATTTAATGGTGGCTATAGACATATATTTTGTTCAATATCATCTATATATATTATCAGTCGTAAAATATAGTCAGTATGTTTTCACTGTAGGGCGGGTCGGGAAGCCTAGTGGTTAAAGCGTTCGCTCGTCACGCCGAAGACCCGGGTTCGATTCCCGACATGGGTACAATGTGTGAAGCCCATTTCTGGTGTCCCCCGCCGTGATATAGCTGGAATATTGCTAAAAGCGGCGTAAAACCATACTCACTCACTGTAAGCATGGTTTCAAGTTTGTTGTTTGTTGCTAGATCTGGACTTGAGCTGCTGTCGGAAGATTGATGGGCAGGGTATGATGGAGCTGACCCACGTGGCCAAGTTGCAGAAGCTGAATCTGTACCGAACCTTCATTGAGCTCACGCCCCTCCTCAACATCATATAGTCAGTATAATTTTTAACTTATCCCTCCATAACAGTATGCAATATTACTTCTTGCTTTAATCATATAACAGTGTTACCCGTGATGAACAGGGTAGATTAGGTCCTCAGCAACCATAAAAATTTGCCGTAAAAGGCGACTAACATGATCGGGTGGTCAGGCTCACTGACTTGGATCACTTGGTATCCCAATTGCGTGGATCGATGCTCATGATGTCAATCACTGGATTGTCTGGTCCAGACTTGATTATTTACAGACTGCCATCATACAGCTGAAATATTGCTGAGTGCGGCGTTAAACAAAAAACAAACATATAACCATGATAACAGTGGAGAACATTGTAAAAACAGTAATCACTGAAACACACCCTCCGACCATCTCGCTCCCAGCATGCTTCTGTACTATTCATCACTTTTCTTTCATCACCCGTAGTGAACGGAGGTTTTGTTTCCACTCCACATTTTTTATTTCATTTGTTTGTCATTTCGGTTTGAATTGAGTTTTTGTCTTTGTACATTTATCTACAGGTCCCTAGCCATTCCTTATCCATAAATATATGTAATAATGGCTACTTACATTCCACACACGATTCTTTCCTCACCATTGTTAACATAACTTTCGGCACATGAAAGCTTCATTTTGGTTTCTGTTTCTCTTTTTTTTTTATACCTTCCTCATTTGAATGCAAATGGCTGTGTGTCGGTTAATGTTCATGATGTTGTCCATTCTTATTCTCGTTGAAATATTATGGATGATGTGATCATTTCGAAGATGGTGTTAGGGGTTGAGGAATACCTTTGCCATCTTCAAAAGTGCGTGGACTGCCATGAGAAGAAATCGATGGCCTTTGCCCTGAATGCCAGGCCCAGCGATGTTTTGAAAGTACCCACTTTTCCTCCGACCATTTCAACGTTTACCTAGCATAACTCCGAAAAAGAGCTCACCAACAACTACAGCGCCAGACTTCAAACCCCTCTCGTAAGCCTGCGACTGTCACCTCCACTACCTCAGCTACACCTACGGGTGGATCCATCCTTGGGGCTACTCACCGAGGATGCCTGCAGTTACGTCATCTGCATATTTTTCTTCAACCATGGTTCGATCAGGACCCACCAGATCAAGGTGTATCTCTCCCAGCTCACTTAGACCTTACTTCCACTGGTGGACCCTTGAGTCGAACGTCTTCAACAGGATTTCATTGACCCACCTCGTTCCCTCTCAACACCTGTTCGTGGATGCATCAAAGGATGAGGGGCCCATCTCAGGGACCTCCGGGCCTCAGGATTATGGACCGCCCCGTTTCTCCATTGGGATATCAACTGGGATCCACTCACTCATAGAGTCTCCTAAACCTCACGTTCATGTTCTGTCGTCTCATAGACGCCATCCCGCTGGAGGTGAGAGCTCGTCACATTCCCAGCATTTCCAACATTCTCGACGACACCCTATCTCGCCTCAGTCAGTCAGCACCCACAGAGTGGCAGATACACAACACCCTATCTCGCCTCAGTCAGTCAGCACCCACGGAGTGGTAGTCACACCAGATGTTTTCCAGATGATTTGCCAGCCCTTCGGCCAACCAAACAGCGACTTATTCGCCAAACGTTACAACCTCCAGCTTCAGACATTCATATCAACAATACCAGACACTCTGGCTTGGGATCACGACACACTCACATCAAGTGGAACGGCCTACACGCATATCCGTTTCCAAATCCGGCGCTCCTTCCCCGTGTTCTCCAGAAACTGGCATTTACAGTGAATGTGAAGATACTTTTGGTTGCGCTTTTTTGGCTCAGTCAGACGTGGTTCCCGCTCCGACGCGCAGGAGAGCCAGACTTAAAACTCTCTGTATTTCCCGGTATGCTCAGAAATCCACACTCATCAACCACACATCTATGAGTATGGTCAATTTACAGAATGCATTGACGGCCAGGAGTTTCGTCCGACACCCCGCCTTTCTACAGCCTCCTTGTATGACCAGAAATGGTTATCTTTCGAGACTAGGGCTTGGGACTGGTTCTACATCACCTCCTCATGTCTCCCTACGAACCTTTTTCCGAAGTGGAACTGGTATATCTTATGCAGAAAACTGCCTTTCTCCTGTCCTTTGCCACTGTGGTACGTGTCAGTGAACTCCACGTTCTCCACATCACCTGAATCACGTTTGACTGTGGTCCATGTGCAGAGGTACATCTTGGCTTAATGTGGGACTTTATTGCCTGGTCAAGCAGATCACCCGCTCACTATTGCCCCGCTGACTAACTTCGTTGGGTCTGGTGACATAGAGGACCAAGAGACCAAGTTGTATCTCTCCCAGCCACGCTTAGACATTAACTCCACTGGTGGACCCTTGAGTCAAACATCTTCAACAGGGTTTCTTTGACCCACCTCGTTCCCTCTCAACACCTGTTCGTGGATGCATCAAAGGATGAGGGGCCCATCTCAAGGACCTCCGGGCCTCCGGGCCTCAGGATTATGGACCGCCCCGTTTCTCCATTGGGATATCAACTGGGATCCACTCACTCATAGAGTCTCCTAAACCTCACGTTCATGTTCTGTCGTCACATAGACGCCATCCCGCTGGAGGTGAGAGCTCGTCACATTCCCAGCGTTTCCAACATTCTCGACGACACCCTATCTCGCCTCAGTCAGTCAGCACCCACAGAGTGGCAGATACACAACACCCTATCTCGCCTCAGTCAGTCAGCACCCACGGAGTGGTAGTCACACCAGATGTTTTCCAGATGATTTGCCAGCCCTTCGGCCAACCAAACAGCGACTTATTCGCCAAACGTTACAACCTCCAGCTTCAGACATTCATATCAACAATACCAGACACTCTGGCTTGGGATCACGACACACTCACATCAAGTGGAACGGCCTACACGCATATCCGTTTCCAAATCCGGCGCTCCTTCCCCGTGTTCTCCAGAAACTGGCATTTACAGTGAATGTGAAGATACTTTTGGTTGCGCTTTTTTGGCTCAGTCGGACGTGGTTCCCGCTCCGACGCGCAGGAGAGCCAGACTTAAAACTCTCTGTATTTCCCGGTATGCTCAGAAATCCACACTCATCAACCACACATCTATGAGTATGGTCAATTTACAGAATGCATTGACGGCCAGGAGTTTCGTCCGACACCCCGCCTTTCTACAGCCTCCTTGTATGACCAGAAATGGTTATCTTTCGAGACTAGGGCTTGGGACTGGTTCTACATCACCTCCTCATGTCTCCCTACGAACCTTTTTCCGAAGTGGAACTGGTATATCTTATGCAGAAAACTGCCTTTCTCCTGTCCTTTGCCACTGTGGTACGTGTCAGTGAACTCCACGTTCTCCACATCACCTGAATCACGTTTGACTGTGGTCCATGTGCAGAGGTACATCTTGGCTTAATGTGGGACTTTATTGCCTGGTCAAGCAGATCACCCGCTCACTATTGCCCCGCTGACTAACTTCGTTGGGTCTGGTGACATAGAGGACATCTCTCTATGTCCTGTTCATGCATTTCCAAATTATATTAAAGTCACTCGTCGTTTTCGGCATCAACGTAAACGCCTTTTCCTCCCAATCACAGAGGAGGGTCACAGGAATATCTCCAAGAATACCCTGTCATTTTGGTTACGTTCCACCATTCTTCAGGCTTACGCCCATGCTTGGTTGGAACCGCCTAGCACTTCCCATCCACATGAAATTGAAAATCGGACGTTGGCATCCACAATGCACTACACACAAACAGCTCTGTCACAGACATCATTCGAAGTTGCTTTTGGCGAACCAACTCTACTTTCGCCAATTCTACTCCCAAGATCTGTCCGTTGCGGATGTTGATGGAGTCCACCAGCTGGGTGCTCTTGTCTTCGCACACCAACTCGTCGCACCTCCCCATCGCTGTTGATGAATTGGAACAGAACACCTGCTATTCTGGACACCCATACCGATACGCCTGCATGTTTGTTCTTTCTCTCTATGGAATGATTGCATTAAACTCTGTACCGAGGGTACTACGTACTTTCGAGTACCTCCAGTTGAATGTAATTTCAGATCCAGCCTTACCTGTCACCAGACATGGTGGTGATGTAGTGATTACAGGACTAGTGAAGTTGAACACACCCTTGGGTTGAAGACGAAGTGGCAGTCTAGTCTAGTCCATGCTCTTGCCCACTCAATTTCAAATGGGGACATGCAGTTGATCCACCCCTCCGTCCCACCGTGGGATAATTGCATACTGTTGTGGAGGGATAAGTTACAAAATAGGGAATCTAGAGTATTCCCCTTATTTATATGCTTATCCTGACACAACAGGTCATGACGTTTGGATCCACTTGTCACCTGTCTGGTGATCGTGGAAAAAGAGATGAGTTGTACAGGAGCATGCTGGGAGTGAGCTGGTTGGAGGGTGTGTTCCAGTGATTACTGTTTTCACAGGGGCGGTCGGGTATCCTAGTGGTTAAAGCGTTCGCTCGTCACGCCAAAGACTCGGGTTCGATTCCCAACATGGGTACAATGTGTGAAGCCCATTTCTGGTGTCCCCCGCTGTGATATTGCTGGAATATTGCTAAAAGCAGCATAAAACAATACTCACTCACTGTTTTCACAATGTCCTACACTGTTATATGATCGAAGCAAGAAGGAATATTGCTGTTGTGTCGGGATAAGTATATAAATAAGGGGAATACTCTGAATCCCTATAATATTGTCATTGTCTGTACACCTAGCACTGGATATCTCAATGATTACTGCACGTTCCTGAGGTTTGTCCATTTTCAAAAGGTCACAGACCCCTGCTTAGTTTACTGACTTGTCACTGTGAAACAAGTTTGCTAAACTGGCTCATGTTTTTGTGGATGTATACCTTTTGACATCATGTAATGTCCAAAACAGAAGATTTCGCTGTCACATGATTCCTTCTATGGGAGGCTCAGGTGGGACGATACATTGATGCATTGGTGGATCGCATTTTTTTTTACTTCTGTACCACAGTCGCACACTTAGTAAAAAATATCGCTTCATACCTTAAATGTTTGCTATAATAAATGTTACATCAGACACTAAATAGAAGGTGAAAATTAGTAGTGAAAACTTTTCATCCATTGCGTCATATTTGACACTGCCAACTGTAAATCATCAGTGTGACAGGTATTTGGCCATCCTGTCTTTGAAAAAGATGGCTTACGCACCACAGATAAGGGCACATGCAAGTTACTTGATTCATATCGGATCGTGAGCAATGTATCGTCTCAGCCCTACTGCATATACCCAGAATATACCAGATTCTGCCGACTCCGTTTATTGATAATGTAGCGATGGTTCACATATGCATTTGCCATTTTGCAATGATGTGGACATTTGTGAATTTCATTTTGTTCTCTCTGGATGGCACTACTCAATCTACAAATTATCATTAAATATTGATATATGTTCACACAATCCTAATTATCTGTGAATTGTGTCTTCTCTTGAAAACAAATGATTCGGTATCAGTAAAATCAATGTATCAGTATACAGTTCACTCATAAGTGTCCCGCTAGCTACATTGGGCCCGACTACACTACAGCGGGCATTGGAGTCCACTCAATGCAGATCATCCACTTAGTCTACTAGACAGATATCAAGCTGCCAGCAATCCGAGAAGCAACACTTGGACAAATCCCTGCCTGTATCTGACCTGTCTATTACCAATCTCATTAAAATCAGATCTAAGTTCTCGCTACCGCTAAACAAAGATCTGAGGACATCTCATTAGGGGTCACGTCAGAATGACCTTTTATCCGACCAATCAGAAGGTCGCTTACAAGATCATGAAAGTGACAGCCGGAATGTGATTCCTGATCATGCAACCTCGAAAACTTGTACACGGGGTATTCCGAACAATAGTTATTGGCTTTACGACTGAATCCATACAAGCTAGACCTTCTATTAGCCATTCGAGAATGTTCTTTTGTTCAGGTTTCAATTTTTTAATCGAGAATTGGTCAAAATATGTTTTGAAGCGAAGTTGCCAAGTAGAAATTAGTGCCATAAAACACGAGAAAGCTGCTTTCTGATTGGCTAATTCCATTGGTCGGTCAAAGTTCGCGAAAGGTCGGTCTGACGTGACCTGCAATAGGGTGTCCTCAGATCTTTGTTCAGCAGTAGCTAGAACTAAGATTTGATTTTAATGAGATTGGTCTATTACCCTTCCACTCTACATCTTCTGCAGTTCCTGCCCTGATCTCCAGCACCTGAACATCGGCTCCTGCAGCCGCATCTCCAGTCACGACGATGTTGCTGCAGCACTGGGGAAGTTCTCAAAGTACAGTATTCCTCGATGTCACTCATTACCATTGTACTTTTTATATAAATGTCTACCAAAAATTTGAAGAAAAGTGATATAAATCATTCTCAATTCTTAAGAAATCCAAATCACTTTTTATGCAGAATTTAAGGATTATTGTCATAATTGTGGTTAAAATATTTATTTATTTCATTTTGATTAAATTTCAACCAGTTAATGTAGACTGAGAAAAAGAGGAATGTCCAAACAAATGAACGATTTTCATGTTTTTTTGTTAATGACGATTTACTCCAAAACAAGAATGGGGACCCAAAATGTTATGCCTCTTTGTTAGCATGTTTAGATTGCCGTACTCTCTGTTCAACTTTCTGACCCGTGGTCTCACGTAGAAGTCCATTCATTGCGTCATGATAGTACCACAAAGAAGATTTCATGTGTCAGATGTGTTGGTTTTCAGGAAGCTACGATCTCTTGATCTCTGGCGATCTCGGAAGATCTCATACATCGGGCTTCAAGCTATTGCCAACAACTGCTTTGAATTGGAGGAGCTGGATATAGGCTGGTGGTATGTGTTGGCACATAGCTTTGTTTTCTCTTTGCCTGAAACCAATTATGCTTAGTCAGCTACATTGTTGGGCTTGCTGATTCAAGTGGTAAATATCTATGTGCTGTTTCCCCTTGGCTTTCCTCCCACAGGAAGCTGACACAGCGATGTTACTAAAGTACTGTCCAAAGATGTGTTAAACTAATCTCCTTCTTTGGATTCCCTTCCATATAAGAAGGGACAGAGTATAGAAGAGAACGATGTGGATTGGTCAGTGGAGTTTAGTCTACTGAAAAAGAGAATTTTGTAACGCATTTGAAGACAGCATGTTATATATTACTAATTTGTGAGCACCTGTTGTTACAAAGGGAGATAACTGGTGTTGAGATAAAGCATTGTTGTCATACTATTTAACTCTTGAATTGAATATGTACCGGCCACCATGATGTAGGTGAATATTGCTGACCGATGGTGTGGACTGTTGGTCATACTTTCAGTAGCTGGATGCCTGGTCCAAACTTGAACATGTACCGGCCACCATGATGTAGGTGAATATTGCTGACCGATGGTGTGGACTGTTGGTCATACTTTCAGTAGCTGGATGCCTGGTCCAGACTTAGATATGTACCGGCCACCATGATGTAGGTGAATATTGCTGACCGATGGTATGGGCTGTTGGTCATACTTTCAGTAGCTGGATGCCTGGTCCAGACTTGAATATGTACCAGCCACCATGATGTAGGTGAATATTGCAGAGTTAACCAACACTCATTCATTCACCTGTGTTGCAGCACAGACCTCCACTCCAGTACCGGGTGTCTCATCAGTTTAGTAGAGAAGTGTAAGAAACTACGCAAGCTCTTCCTCACTGCAAACAGGTACCAACTTATTGTCACATTTGTCATGTTTCTGCATTGGTTATATACTACTCAAAAGAAGTTAAACACAACCAAATTTGTCATATGACTATTGTTAGCTCACTGGGTCAGAAGGACCAAGTTGAGCTTGTACCATACCATAGCGTCGATCGTCCGTCCATCGTCTGTATGTCAACAATTTATTCAAACGACTTCTTCTAAACTACTAAGTCGAAATTTACGAAATTTGACTGGAAGCATCCCTAGGTGGTGGGGATTCATATTGTACAAATGCTGTGGCTGACCCCACAAGGGGCTGAGGGGCGGGGCCAAATAGGGGAAATTTGGCTATATTGCTTTAAACGACTTCCTCTCTGGAATTAAGAGATAGTTATCAACCATATTTCGTTGGAAGCTTTCTCCGTTGGTGGGGATTCCAATTGGAGAAATGGAGGGGCTGAACCCTACCCCCACCCCCGGGCCTAAAGGGCGGGGCTAAAAAGAGTTTATGACTTGGACACAGTTAAGATAACCATATGTACAATTGAGAGTATGAGAGGAATGGGCATATGCTACCAGGACTAGCCCTTCAGTACATCTGTCTGGCACCAAAGGAGTTAGAACCTTACATGCAAACCGATATTATCCCCACCCTATAATAAACAGATACATTGTATACATTTGTTTGTTATGAAGAGAATAATGCCTTTAATATGATTTATCCTGGATCATAACATGGAAATGGTTCAGATCTTTATGCTACATTTGTTTGTAGAGAACTACACGTTCATGCTGTCAGATTTGCCATCCACCCATTTTAAATGCTGACAGAGTCAAAAATACGAAATATTTGCAGTATTATATACATGTACAATGCAATCGTATATTTTGTCATGATTGCGTAAATATCCAGGTGAGCGATACAGGCCCTATTTGTTGACTATGGTCGGTGTTTTGTTCAACAACAAGATTTACAAGATACCTTATTTGCTGGTCCACAGGGACTGGCAGTCACAAGAATTACTTCAATCCCCAGCCGCGTCATACCAAAAGATGTTAAAAGATGGTACTTGTTGTTACCCTGTCTGGCGCTCGGCATTAAGGGGCTAAAACAAGGACTGGTCGGCTCGGAGTCAGTATACTGTATTCACGTTAAACTGTGGCATGGTATCTCAGTGTGCTAGCACTATAAATCGGCATCAGTCCGGACTAGTACAAGCAGCCACACAAACACACATACATGTGCATGCACGTCGCTATATAAGTGCAATAATCTTGGACATGACGTTAAACCCGATTTCACCTCACCTCACCTGACAGCATCATTATCTGGTTTCTCTGCTCCAGAAATATGAATGAAGTTAAGGACCATCCGATTCTTTCATATGATGATAATTAATCTGCCATGAGTAACTTTTGATTAACTTTTGATATATGAAAGAACCCAATACTAGTTGATGGTTAACATTGATAGGAAAAAATAGGGTGGTCCTTAACTTATTTTGAGTAGTATATTTGTTGACTGCAGTGTTAAGCAACAAGTTAACAAATCTTCAGCAATGTGTTTGTGAAATGTTGCTTTGCTTGGCTACAGGACTGTATGTGATGTGGACCTCCTTGCCATAGCCAAGAACCTGACCAATCTAGAACAGCTGGATATTCTGGGCACAAGGGAGGTAACTGCTGATGCGGCTGTAAGGTAATTCAAGGATGAAGATCAAATTTGACCACATGTTACTTCTATGTTATTGTACACACGACTTATATCCGAAATGTTAGGACATGGTTCACGAGTACAATAAAATATATTTAGTGAGTGGTACATTTTGTTTTTGACATTGTATGATGAATAAGATAGGATATATTTTAAACCAAACTAGTTTGTTTGTTTGTTTGTTTGTTTGTTTGTTTGTATTAAAGAATGGATAAATGGACACTGGGTGGATTTTGATGAATTTTATGTAAGTCAATATAGACATTTAACCAGTGAATATGATACTCATCTACAAAGAGGTAAGATGACCATGGTTACAGAGGTTAGAACATTTGTGACCAACTCGTGTTATTCCAGGACAAGCTGAATAGCAACTCGTGCCCCTCTCGTGGCCATTTTTGCGACTTGGTTCCGTCTAAGCGCAAACAGGCATAAGTAAAAGAATTGTCAACTCGTTGCTTAATGATTCACATGTATATCCCCCATGTGATAGATATTCCGGATGTTATTTAAAACACATCGGGACTTACGGTATTCTTTACAGTATGACTGAACACATTTAACTGTCCCTTGGGTATATTTTTAGATGCAAGACATGGGAAGTAGCAAAAATTATTCCCGAGGGATTTTTTGATCAAAGTATTTGATGTCATACATGCATTCTGATTGGTTTGTCATATTTTTGCACATAACTTTCTTCGATAGTGGGTTGAGTCTTCTTGAGGGTTACGGAAAGGGGCGAGTGGTGACAAATAAGGGTAGAAGTGTTCATGTCATGATAAGTACCTCAGTGCAATTTGAGCTTTTATAAATGTCACTTCCTGATGCAAAATGAAGCCTATTTCTGGTGTCCCATGCCGTGATGTTGCTGTAATATTGCTAACAGTGGCATAAAATCATATTCACTCACTCACCATGTGTTTGCCATAGGGTGCTGGAGAACTGTAAGAAGCTGCGGTTCTTCGACGTGTCGTTCTGTGCGGGCCTGGACAACGTGGTGGTGGAGTCCTGGAGGAAGATCTACCCCAACACTGCCATCAAGAAGAGCTTCCAGTCCTAGCTATCTACCTCACTCTATCTCACAACTGTTACTGGCAAGACAGGGTCATCTAATGCCTCTTTTATGCTCTTGAATTCCTTGTCATTTCATTATTATATCCAGGTTGTCCTATGATGTTATACCTTGAAAGTATTACACGTCAAGAAGACATTCTACATAAGCAGAGTTTTATGTTCCACACAGATTGGCCATCGAAGCAAAAACACATCAGAGAAATGAAACAGTCTGTGTTTTATAGGGACATTACTCTGCCAGTGAAGTAACGAAGTTTGAAGAACAAGATGGACATGTTCATATTTTATGGGTTGGGTGAAGAGTTTGGCCCTGAGTGAAACCTTGATATCTCAATGTCTTACGTCATACACACGTAGTTAAGTTATGCCTTCCTCTGGTCTTGCTTTCCTGTGGTAAAACTACTGTAGAAAAGAGAAGAGTTTTTTAAACAGAGCACAGAGCACGTCTCATAACCCCACACCCACACCCTGAAATGTTTACATACGACAGATATATTTTGCCAGAATTTAATTGCCCATTATTAAGGGTACATATAACACATGAGTGCATATTATACACGAATAAATACGTCTTGTGTATTATCAATCGGAAAGGGTGCTAACTGGGATTGTTAACTAGCCAATATATTAGCAAATATCGCCGTGGGCGCTTCTTAGAGCGGTGCGCTTATTACGTGGAATACGGTAAGTCTACATAGTGGTCAATACTTTCATCCACCTTGGTATTGCCAGATTGGCCTTAACATGTAGTGTGACGTAGGAAGGCAGAGAGAAAGGGATCCACTACGTGTCAGGAACATGTGGGATCCTATATTCTTCCTCATTATGGTAAGATGTGACTTGTAATATGGCGGTCAGATGGTCACCATTGCTGCTGGTTAGTGTTTTGGTCATTCGTGAGCAACTCGTGTTATTCTGGGACAAGCCGAAAAGCGACTTGTGCCCCTCTCATGGCCATTTTTGCGACCGGGCTCCGTCTTAGCGCAAACGGGCATACCGAAAACAATTGTCAACTCGTTGCGTAATGGTTCACACATCTTTACCCATTTATTATATATATTTCAGATGCAATTTAAAGCACAGCGGAATTATACAGTATGATTGAACACATTTAACTGTGTCTTCGGTATATTTTTAGATGCAAGACATATGTAAAATCAAAAATTATTTCTGAGGGATTCTTTGACGAAGAACTTGAAATCATACGCGCATTCTGATTGGTTTGTCGTATTTTCGCACATAACATCAATTGATAGGGGGATGAGTCTTCTTGCAGATATATCACAGTATCACAGTTACGAACATCTTGTGGGATCAGTGATAGATTTAATTATAGAAGGTTGGTGGATCAGTCAAATACACAAGGATCTGAGTCACACACTGAATACATAAAAAAAGACACGCATTATCAATCATTTTATAAGTGTTTGTGTACAGGTTACTATAGTTACTGTAATTTGCTGACTTGAAAGTATTTATCGTCAGATCATAGGTTTTCAGACATCATACGTTTTCAGACGGTCATGTTTATTGTGTTTACTAATGCTATAACAAGGGGTGTGGCATCACACAGATATTGTAAATACTCAGATGATGACCTGTTTTTAAGATAAAGTTGTCTTTTATAAGTTAGTGAGATGTTTTACAGTTGTTCTTGTGATTTACAAGAAAATTACAAATGTTTCTTAAGAGTCTGAAAACCCATAACAGGGGAACCTCTTATTTTCACTCATTCAACGGCTAAAATGTGTGTAGTCCTCGATTACCTTAAGTAATCGTATTTTATCTTGTTTCCATTATGATAAATATGCAGGACTCCAGTGGTAAGAGACAACGCCATCTCAATCTGTCTTATAACTTCACTTCAGTGACTTTGTACAGGATCTGTGATGATCCGGGGTAGAATAGGTCTTCAGCAACCCATGCTTGCCTTAAAAGGCGACTATGCTTGTCATAAGGGGTAACTAACGAGATTGGGTGGTCAGACTCGATGACTTGATTGATGCATGTCATCATATCCCAATTGCGTGGATTGATGCTCATGACGTCAATTACTGGATTGTCTGGTCTAGACTCGATTATATACAGACCGCAGTCATATAGCTGGATTATTGCTGAGTGCGGCGTTAAACAACAAAACAAACAAACCAAAAAGACTTTTACGTTTTCATAAGTGTAATTTGACTGGGCTATTTGAATTGTTGTGTCATTCGAATTAAACAGTAGAAAGTATTGGTTGTAGTGGATCCAGGTAGTTTCACACCTCACTCAGCAATATTTCAGCTATATGACGGTGGTCTGTAAATATTTGAGTGTGCGCTGGGCCATCCAGTGATTGACATCATGAGCAATTAGGATGAGATGACATGCATCAGTAGGTCAGCAAGCCTGACCACCCGATCCCGTTTGTAGCCTCTTACAGCAAGCTGAAGACCAATTCTACAACAGATCTTCATGTGGGAAAACATGCATGGGTTGCTGAAGACCAATTCTAGCCCAGATTTTTATAAATAGTATAAACAGTCCAAGGTCATGAAAGAACAGAGATATTATTCCCTAGATAATCGAGGATGGTGGGTGTGAGAATGATTAATACTAGGAATCATCCCATATTACAAGATCAATAAATTTATAATATTTATGCTTTATCGATTCAAATTTAATAATATCTATTCTAAATTAATAATTCACTGCCACAAAAATGTTTACATTTATTAAGATTTCCATGATTAACATGGATAATGAAAATGCATTAAATTTAATAATTTCAGGTCTGTATAGTTAATTCCTTATGTGTTCACATACAGAACAATTAATTTATTATTGTTCAATATATCAATACATTGTGAAACTATATACAATACAATATATTAATACAGTGATCCCTCGCTACAACGCTACCTTTGGGGTCCAAATAGTTGATGAGTGTTATAGATGAGCAGTATAACTAAAATTTCCAATCAATTACTCTAGATTAATATGCGCATATTAATAAATAATACCTCATGTCATATTAATAATTAATACCTCAAGACATAGTTTTTTCTCAGGAGAAACACAGAGGCAGTTCATCTCTATGTAATGCTGTTGGTGTTGCAGCTGCTGATGCTATTGTTCCAGATACTGTTGCTCAAGTGTTTAATGAGAGTTTAGTGATATGTAGGTGTGGGATGCTTGTCATGCAATATCATACACAGGTACCAGGCGATATAGGTGGTACACTTTCTTGCAATGATACACGTGGTACATGTTGTTTTCTTGTGATGGTACAGATGGTTTTTGTTGGATCATGGTCTTCATGGTATTTGTGAAGTGATACTTGGTACACATGGTATTTGTGAAGGGATACATGGTCCACATGGTATTTGTGAAGTGGTACATGGTATTTGTGAAGTGATACTTGGTACATATGGTATGTGTGAAGTGGTACATATGGTATTTGTGAAGTGATACATGGTACACATGGTATTTGTGAAGTGATACTTGGTACATATGGTATTTGTGAAGTGATACATGATACACATGGTATTTGTGAAGTGATACTTGGTACACATGATATTTGGGAAGTGACACATGTTTTGCATAGTATTTGTGAAGTGATACAAGGTGCTTTTTAAAGTAGTACATGGTACTCATGATATTTGTTGAGAGATACATGGTATTTGTAAAGAGATACTTGTACACATGGTATTTGTTAAATAATTCACAATATACGTTGTATTTGTTGGATGATACATGGACAACATGATATTTATGTCCACATGGTACATGGTATTTGTGAAGTGATACATGATACACATGGTATTTGTTGGATGATACATGGTACATGGTATTTGTTAAACAATACATGGTATACATGATATTTGTTAAGAGATACATCATACACATTGTATTTAAAATGGTACATATGGCATTTGTTGGATGATACAGACAACATGATATTTATGTCCACATAATGGCATTGTTTTTAAATAGCATAATATTTTTGTGAATATATTTAGCTTACCTCTGCCAGGTCCTGGCTCCAGGGATGTTATCATGGTACAGTGTTGGTTTTTTTGTACCATTCATGCAGATCACATTACCCTGTCCTCAGTGTATTATTAAATCAGTGGGGGCACGGGTGGCCCAGTCGTCTAAGGCACCGTGATTCGCTGTGCAGAGTTGTGTCCCATGGGCACGCCAGACACCTATAATTGTGGGTTCAAATCCCGGTTCACCCCGATTATATTTCTAGGTTTGTCAGCACCATACCCGTGCTCGTGGGTTTCACCGAAGTGGTAAACGTCTAAGACCTGCATCACTTTGGGTTTTCCTCCTACATTAAGCTGACATGCCGTGATATAACTGGAAAACTGTTCAAAGCGGGATTAAACCCAACTCACTCACTCACTATTAAATCAGTACAAGGAACAGTAACCATGATTTTATTATTCTACCAAATGTGTATTTCTTGTTCACCAGATATACAACTCAAAAGAAGTTAAGCACCAACCGATTCTTTAAAATTACCATAGTTATCTGTTAATCATGTTATGCCATGACAAATTAATTATAATATGAAAGAATGAGCTGGTCCTTGATTTGTTTTGAGTGGAATAGTATACATAACTTGATATTGTGCGTATAATGATGATGTTTCTCCGTCTCTTTTGTATCATACACCTTTCGGGGCGGTCGGGTAGCCTAGTGGTTAAAGCGTTCGCTCGTCACGCCGAAGACCCGGGTTCGATTCCCGACATGGGTACAATGTGTGAAGCCCATTTCTGGTGTCCCCCGCCGTGATATTGCTGGAATATTGCTAAAAGCGGCGTAAAACCATACTCACTCACTCACTCACTCACTCACTCACTCACTCACTCATACACCTTTCATCTGAACTTGCATTCAAACTTTCATGTGACAGGATCTCTGTCATGTCTTTACCTTGGTAGCTGACAAGGACAAGTGAAATGTTGAGAAAATGATGTAATCGTGGATTAGTGCATCTTACAGGTCAAGGTCGCTGCTGATTTATTAAGTGTAAAAATATTGCTGTCATGACAATTGGGTACTTAACATGCTTATTGAGAGCCTTTATACCCAATGTGAAGGAATGTTTTGTAGATCTTGATTTCAATAAGGTCAAGGTCACAGAGATCAGTTGCCTCTGTGGCAATCTTCCATCAGTATAGATGAATTGTTAATATTTTCCTATATAGCCATTGCTGTAGTCATGTAATTTGTCATGGTTACTGTCAAGGTTGCAACTCGACTGGATTTGTTAGCCAACTATATTTGGATGTATTGTCAGGTAGGTTTTTTAGAAACGTTGTAGTTCTTGCAATCTCATTAAAATCAGATCTTAGTTCTCACTGCCGCTAAACAAAGATCTGAGGACATCCCATTACGGGTCACGTCAGACCGACCTTTGGCAAACTTGGACCGACCAATGGAATTACTGACAAAAAGTCGACATTAGCCAATCAGAGGGCAGCTTTCTCGTGCTTTACGGCACTAATTTCAAATTGGTGACTACACTTCGAATATTTTGACAAATTCTCGCTTAAAAGTTTGAAACCTGAACAAAAGA